TCTACTACGAATTTGAGGTCCCTTTACAGCCGCACAACTTGTACATTTGCAGCACCAGTCCTCGACATCGTCACGACAGTGGACCCAGTAAAACCGTTCTCGGATCTTCAGTAGAGTTCGTTTAACTCCCAGGTGGCCTCCTGAACAACCACTATGGTACAGCTGGAGAACATCCGGTACTTTAGCCTTAGGGACAACCATTTGCAAATGACACCTGTCTCCCCGACTACTTTCCCATTTACGGCACAGGACTCCATCCTGAATCAGCAAGCTGTCCCATTGGGCCCAATAGTTTTTCGTGGTCGAACTCATTGCTGAGACGTCGCTCCACTTGGGCTTAGGAGCACTGGCCTTCATCCATTCCAGAATCGGCTTAATGTCCGAATCTTCCTGCTGTGCATGTTGTAGGCTGTCCTTCCATTCATTGCTGAGCTGGTCTGTCCTGAATATCCTCGCAGATACCACTTCTTTACCCTCTTGCCTAGTACAATGCTTGCAATCTTCAGGGCAAGGTCTTCTTGATAATGCATCTGCATTGCCATGAGATTTCCCGCTGCGATTTTCGATCACAAAGTCGTATTCCTGTAGTAGTTCAATCCACCTCGCAACTTGTCCTTCCGGATTTTTGAACTGCAACAGCCATTTCAGTTCAGCATGGTCAGTTCGTAAGTAGAATTTCCGCCCTAGAAGATATTTGCTAAAATGCTGCAAGGACTTTACCACAGCAAGCAATTCCCGTCTTGTGACACAATAGTTCCTTTCCGGCTTTGACAACGACTTGCTGAAGTACGCTATCACAATCTCTTGATCACCATTCCGTTGAGACAACACACCGCCAAGTCCTATATCACTTGCGTCTGTGTCAACTATGAATTCCTTGCCCGCATCAGGGTACCCCAAAATAGGTGTTTTGCACAGACGGTTCTTGAGCTCCTGGAATGCAATATCGCAACTTTCATCCCAGCAGAATTGTCGCTTCTCCTCGGTTACCCTGTGCAGAGGTTTGGCTATATCTGCAAAGTTCTTCACAAATCGCCGATAATAAGAGCACAAACCCAAAAATGCTCTAACCTGTGTCTTGTCTTTTGGGACCGGCCACTCCTTGACAGCAGCAATTTTCTCTGGATCCGTGCGGATACCTTCTTCCGACACTACATACCCCAAAAAACTAACTTGCCGTTTGAATAGTGAGCACTTCTTTGGACTCAACTTGAGGTTGGCACTCTGGATCTTCATGAGCACGCGTTCCAGGTTTTGAAGGTGTTCCTCAAACGTACGGCCTACGATGATGATGTCATCCAAATAGACCAGACAAGCATCTCCAATTAGCCCGGTAAGTACAAGCTCCATCAACCTTTCAAACGTTGCTGGAGCATTGCACAATCCAAACGGCATGACTTTGAATTGCCACAGACCCTTTCCTGTGGAGAATGCAGTTTTCTCCTTGTCCTTAGGGTCAATTTTAACCTGCCAGTAGCCACTTTTCAGATCTAGCGTACTAAACCACTTTACGCCTGTAAGCATATCCAGCGTGTCATCAATTCTTGGCAAGGGATAGCTGTCCTTCTTTGTAATGTCGTTCAGGCGGCGATAGTCAACACAAAACCGCATGCTGCCGTCCTTCTTCTTTACCAGCACCACAGGTGAACACCATGGACTAGATGAAGGTTCAATAACACCATCCTTCACCATTCCCTCAATCATGGTTTCCACTTCCTTTTCACGTGCTACAGGCAATCTTCTTGGCCGCTGACGAATAGGCAATTCTTGTCCTGTGTTTATTTTGTGTTGAACTTAGCCAGTCTTTCCTATGTCAGCTTCGTTTGACGAGAAAACATTGGCGTACTTGAGTAACAACTTCTTCGCCTTGACCATTTCATTCGGGGAAAGAACGCTGCGACAGTCTTCTAAAAGTGTGGTCACTCTTGTTTGTCCATCCTTGCTGGGGGTCCCAGTCGATAGATATTGGCACTGACGCAACCAATCCACTTCCTCACTAGTACCAACCAATGTGCCTTTTTCTATAATCTGTTCATGATCACAAAGGTTCAACACACGTACTCCTGAGATGTCGGTGGTTCTGACCAAGGTTCGAGCCACTTTCCATGGAAGGTCATTGTCTACCCTTTCCACGAGTACACAACGATGGGCTTGCCCAGGACTCCGAGGAAGACTAACCGGTACAATCGTTTCCGATCTCGGCGGAAGAACAATCTTCTTAAGGCTGTACACATTCCCTGGTAACGCCCCTTCCACGAAAAGTTCTTCTTGTCCACATTTCAAAACACCTTGCTTAACGTCGATCTCACAACAATTCTTCCTCATAAAGTCTAGGCCCAGGATGCAGTCGTCCATTATATCAGCCACGATGACATTATGCAGGTAGATCATGTTGCCTAGCTTCAACTCCATCTCCTTCTCTCCACGGACGGGTATGCGCTGACCGGTGGCTGTCACCAAATTAATGCGTTCTCGGTTGTATGCGGAGTCCCTAAGGAACCGACTTATAAGTTGGGAACTGACAACCGTGCGAGAGGCTCCAGTGTCTATGGTCAGTTTACACGGCGTTCCGTTGACTTCGCCCTTGATGATTAGGCTGTTCCCATCATGGGTTTGTGAGATCGAAATCCTTGGGGCTCTTTTAACATCAGCCAGCACCCGCCAGTTTTCCTGCTGTTGCTGGGCGGTGCTGTCAGCCACACTACCCTCTCGATATCGATCACCTTCCCTTTCTACAGTTCGTTTAGGGCAGCTGGATCGAAGATGGCCCCTTTCCCCACAGCCGTAGCACCTAGGGCTGTAGCCCTTATTGCGGTCCTGAACTGTAGCTGCTGCAACCTCCCTGACGCGGTGGGAACGATGATCCTGCCGCACGGCTTCCACCTCCAGTGCATGGGTCAAGGCGTCCTTAAGCGTCTCGTGGTGCCCGAGCCTCACAGCAGCTCTGACTTCAAGGTCGCGGATGCCGTCGATGAATGTATGCACCAGGTTCCCTACAATGAGCGCAGGTACAGACTGGTACGCTTTTCGAACCAGCTTCTCCACCTCAAGGGCCCACTGCTGCAAGTTTTCGTTACTGCGTTGCACGCGATCTTTGAGCTGCGCACGAAAGACGTGTTCCAGGTGAGCATCGCCATATCTTGCCTCCAATGCCTCAAGGAGCTGCTCGTAAGTTACTTCCTTACCGAGAGCTTCCAGAACAGTTAAGGCCTGGTCGCGTAGGCCTAGGGTGAGAGCAGTCATGGCCTGACTTTTATTCCAGCCGTTCGCTTTCATGACAGCCTCGAACTGGATTTTGTAGGCCGACCAGGAAGAACTCCCGTCGAACGGCGGCACTTTGAATCCACGTAGCGAAGGTGTTGTAGCTACTACGGGAGCTGTAATTCCATCCCCAAGTTTGAGGTCGTCCAGCGTTTTCTTCACATCAGCCATCACGTTGTCAACCCGATTGTTCACTTGGTCGATTCGGGTTTCAGCTTCCGACAGGCGGTTGTCATGTTGAGCAACCCTATCCTTCACCTCCTTTATCTCTTTCCCGAAGGTAGCGTGAAGGTCCTTTCTGAGGAGCATCTGTTCTTCCATACCGCGCTGCAGCTGCTCTTCCAACCGACGGGTCTGTTCCTCTTGTCGGCGGGCCTGTTCCTCCTGTCGGCGAGCCTGTTCCTCCTGTCGGCGAGCCTGATCCTGCAGCATCATCATCAGAGCACCTAAGTCAGGTGCTGCAGATGCAGGAGCTGCTGACGGGCCGGCCTCCGTGGTTAGCAGCTGCCCCTCCGACGTTTGCGGTGTTGCATTACCAATTCGTCTCTGGTCCGTCTCCTGTTGGCGTTGACTTCGGGTACGGATACCCTCCGTGTCGTCTTTAGGTAAAATCGGCATATTTGATCCCACTTCTGACACCAATTGTTACGAGCTTGGGGTTCGAGACAATTAAAAACTGCCGATTGAATTACCAAAATTGACACTTTAATTACACAACGCTAATTACAATCAAAAATCACACTAATAATAAAACACAGTTCGCCGTTATTTCGCTTCGAAGTATTCTCTTGTATCGCCAATTCAATACTGCCCCGGTCGTGGTCTATACCGGTCTTATATAGGGCCTCAGATAGTTTCCAGAACCTTCTACTGTAGCGACATCTAGAATGTTCGAGTACATATCGGTCCCGAAATTTCTGGAAGGATCTCGACTCTCCTAGTTCTGCTACTCGACACTAGAGGGCGCTAGTGTGACTAGTGTTGCCATGTACAAGACATTAATAGTGGCGCGCAATACTTTCATTTACTCGACACTAGGGGGCGCTAGTGTAACTAGTGTTGCCATGTACAAGACATTAATAGTGGCGCGCAACAATACGCATAAGACCGCCTGGACTTATGCTTTGACAGATGAGAACACTCTGCGTATGGCTACTTCCCTCTGGTCCACCGGTGGCCCGTGAGGTTTATAGTTAGATACTTTGTTTCAAAGGGCCCAAATCTTAAAAAAATTATAAGTCTACTTATTCAGGTTACGTTGAACTTTCTTTTCTATTTCCTAATGCTAACACAAATTTCTGTCACTAACGTTAAAACATATTACCGGTTATTAATTAAGTGTTTATAAGGGGGGAAAACGTATTTCATGACGAGTCAAAAATTTTCATGCCCGTTTTCGTGCTATAAGTGGCAGTAATACATAGTATTCTGTGGTAAGGGGAACTCATAAAGTCACTGCGGTAAATTCGGTTTATATTCGACTGCTATCCTCTTTACTCGACTGGGAGAAGTAAATGGTGGATATCTAAAAAAATGGTTATTTATATGCCTAAATTATGTAATAATATTATTTAAATTAGTTAATACTTTGTACCAACAATTGTTAATTTAATAATAAGTATATGAATGAATGACATTAATTTTTGACTCTGGCCATGTTATGGGATACAAATTTGACAAAAAAAAATGTAATTACAAATGGCGTTTACGTAGAATAGACAGATGTCCTTACGGCCACGATGGGCGATGATTCTTTATTATTACGGGAAGATGGTTATATACGTATGAACTTTCCTGTGACTTCTTTAACGTATCATAGTAATTTAAATATAATTTTGGTGAAGACTGACGTTGGTAGTGTACACGTTTTGGATGTGAATTCTGGTGTGATTCTTCAGTCATCTTGTCTATCAGCGGGTAAGTCAAAATGATTGTATATTTCTGTAATTAAAGCCAGTAATATAAATAATTCTGTTTATCACTATATATAATTACTTAATATTAGTTGGTTGTGTGTCAATAATTGCCGTACATGATTATCGATGTCCTACATTGTTTCTGACTTTGACAGATTTCAGTAAACAATTCCGATTTTGCCGGATTTTGGCATGTATTTCAGATTAATGTTTATTATTTACTTTAAGATGAGAGCGGTGCACTTGGTGTTGAGTATGCATCGGGTGCCGACCGTGTGTTCTTATGGGACAGCAGTGGTGTTGGCGCTCGAACAGACTACAATGGGGTGCTGTTGCTGCATACTGCACTGCAGCGCCCATTGCCATCCACTCAACCGGATAATATTATAAAGATTGAACTTGTCTTGTCAGAGGTATCTTTAATTTTTTATTTATATGTTGTATTAATAAAGAATAATAAATATTAAGAGTAGTAGTGGTTACTCTTTATTATTAATCAAGTTTTTTTTTTAGATTTATTTATGCTTATGTCATACATAACATGGTTATTGTTGGATGTCTGGAGTCAGTAGGGTCTGCCCTACTCCTCCAATGCTTCTTGGTAGACTTAATAGTTCATTTACCATTAGGGATACAATCTGAATTTATAATATTGTCATTAACAATTTTGTGATTCTGTCATTGGGGATAGGAATTAGGTTGCTTGTATACTATGAAGATTAGCGTAGAAGAACTGGTTGTTCTTTATGAAAGGTGCAATCAGATGGTATGTGTAATTAAACACCAATTGGTACTTTCAAAATTGTATTAATAACTCTCCATCTACTAAAAAGTATAGATTTTATCAAGATCTATTGGTGTTGGCCAACTAGCAACACTATTATGGTCTTTCTATATCACTTGATGAAGAATAAACTAACAATTGGCTTTGGTTAAAGCAAAGGATTTTACAATCCAGTGTCAAACTACAAGTAAACAAAAACACAAAATAAAGTTATGTACAGTCATTTTCTATTTTAGTATTGACATCCAAGATGGTGGGATATAATGAAATGAGCAGACAAATAATAGCTTCTATATTAGAGTACCTGGTATAATTTAACGATATTTCCCTTCATTCAAGTCAATACCATAATCTTTGGAAAGGGTTTTATTTAGTATCTTCAAGTTGCTAGACCTATACTTCCTAGTAATTTTTGACCCATCTGAAATTCTTAAGTGAATTTCCAATTATTTCAAAAGTAGCCTACTGATTATATCTGTACTTTGATTTAACTCCCTGATGATATTAGACTAATACTCAAATACTATTTAATTTTAAGATGCGGTTAAGTCTTGTGCTGTCTCTATCACTTTTATTCAAATTGACTGTGACACAAGGAGGCTTAACAACATCTTAAAATTGTGTAGCATTTGGGTATTTGGCCAGTGTATAAAGTGTAGAAGGAGAAAAGAGAGAAAAATAATGTTGTGTTTCCAGCCCTTGATTATTGAATAGGTATAGTAACTTACTAATTAAATAGGAATAGGTAGGTAACTCAATTTTTAATTAATTTTTGTTCTTTCGTATTTTATGTGCTGCCATACCGTTCATCGGATTGTGGTAAAACTTTGTTAACTTATTGCTTGCACTCGCGTGAAGGTTATAGGCATAGTACAATTAACTTACAGTGGGTAGTGTAAGTATCGTACTGACAAATATATTTGAATGTTATATATCATTCAATTTCAATGAGTGTATTATCATTCCTAATTAAATAATATAATTCTTACAAATTTAAAACAATATTTCCACAATTATATATTCTGCGGCAGCAATGTGCCAGGTACCAACTAGTTAATAATAATTAAACTGGCCTAGGTTATCTTTTATGTGATATACCATGTGGGGGATGGTAGAAACTAAAACTACACATTAAATAAAACTATTTTACTAATTTTACTATGTGTAATTTTAATTTAATTTTAACCTCTGATCCATGTTTTGGGTGTTTCTGATTTCATACTTCTAGAATTTCAGAACAATTTTTCCAGTATTTCAATTCCGGAACTGAGAGTAGTAATATTGTTATTCTGATATTAAATTTTTTTACATATTAACTGATATTTTGGTCCTTCTTAATGCATCTAATCAAACTCCTGAGGAACTTTCCACATGTGAACTTATATTTATTCCACTTATTAAGTCTCCAGTAATAAACAGGAAACTAAATAAAACCGTTTTTGTTATTGTCATTATCATAATTACAGTCCATAATTCCATTGCTAAACATAATATCTAGATTTCTTAGTCATAAGGTGAACATTGAAATAGAATGTTTTGATTCCTTAAATCATCAAATCCTGCACTGGTTGCACTGGTTCGTTGTAATAGTTAATTTCTTTACAGACTTCTTAATTGTTCTTATCATTCAAGTGCTTCAAATTACTTATCATATAAGTGCTTTGAAATTATTTCCCATATCAGAAGTATTACATGCAAAATGGATTCTCACATATATATTGCTTCTTGAATAACAGTTAACTTCTCTCAATCCCACCTTAATAATTTAATTAAATCTAATATACAAGGTGTGTTCGAAAAGAACCTGAACTCTTTAAATAGCAATGAACTTTGAATAGAATAATAATAACAAAGTCTACCAGGAAATCCTCGTGCGCAAGAGGGATGCTGTGTGCAGAGTCCTGAATTGTGGGAAAACCAGAGTTGGATATTGCATCATGACAATGCGCCCGCTCATGCATCACTCCTTATCTGCAGCTATGTAGTAAAACACCACATTCCCGTTGTGCCCCATCCACCATATTCTGTAGACCTCATCCCAGCAGACATATTCCTGCTTCCCAAACTGAAAAACACGTTAAAAGATAGAGGAGATATACAGAACAATGCGACAATAAACCTGCGTGCCATCCCACAAAATGAGTTCCAGGAGGCATTCCAAAAATGGAAGAAACAATGGGAACGGTGTATTGCTAGTAGAGGGGACTATTTTGAAGGCGACAGTGCTTAAAATGTTGTACAATAAGCCATGGGCGCCGGCAATAGGGTGCAAGGGCGTGCACTTGCACCTCCCTGTCAGGAAAGAATATACATAGAAAAACTGAAGGCATCGTCTAGGTTGCTGTCCAAATTTGTTCATCACAATGTCAATAAATTCAATATCGCCTTTAACTGTGAACATTGAACATGGCAACGGGAATTCTCCGATCAATAATCAACCAACCATCGACTACACAGATGAAGTATGTTTTCGATGAGTGAAATATAGTTAGTATAGTAACAAAGTTCCCCCTAGCAATCAAATATCTGTGCGATTTGAATTTGACATTACATTTATCTATATAATATACATGTATAATTCTTTATATTATATTAGTTAATAGTATAATGTGTAAATGCAGATGCACCTCCCCGAAAGTAATCCTGGCAGTTCCCATGCAATAAGCAATAAAGCTGATACAGCAAAAATTCTTTTTGAACTATTCAATTCTTTTTGAACACACCTACTAAATTGCCATTACCTTGAACATATTTTTGAATATGTTTTATCTCTATTTGCTTGTTTTTCAAAAATTTATATTGTGACTTAAAATATTGAAGATAAAATCTTTCATTTTAGCCTATATATTGTTCTAGGCGGTGATCCTGTACCAGTGCGTGCAGAGTCTGGATGTACACTCGATTGAGGGGCTATCGGACTTTATAAACGCGCTTAAAAGTGCCATTGATGCCGAACCGGTTCGGAAAGGCGTCAAAGCTCAAAAAGTAATTAATAATTTATACGTATTTTATATATACACTTCATCCGCCTCGAACCGCACTGTACACCGTACCGGCGGAGGAAGTGTCGGGCGTCCTCCGACTAGATGGAGTGACAACCTGGTAAGACATGTAGGAAGTCGATGCATGCAGGTAGCTCAGGACCGTGCTTTGTGGCATTGCTTGGGGAGGTTCAGCAATGGACTTGTGAAGGGCTGTAATGATAATGATGACGTATTTTGAAAAAGATTACCAAGCTACTTGGTGAAAATAATACAGAAGTCAATGAAACATAAATTTTATCACAATGAACTGCTTCAGGCAGATTGCACTACACCTTGCAATCTGCCATGTTTTATGCTGCAGCCTGATACTATAGATTTAGCATATGCCAGATTTGTAGTGTGCCTTAAAAGGCATGCGATTATGGCAACTCTTGCTTATGAGAGGTCCATTTCCAGCTGTAGACTGTTACAGCCTGATAAAGAAAAGAAGATAATTGAGACTTATTTTGCAGTTTCAATCTATAAAGTCATCAATGGGTTAAGAAATAACTCAATTTTAGTATATTATTTGTACTATGTTTTTGTAAACTGTTATTAGCAATGAAACAAAACCAGTGGTTTTGTGTGGTGGTCTTTTTCGTGGTAGAGCCATTCTGCAGCTATATTAGTAGTATAGTTGCAGCACGAATGGGTCGGCTCGACCAGGGAAGGACCACGCTCTCACAGAATACTAGCGTAAAATAGCAGCTTAACACTGCTGTGTTTCATATGGTGAGTGTAGAGAACTGGAGACGCTTTTTTTTCTGGAAACAAGACATTCCATCTTAGTCCTCACGGGTGACAACGCATTTTGATTCGTAATCGAGGATAGATGTAGATGTCTATGGGCCACGGCACTGCTGATCTCAATACAAGCAGTAGAGTTCCTATAATAAGATTTTAGTGCCTGTATCGGCCTCGCGCTCATCCTAAACGAAAGGGGTTTTGTGTCAGGGTCAGTGGCAGGGTTTTGCCATAAAGCAACCCTGTCCACTCTGTTATAGGCTTTTTCGAAGTTAATGTACAGAAAACATTCTGGTTTTTGGCCAAAAACATCTCTGGTATCATGCGCATAGAAGAGACCTGATGCCACATCCCATCCCATTTCTAAATTCTATCTTAGCATACAGCTTTTCGACAAAATGAGAATGTGAAAAACAAAAGAACTGAAAAAAACACTGAAAGTTAAATACTTTACCATATCAGTAACAGCGTATTATAACGTCAGATTTGATACGAAATTTAATGCATTGAAGCTGGTTTTAGATTTGTTTCAGTTTAAATTGGGTTTGAATTTGTTCAAATTGGTAAATTTTTAAAATTCATAAATAAATACTAATATTTCTTTTTAGTGGAGCACAGTGACTATCTCATTGCCACAATCCACCTTCCGGCTGGTGACTTCTGGTGTGGTACAGGAGCTCAAAGGGCAAAACAGGCGGATTCCAGCACTTGCCATCGCCTCGGCGGTGGGGCAACGCGCCAATGAACTGATGCCATGCTCTCGAGATGAGGAGTCGAGGGCGCTTATGTACTCAGAAGCTGAGAGGAAGGAAACATTTAAGCGATGGCCACATATGGATTATAAGTGAGCATACTTTTAAATTTTCGAGTTTAATTTAATTTAGATAATAGGTAATGTCATTGATAAAAATAACAAATAATAACGGTCCCAGCAGTGAGCCCTGTGGCACCCCACTTGGAACAGTTACCCATTCTGATGTGTAGTTGCTGACGACAACAGCTTGTGGTCGATTATTTATATAAGACGTGAACCACTTAAGCAGATCGCCGTTTATACCGTTCTTGGACAGTTTCAGTAATAGCAAATTATGTTGTATTCTGTCAAAGGCTTTACTATAATCGGTATAAACGACGTCTACCTGGTGGCAATTGTCCATTGCTTCCGTCAAGAATGCATTAAAGAGCGCAAGATTTGAAACAGCGCAAGATTATAAATAATTTTACTATAATTGTAATAATTTAATATTTAACTTAGGCGCCTTAAACGAAACCTATGAGCGCTGGGTAGCTTCCGATAGATGGCGGTAATCATCTTGTGTACATTATATCATCAAAGTCATTATCGTCAGAAAGGTGCAAGACGTCTGGTACTGCAATTGTCAATCCCTTTGCCAAGCGTGAGGATCAAGTCAAATCCCCACTACAACAACAATGGTAGAGGCATATGTCCGCCAGCGGACTTTTTCGGGCCAATGAGAAGATATTTTTAATAACAATTTACTTAACTTTTTAATATATTTTTATTTTCCTGTACGGGAAGATAATTAAATAAATTATGTTATAAGTAGTATATTTGTACGAACTCACTGTATGATTGTTAAGCCTGACATTGTTTGGAAAATAACATTATACAAAATGTTACGTAAAAATATTTACTTAATTGAATAATTTGATTTGATTGTGATGGTTGTCTCCATAAATTTATCCCAATTTAAATGTTATGTGAATAAACTTTGAATATAAAAAATTAAAAAAAGTGAGGTCTTCCCATTGTTTAGCACATACCTCCTTTCATTTCTGGTAGGGTTATAGTCATTAGTTGCCGCACTTCTTTAGTGTATGTTAGTGGACTTAAAACTCACAACATTTTATTCCACAGAGGAAACCTGCACTACCTTACAATGTTTTCCTTTACCATTGAGCCAAGAATATAAAATAATTTATATTATTTAGACCTTAGCAACATTTTACCCGATTTTACTAAATAGTTTTATTGTTATTGTTATAATATAGTATTTTCTTATTAATTCATATAATTACCTGTGCATATACAATAAAAATATGTGAAGAATATATGTCTTAATTTTTTTTAATATTAAGAAATAAAATATATTACATGGGCATTTGATATCCGCTTTTATGCACAGAAACTGTGGAATTTAATTCATTTCCCGCCTAAGAAATGGAGATCGAACCATACCTATAAAGCAATGTTTTAAAGATGTTACTTAACTATAGAGAAAACTGAAAATCACTTTCCACCAATTTTTAGTATTCTTCTTCTGTATATTGCTTTGAGAGATAACCTCAAATCGATTTACAGAAGAAGAAAAATGTTTTAAACTAATACCTTTTATTAAAAAGTTTCAGGCACCCAATTTACTGCGCGTATTGTTAGTTCTCGTGATTATATTCATCCATGCATTTCTTAATGCCTGTTCACTCTATTCATAAACAATTATTTACTTATCCTTAAAAACATTAGCTCCACTGCAAAAGTTTTATCTGTGTTGCAGAGGCGCTTTTAAAAGGTTGAGGCAATTTTAGTACTACAGATATTAGAATAGTAAGAACTAAAAAAGACGCAATATTTGCAGATGGGCGCTGCCAGCACGCATGGCGCAGGCGGGCTTCTACCACCAGCCGTCGCCGAGCGGTGACGACCGCGCCATGTGCTTCACGTGCATGGTGTGCCTCGTGTGCTGGGAGAAGTCCGACGAGCCGTGGGTCGAGCACGAGCGCCATTCGCCCAGCTGTCCCTTCGTGCGCGGCGAGTACACACACAACGTGCCTATTTCTGTGAGTGCATATTGAAAGAAAGAAACATTTTTGTTTGAAGTTGCATTACAAATAATTGCACCACATGAATATATTATCTTACATCAACATTAATGCAGCCACAAATAGGCATCCGACTCAGCATTGTGCCGCAGTGTAATAATCACAGTGCTGATATTGCTCTTACGCTTTGTTGATTGATAAATGAGGCTTTGCATACCGACTGCAGACAAAATTTTGTCCAATAACAATGCATCAAATTTCACAAAATCATTTTTTATTACTACAAGAAAAAACACATTTACAAGTGTTGCACTGCCAAATAATTTCGTGACACTTTCTTTTTATAGATGTTTTTAGGTTTAGATTGTTAAATTTAATTATGTAATGTAATTCATCATTACTGCCTTTCATAAGTCCACTGCTGAATATAGGCCTTGGGGGACCAAGGAATGCCACAAAGCACAGTCCTGAGCCACCTGCATCCATCGACTTCCTGCATGTCTTACCAGGTCGTCACTCCATCTCGTGGGGGTCGCCCTACACTTCGCCTACCGGTACGAGGCTGCCACTTAAAAACCTTTCTTCCCCATCGCTTGTCGGTTCTTCGAGCTATATGGCAGGCCCACTGCCGCTTCAGCTTACTAATCCGTTGGGCTATGTCGGTCACTCTGGTTCTACTGCGGATATCCTCATTTCTAAGTTTATCACGCAGAGAAACTCCGAGCATAGCCCTCTCCATAGCTCGCTGAGCGACCTTGAGCTTCCTCATACGGCCAGCAGAGAAGGACCACGTCTCAGATCCGTAAGTCATCTCTGGCAACACGCACTGGTTGTATAATTTCGTTTTAAGGTTTTGAGGAATGTCTGACGAGAAGATGTGTCGTAGTTTCCTGAACGCTGCCCAGCCGAGTTGAATCCGTCGATTGACCTCTCGGTCGAAGTTGGACTTACCTAGTCGGACTATTTGTCCCAGGTAAACATACTCGTCAACAACTTCGAGCTTAGTGCCCCCAACAACTACCGGCATAGGTGTGACATGGACATTAAACATGATCTTTGTTTTGTCCATGTTCATCTTAAGACCTATCCGTTGGGAGACATACCGTACATACCGTATCCTTTCCAGTCCAGAAGCTTGAAAACATCTTCCAATGCAGCGGTAAAGAGTTTCGGGGATATGACGTCACCCTGTCTTACACCTCTCTGCAATTGGATAGGTTTCGTACTCTGGTTCTATACTTGGATAACCATCGTAGCTCTACTGTACAAGCACTTCAACACTTCGATATACCGACAGTCAACTTGGCACCGCTGAAGGGTCTGCAGCACCGCCCAAATTTCGACGGAATCAAAGGCTTTCTCATAGTCCACATACGCCAGGCATAGTGGCAAATTGGACTTCTGTACAACTTGCCGAAGGGTATGTATGTGGTCTATGGTGCTAAAGCCCTTTCGGAAACCGGCTTGTTCGGGAGGCTGGAAGTCGTCAAGTCTGCGCGTGAGACGATTCGTAATGACTCTCGAAAACAGCACGTAGACGCGGCTCAGAAGGGAAATCGGTCTGTAGTTCTTCAAGAGAGCGTTGTCACCTTTCTTGAAGAAAAAGACCACCACACTTCTGCTCCACGCCTCCGGTGTAATGCCACCATTAAGGACGGAATTAAAGAGCTTCTGAAGGACTTCAAGTACCGGTTTTCCACCCGCTTTCAGAAGCTCCGCTGAATTCCATCCTCGCCTGGGGCCTTGCCGTTTTTAAGATGCTGGAGAGCCATTCTAATCTCGCTCAGACTGTCGTCCGGGATATCTTCGGAATAGTGTCGGATAAGACTCGCTCTTGGATCGTAACTCACACTTGCGTGTGGCTCCAACGATGACGTGTACAGCTGCCCATAGAACCTCTCAATCTCACTCAAAATCTCAGGTGCCCCGGAAACGATGCAGCCACACTCGGTCCTCAGCTTTGACAGTTGGCTCTTTCTGGCAGACAGATCTCTGGCAAAGACTTTGGAGCCATGGTTCCGCTCGATTGCTTCTTCAATACAAGCTGTATTGAAGTTGCATAAGTCCCGCCGCATGCATTTGGAGATCTGTCTGTTCAGTTGCCTGTATGCTGTCAAATCTGTTGAAGAATGTAGCTTCATCTCCCGTCTAACAGCCATGAGATTAAGAGTGTGATCGGAGAGTTTTTGTGTTCTTCTGCGGTGGGTCTTGCAGAACTTAGCTCCGACCGCATGGACAGTTTCCACGAGCTTGTCATTCATATCGTCCACTTCATTGCAGTTTTCTAGGCACTGAAAACGGTTTTGTAACTCGAGCTGAAAGGTGTCACGACTTTGGAACAGAGCACGATGGGGACGGAGCGTTGATTTCATTAGACGGGACCTCTCCAACTTAACGTTTAGGTTCAGTGTGCCTCTAACCATTCGGTGATCGCTACCAGTGTTCACCCTCGCGATCACGGAGACATCATTGAACAGTTGTCGTCTGGTCGTCATAATGAAGTCAATCTCATTTTTTGTCGAACCGTCGGGGCTCGACCAGGTCCACTTCCTGTGGGTCCGCTTCTGGAAGAAAGAGTTAGTCCCTCTTTCTTCATGAAGTCAGCCAGCTGCTGGCCCCTTGGGTTCCGTTGCCCTATTCCAAATTTCCTTACTTTCAGCTCACCGTTCTCTCTTGCGCCTAGTTTTGCATTGAAGTCTCCCATTAACACCGTATATTGGGTTTTGGAGGAATGCATGGCTCTAGAGATATCCTCATACATTTCCTCCACCTCCTCATCGGGGTGTGCCGAGGTTGGTGCGTAAACCTGTATGACCTTCAGCGAATACCGTTTGGTGATTCTGAGTATAAGGTACGCAACCCTCGTCGACACACTCTCGATCTTTACAACTTTGTTAACGAGAGACTTGTGGTCGATAAATCCGACACCTCCTTGGGACAGATGGGCGCCCTCCCGGTGATAGAGCAAGTTGCCGGATTCGAGGATTACCGTGTCCTCCCCCTCTCTTCGGACTTCGGATAATCCTATAATATGCCAGCGTAACTTGTCTATCTCTTCTTCCACCTCCACGATCTTCTCGTCAGTCTTCAGGTTGCGTGCGTTGTACGTTGCCAGGTCGAGTCGTCTAAGGTGGCAACCAAACCTCCACCGGAGATTCTTGGCAGCCCCTGCCCCGCCGTTACCATGGTCGCCACCGTAGCCAGGAATAGCGGGGCAGCCGGGGACTGGGGTCCATCTCTTTGTTACTCTCTTCATAGGGGGGTATTTGCCATAGTTGCTACGCTTGGCGAGCGGGTTGGCAACCGCAGTTTTTTTTATTGTAATTTCGGCTACTATCAGGAAGATGCTGCTGTCCATCTACTGCCTGTTTCCCTTTGTCGCCTTTTACGACACCCACGGGAAGATATGGGGTAGTGGATATTCTTGACCGCCACTACACGGTTAAATTGTACATGTAATGTAATTGCATTCAGATAAACAATTTTATTAAAAAAATGTGGGAAACATAAGCATGGCCGTGATTTGAGGCTAACGGTATAAGGGGACCTGCATTAAGTTGGCTAGAAAGCTATTTAAAAAATAGGTCACAGTGTGTAGAAATAACACAATTAAATTCTAAGAACATAGCTCAGGTATATAGATCGGAATTCAACAACAACAATTTCGGTGTTCCCCAAGGTAGTATACTCGGACCATTGTTGTTTATATTATACATAAATGATTTACCTGATATCTCCAACTACAAAACTACTTTATTTGCAGATGACATCTCGGTGACGATTACGACTAGTAAAAAAAGTACACTTGACCAACACAAAAGGGACATAGTTAAAACAATTAATTCAATAAATAAATGGCTCAATAAAAATAATCTACACATTAATTTAAGTAAGACAAATATTATTAATTTTAATAACTTAAATTCTGACATAAATATTGAATATAATGGACAACTTCTGCGGAACGCTATTAGTACGACATTTCTAGGTTTAATTATAGACTCAAATCTAAATTGGAAAGAACATATCCATAAAGTGAGTAATAAAATTAACAGATTTGTATACGCGTTACATAAATTGACAAAAATAGCAAACAAAAACACTGCGATCACAGCGTATTTTGCATATGTAGAATCTGTTATCAGATACGGACTTTTAATGTGGGGTAATGGCACAGACTGTCAAAAAGTATATTTAGCTCAAAAGCGCTGTATTAGAGCTATAAATAACATCCCATCGGACACATCATGCAAGCCTTATTTTAAGAATTTAAACATACTTCCTTTTCCCTGCCTCTATATATTTGAGGTTGGCAAATTTGTAAAGCAAAACAAGCACATGTTTTTACAAGCTAAAGATGTTACAAAAATTAACTTACGGAACCCAGATAAACTAGTACTTGACACAATTCCAAAAAGTAAGCGCTTTCAAAAAAATAGCTATGCAATGTGTAACACTATTTATAATAAAATACCCTCACATATTAAGCAATTACCATACCACAATTTTAAAATTTCATTACGACGATGGCTGGTAGAAAAAACATTTTACACAATAAATGAGTTTTTAAATTGTAGTGATTAAGTTTTCGATGCATGAATTAATTTATTTATTTATAAAATTTGTAAAATGATGTTCTTAGTTATGTGTTTTGGATTAAGTCTAGAAAGTAATTATCTTATAAAAACTTTTGGACATTTGCATGCTGTTGAAAACAGCTAAATAGGTTTTCTCAACACATTCGTTTTAAAACACCAAGAACAAAATATTTTGTACCTATTTACTAGCAAATAAAGAATTTGAATTTGAATTCAATTTTACTAAGTAACTCATATAACTATAACAGTTATTCACCATTCTAGATATTATATTTTTCGAAAAGGCACTTGAAATTAGTTAAATAAGTACTACAAAACATGCTCGCGCCAACCGCATGTATTGAATAGCAGACTCAGTGGTAGTGCGCAAGCACAAGGTTGGCACGCCCCCTGCCCCGCAGTGCCCCCACCGTTGCTCTGCACAAGTACATTCGTTTCCCAACTGTAAGGTCTATAAACTGTGGCCAAAGTGATGATATGGCTAATTCTTCCTAGGAAGGAGAGACCCATATTCAATTAACTTCTTATAGAATGATGAGGAATTCTGATGTTTTCTTCATACATTTATCATTTATTTATTTAAAACTTCATATACACACATAGGCATTAAGTTCACCTATATACCATGTCTACAGTCAACCTTCGGGTTGTGCAGTGATAGAATGTAGGTGTAGTAAAAAGTTATTATGAGAATACCAAAATATTTGTATTGTTTAAAAAATATGTGGGTGTTTTTTTTACTACCTACATAATATATCTGTACTATATTATATATACAGCAAAACAATTCTGGCTAGTGCCCGTCGTAAGATAAGGCCACTAAGCCATAGTAGATCTGCTGACTTGCTGACTGCTGACTTAGCTTGTTGCTCCAACTAGCTGGAATACCTGATTACATTTGCCCAACCGCGGGTTTTAAGCTTCTCGCCAGAGAAACCCAGAGTTTGGAAGTAGAATTTATAACCTTTATCCATCTGATAGGAATTGCCATAACAAAAGTGGGATGCCTTACAACATGCAATTGAACTGTTTATCCATACTCCCCAAATTGAAAGACTAATGTGAAATGCACTATTTTACTACAAAGTTATTGATATTATTTAAAACTTTCTTTGCATTAGGTAACAAATGCCACCGCGTGTGCCGTGCCCTGTCCGAACATAACAGTGGTATCTAAGGGCAACACAGGCGACCTGATCGCCACCGGCACCGCCGAGGGCAAAGTCAACGTATGGCGATTTGACTGCGGACTCAAGCTCGTTAAGTTCATTCACCTGTCCGCCTACGATTCCATCTTTAGCGGGATACTTGCTACTGACTCTAACAGGGTCTGGTCGGCAAGCTTAGAGAAAGACACTTGTAAGTACTGATGAAATATTCTGATAAGTGTTCTGTAAACTTTTAGACACTAGACAGTTATTAGTTATTGGAATTTATGTGCATTATTTAAATTTGCTTGAATTTTTATTAAGTTGGTGCAGAAATATTAAATAAAAAAAATTAATTTAGATCTATCAAGTCGTTTAAATCAAAGAAAGTATTTTGTAAAATATATTGTGTCATATACTAAAATATATTATAACTCAACAGATAATTCTTGTGATGGAGTGGCGCCACATGATAAACATCTGAGATTAGAGTTTAATTGGTTTATTTTTTTACAGCCACCTATGGCATCGAACTAACAGCGATGGCGTTTGTTGGCATGACTTCAAAGCAGGAAAGTTACCCACAAACACAAAACAGCGAAAACAACGAGAAAGAAACGAGTAACAGCAAAACGAAACCGTCTCTCGTATGCGGCGTCATTGTCACAAGGACTAATTCAGCTCAGTCTGATCAACCTATCAAAGAGGACACAAGTAAAGCATTATTCGATTCAGGTGCAACAGACAAGTCTAAGGAAAGTATTAAAGCCATGAACGACCAAAACGAAGCAAAGAACAATCAGGTTTCCTTGGATAAAATACTGTTTTTGTTAACCTATGACATATACAGCTCTCTCGCTGGCTCTATAACTACCGTAGTTCACACATCTAACAGCAGTGGCAATTCAAAACCCGGCGGCAGCAAGAAAGTGTGTCCTGTGGCTAGAACGGACGATGCGAATATTTATGACGAAATTTACTTTCAGTACTCTGATGAGGATACTGAGCTTCCACAATGCAGCAGTTTGATAGATGACCAAATTAGTAATGTTATTAACTTAAATGCGTCATCAAGTAAAGAAGATTCTAAGTTTTGGGAACCGAAAAAGATTATTTTCACAAAACATTTCAAAGTACTCCCTCCATCACCCCCTACTGCCCTGTTACCTGAGTTACCGGAATCCGGACAAACAACAATGCTTGACTTCGTCGGAAACATTCCACAGCTCAAGAGTTGGAAAAGCGGCAATTTGGAGTCCGTCGGCACAAAACTCGTTGATCAGACCGATGCGGCGCAAGTAGACCCCACTATTACACCAACCATCACTCATTATTTCAATATGAATGGGCCTTTAGAAATATCTGATTTGAAATGGTATGAAGATGGAGATGGAACAGATAAAGTAAAAGTAGCTCCATTCACTGCAAGTAAAGTTGGAACTCAAACAGCAGTAAGTAACAGCAACAACGACGGATTTGATAGTGATCCACCACAAGAGGAAGTGGTGTCCCAGGGTGTAGCTGTTCAGTGCCTAAGTCTTCCAACCACATTAAACCTGAAAGATGATTCTAGAGTAACACACTTACTACCAACAGAAGATAAGGAACATTTGTTGGTAGTAATATCGTGTATTGATCCAAGCAAAGTCAAAATCGAAGAAGAAACAGATGGAGACGGAGATACAAAGATGGATGTTGATGAAGTCTCCGAAACCGATAAGACTGAGAAACCTGACACAAATGCTTATTTTATATTATACAAAATCAATAGCAAAACTTCTGTTTACACTTTGGAAGATAATCCTGTTTCTGTTAAGGAATTGCCTTATAATGAGAGCCCTGTAGATTTATGCCTACTACCGGCTGACAAGCACGACCGTTATTCGTTCGCGGCTGTTGGGGTAGATGGAAGCTTAAGGCTCTATACATTGCCCGAATTTAAAATACTGTCAGAGAAGCGAGTACCGAAAGGTCAGTTCACATCCGTTGTGTACTGCGCGTCCGTCGAACGACTCAGTGTGTCCACAAAACACGGAATGATTTATTTCTATGCACTGAATGATGGCGACAAAGATTCAACTGAAGACGTCAACGAAGACAAGTTTTCTAATTTATATTATGACATGCTATGGTATGAAACGTCAGGCCCAACCACTGCACCTACTATCATTGCTAACAAGACTGATTTGAACCTAGCTGATTTAGAAACTTTAATTTCATTAACTGGCTTATACGGCATGAACACGACCGTGCCTTATAGCACTGTAGTCCCAGGTTTTTGGTGCGAATTGTCACCGGCTCAAAGATCCAGATCTGACCAACAGAACAACAGATCATGGAGACTTCAAAATACGTCATCAACATGGGACGAGCATGTTTTAGAGTTAACAATGCCATATAGTGTTTCGCTTGCACACATAGAATTTGGCTTTACATTGCATTCAGCGAGCACAGTGAACTTGCCCGTGATTCAGGTCACACTGTTAAAACAAAATTTACATGGGATTGGATACAAGAAGGATGCGTCATTCTGTCAGCGATCGGACTCTCCGATACAGTTCCCAGTTATTGACGCCGATTTGCCTAATATTGAAAATCCTGTTAATAGTGAGGAATACCTTCAGGCTCACAATGCAGAAATACTTGCCGGTCCACTCTTGCTTTCTTCAGGACTTGACCTCACTCAGCAATCTGGCACTTTGATTTTGACGAGCCCACGCTTATTCCGAGCAAGGGGCAGAACATTCCTTATCCACATAAAAACACTCTTTGATCCAGCTAAAGACATGACTAAAGGGTCGAATAGAACCGCCGAAAGTTCTAAGAAATCCGGTTTTATTGGTTGCGATTGGTTGCATCAAATATCGATTACAGTGCGGTCAAGTCCCCATACCGAAGTACCAATGGAGCGGCAGCAACGTATAGCAATGCTTGAGTCTAATAGTTTTTTGAACACTCTTTGTGAAATTGCCACCAGAAAAGGAGGAAATGAAGAAAGGAAGTTAGCATTGGACTTACTTAACTGGGTACTGTCAATACGGCTTCAGAGAATGCGTTTGGCAAAGGCTGATAAGAGTAAAGATAAAGATGCAGAAAGCCCAGTAGAAACGCAGCAGTTGGAATGTATAGCTGTTATAGAGAAACACATTGATGCACTTGTGAAGAATTGTATCTTGTGTGCAAATAGGAGCACTGCGAAGAAGTGCATCAAAATTATACTTATCACTAGCGAGTAAGTTTTTTATTTATATTTTCTATCTTTATTAGTTCTTAACAGCCCACTAACACTTAACTAACTTAACTGAACGTGGATCTTTCGTCTAGTAGGTAAGATGTACTATAAGCCGAGTGTACAACAAAGCACTAAGCATTGAATGTGGATTGGCAGTCACATCTCGCACCTTTGTCGCTGTTGCTCGTCACCGGTCTATTACGTTTGGTTTGGCCAGAACCCATTATTATAATTCCTATTTGGCCATGTTGATTTGCTAGAACATTAACACTAATAATCAATATGCTTCATATTGAACTAACTATGAAAATTGCAGACAGGCCAAACATGCCTGCAATTAATGGCTACATCTCCAAGGCGCTAATATGACTAAAGAAACTCAGATCCGGATAGATACAAGTGCTGTTACAGGACATGGTTCTTTTAACAAGCTTTATCATAGGTGTGACATACAGTATCTTATGCAGGGCTTGCATCAGTGAAGAAGAAACGGCGTCCAACTGCTGCTGGTATGTGTGGAGGTCATCACTTATAGGTCTAACTATCTGAGCTGATTTAGATCGCTCCCGGAAGTCGTCAGTAACATTGAGGGTTCATTACCAAACTTCTTTGAGATGTCATGGACAGGAATGATAAATTATTTATGCTTGGTAGATGCTGTGGTCCACCGATATGCAGATGTGTTGTTATTCCTAAGAACTAATATGCAATTCCTCATTTCCAATAAAAGGTCTCCAGTTCTCTCCACTCACCACATGAAATACAGCAGAATAAAGCTACTATTTCCAGTGGTATGGTGAGAGTGTGGTTTTTTTCTCAGTCGAGGCAACTATCGTGTTACAACCATTATATAGTTGCAGCATAGTTCTATTAAAATTCTTCTTCTTTTTAATGTTGCAATATCTTCGATACTTCATTAAAAAACAACTTTATTGGACCCTTTTTAAAAGTCAGTTATAAATAAATGTATCAAATTTACAGGGGCGTGAAGCAGCTCCCGAAACCTTGGAAGTCAACATTCGAGCAGAGCCTCTCAAGCAGCGTGGTGACGTGGTTGCCGTACGTCGGTGCGTGCGAGTCCGCGGGCGCACTCAAGTGGCTGTGCGCGCTGGCGCAGCACGCCGTGCCGCGCCTCGCCGCGCCGCGCCTCGTCTCCACCTGCCTCGCGCTGCTGCACGACACCGCGCGCTGCCTGCACCAACGCACCAACGTGTACCACCAGCTGCTGCAGGCCAGGTCACATCAAACTACAATTCACATCACACTTTAAGCTATTTCTTAGGCCTTATCAAGAATGGAATACATTTCTTGAAAAATTTAGCTGTAACAAACTGTACAGCATTATCAAGACAATTTGTTTTCGGCAAATAAATTTTTCCCATTATCGCCAGAAAATCGTGTGTCAGTATAGTGCACCATTTGTAGTTGAGATTGGCATTTAGAAAAGTTAATTCATTACACCTTACCTTACAAAAAAATTTAAATTTAGTTGTTACTTAAAAGTTATTTGATTTTAGTATATCACCCTTGATACTCATGAGTAATATACTAAAATACACTTATAATAAGCTCAATCAAGCCAAACAACAAGTAATGACAAATATAAATGTGAGATACAAAGAAAAATAAATGGTCTTGCTATTTGTAGCTTATAAATGTAGAACTCTACTCCACTTCACTGCATGTTCTTGATTATTTTATTATATTAATTATAAACTATTAAAGTAATATAAATGTTACAGGTTCGGCTTATACGGCCTTCCACTAGAACGTACGATCTTTACGACGGAGGCACCGGAGCTGGGTCGCGGCTCATCTACGCCCGCCACATACACAAGCGTTGTTACCGATGATACCAACAACACTCTAACCATAAAGCCTGATTACCAGCTCAAAGACCTGCTAAATTTACCACTTGATATGGGTAAGCAGTGACGAACTTTTTTTAAGTTTGGATTTCTTATATTTTTATTGTATAGTAGTGTAAGTACATTATAAAACTAACTATATATAAAGGTGACTGAAAGTGTTTTGATATTTCAAATTATTATATTTAAATATCAAAATACAAAAAACATGGTTATTGCTGCAGTTTGCGCTACTGGAAAAACTATGCTTGTTATTGTAGAAAAGCTACAAAAATTATTTAAAAAAAATAATAACGAAAACTAATCCTTGACACTGTAATTTTTGCTTGAAGTCTTGAGCATTTTGGTAATGGTGGTGACAATTCCCCTGATTTCATCAGCTCAGTGTCTAGTCTTCTACCTACCTACACTGCTAAGCAATTTTATCCCCTTCATTAACAAGAAAAAAGTCCTTGATTCATTTAACAGAACAAATCATCTGTTATCTCTAATATCATCATCTAATATATTAATCATCATCTACAACATATAATCTACTAACATGTGAAGGTAACACTTTGTACCCCTGTTGCGCGCACGGAGAAGTGTGAGATTTGGCATAATTATAGTTTATGTGGAGGAGTACAGAAAGGAAAAATTTATATTTTTTAGTTTTATTTGTAACACATTATGTGTGTTACAAATATAATAAAACATTAATTGTTTGCGTTCATACTTCATACTACCAATGTCAAACAGATTACAGTCTGTAGTCAAACTGTCGCACAGAGTAGAGATTTTCGCCAAAGAATTTTAAAATGTTGCTGAATGAGCTGTGAATTTAGTGTGATTTGAAATGTTGTATTTTCAGTTACTGTTTTTAGGTAAAATTACGAAATAAAGTTACACACTTATCTCTAAAATCTTCAAATCTTGTTGAAAAAAAGTGCAAATAAATAATAGTAGCGTTTTCTTAGTCTCATTAAACAAAATCACTGTTAGATTGTCGAAACCAACGTTCGCGGTTCACAAAACAAAGAACTAGTATTCTCGCCCACTCGCAGTCGACTAAAGAAGTTTTGAAAGGAGCACTGAGTGTAACTTAGTGCGAAATATATTAGTACCGTAGTACCCGTCTCGTATACGAGTACATAGAAGTCTTTGATAATTATTATGAATACCGTAAGCATATTAAACAGTGGTAGAGCCACGCGGCTGCGTCTTCTTTTGCATGGATGGGCCACGACGGCATACCGGACTGATATCCGGTCTCAGTCGACGCCCCTCTTCACACTAAGCAGGAGCACTACCGGGCCTGGGCCGAAGCATCAACGTTCCGGGATGTAAACACACACCACCGCTATTTTAGAAAGAAGTAAAAGTCTGCATCCAGGTCCTACAAAAGAGTCATGGTCAATGCAAAGTCAGAACACATCGGCAGAATTGGCGAGAAACTAGTTTGCCTTCCTTCGGGAACCCGTGCATTCAGGGCTCTCGCCAAGACTGTCCAAGGGAACTTCTGACAGCCATTTCTCCTATCTCTTGCACAGGGAATACGACTCACAGGCCCAAAGGAGAAAGACGATCTCTCTCTTTGCGTTCAATTCCCGATGAAGGGGGAACACAGCCCACAATCCCGCGGTGTGAGTACTCGCTTCATGAAGGATTTGCGTTTTACATAGCGCTCGGTTGGCAAAGCACTCCTCTCCCTGGACGTCAACAAGTTGAGTGGGCTTGATGGGAATGACGTCTTCAGCACAATGGGAGACCCTCCCCTTGTGCTGAAGACGTGTGCTCCCAAGTTAGCACCGGTTTTAACGCGTCTTTTCCGGTGCTCCTACTCCTTAGGTGTAGTTCCGAATTCCTTGACGACAGCTTTGGTCTACTCGATCCCTGAACGCTCAGACCCGTCCAACTATAGGCATATCGCAATTATCTCCTTGTTCTCTGGAGTCCATTATAAACTGTCAGTTCATGAGGTAACCTTGGGGATCACCAGGTGATTAGTTACCGCTAATATCGTTTTCGTCAGGACTGATCAGCTGGTGATTTTCTGGCCTACCTGACTCATAGATAGGTAGAGGCAGTTGAGTCTTAGCTTAGCTTAGCTTAGCTTGTTTTTCGAAGCTTCCTTTTTCGAGACTGAAGGATCTTCAAAAAATGAGCTTATCCGTTTCTAAAAGTTTCTAAAAGCCGGCAACGCACCTGCAATTCGCCTGGTGTTGTTGCAGTTGTACATGGGCGGCGGTAGTGTAATCACTTACGATCAATTGAGCCACATGCTCGTTTGCCCCCTCTTTTACTCGTATAAAAAATATAATTAAAACCCTCTGTTAAACATAGGCCTCCCCCATAAATTGCCTCATAGCCAAGCGGGCTGACAACCGCAGTTTTTTTCTATTTTAAATAGTTATTAGGAAGATGCTGGTGTTAGTAGTTATTGGTTAGTTAGTGAGTATGAATGTTTGATTAGAGGGCAAGGGCGTAGGCGCGTGGAGCGGCGCGTGGTGGGCGGCGGGCGGCGCGGGCGGCGCGGCCAGCGCGGCGGCGGGCGCGGCGCTGCCGCTGCACGTGAGCTGCTACGTGGCGTCCGACGGCACCAAGCTGGAGTCGGCCGCCGCGCGCCAGCAGCCCGCCGTCGTCAGCGCGCTGCCCGCCGACACGCACCAGGTACCAACTCTAGCCTTTTATTGTTTCAACATAGTTGCAGGTGTCCATGTGTTGCACTAGCCACTTTCAATTTTATAAAAAAAAATATTAACTAACCGAAAAAAATAATTATCTACCTTCATAATGTGTATTTTGAAATGTATGTATGTATGTAGTGTATTGGGAAATTGCCGTTCTGTAATACTGGCCATTTCCAATCAAAATAATTTTTGTTTAGCTACCAATTCTACTTTCAAATTTATTTTATTTTTAAAAAACATGGAATTCTTTTTTCAAAATTATTTATTTGTTTATTGATTATCGTTATGTATTTATCGCATTTGAATCTTTTTCGTCATTATGGATACGTTAAAAATTCGAGTAATTTTGGAATATGAGTGTCGTCGTGGCAGCCACACGGCACAAGCGACACGCAACATGAACGACGTTTACGGAACGAATACTACAAACGAGTGCACCGCCTGTTATTGGTTTGCCCAGTTCCATTCTGGAAATTTCAACCTGAAAAATGAACCCCGTGGTCGTCCGAAAACTTTGGTCGATAGAAAAAAAATTACATTAACTTAGGCAAATATGACAATTTTTTTTACTTAAATAACAGGTTCCATTCTTTACCTAATGACGCTCCGCTAATACTTTGTTACAGCTTTGGACAGCAGTTGAAGAGGGTCAAACCAAGCAACCATCTCAAGCCCCTGACTCTTTTGACGATGTCGAGATTTCAATGATGGAGTGTGATCCACAAGAAAAACCCGAATTTACAGAGGACAAGTTCTTTAAGGTAAATATTTATTTGAGTCCTTTTATTTTTGGAGTGTTCATTTTTGGTACACTGTACATCTGTGTCAGGCTTCAAGGTGAAGCATTTTTCTTACAAATTAGAAATTACTTAAAAAAACTGAGTACTTATAATATTTCTTCAATGTGTAGGATCAAGATCAGTGTGGCATTCCTTGGGCGTCGCTGGTTACCAAACCTCCTCAGCACACACTGGTAGTGGAGCGGATGCATTCAGGAGCGAGACGATATATTGTTTTGGACTTTGGACACACCATTCGTCTTACTGATATTGTAAGTGCGTTTATAGGATAATTTATATGTTTGTCATTTATTATTATAATAATATAATAACAAAATAAATGTCATCTTTACTATTTGTTTGTCAAATTCTTGATGTATGTGAGTCATATTTAGGCCCAAATACTCAAACGCTACTCAATTTTAAGATGTTAAGTCTCGTGGTGTCACAGTCACTTTAACTTAAATAAAATAGAGAGACTAAATAATTTGATTTTTGTTTTATCATGAATTTATAGAAATAGCCAATGCTGATAAAAATCGAATTGTTGATAGTCTGTTTCACAAAAGAAGTCCCACGAAAAATATGCCAGCTAAAATTAAATGTAAAGTATGGAATTTTACAGCAAATGTCAAATTTCGCGAAAATTGTGGCACTGCGATTAAAAGACTCGTGGAAAAGGCTTCCAGATTAAAATAATAATAAACGCAATAATTGACCAGTAATAAGATAAGAAATAAGATACAGGTTAAAAATAATTTTATTTCATAGATAATCCCGTCGTGCTCGGATCTGGTAACACTATGCATTGACATCTGGGTAGTGGGCGAGGAGACTGACTGCGTCAAATTGGCCTTCGCTACAGACATCGCTTCTAAGCATCTTGTCCTCACCGACATACAGCCGCCGCCGCTCTGCCGATACATGAAGGTTGGATATTTATAATCTTGGTGGTTATAGTGGATAAATAAAAACAATTTTAATTGGGGTTAACGAAATTCACAAGTATTGTGGATAAAATATTAAATATATGTAGATATTGAATAGTAATATATAATTAATTACAATTTATAGGCAAATGCATACTCAAGTTATTGAGTCTAATTTACATTTTTAAAGACTTAAAATGACATAATAATGTTTCATATTATAATATTATTATGTTAGTGTAAAATACGAAATATACCGTTTTGTTATAGATTACTACAATTGGTCGTTATGGCATGTCAGCAATGAAGTGTAAGATCCCACTAGGCTGGTTTTATGGTGAAATTGCTGAAATTGCTAATGTGCAGGCGTCTATCAATGCATTAAATGAGTTGCAACAAGATCTTAGCTGCAGATTAAGGTATGTCACATTCTTTCGTCCCACTTCTGCTTTATGTATATTAAATGACCCTTGTTACAATATAAATTAGTGATATTTTGAAAAATTGGCATAATAAGATGATTTTAATATTTTTTTTTTATAACAGGTTAGCAACAGGGAAGCTTATGGACCTCTTGAACCCATATCTGGACCTGTACAATGGAAATGCAGCTCACATGATGGCCTATTTCAACTTGGCTAATGAGGCCGACCCTAAAGTAATTACTGCATACCAGGAGTGCATAGATCTGCAGCAGCAGTTGTACAACTGCAATAATATACTGAAGAAACTTCAAAATGGCTCAGACTGCAATGATCGAGCAGTCGAGGCTATAACCAAGGGTCTCGTGACATCAAAATCCCTGCTTGAGAGAGCCTCGACTGATAAACTGCGAGTTATTGGAGAGAATATAGTTGATATGATTCTGTACTTCCTGTTCCAAATGGATGATGTGGTGAGTTGTTAATAGTTACTTACACGGAGCAAATACAAAGAGGTGTTGTAATTAGATTTCACTACGTAACAACGCGTGATAATATGCGGAGTGAGAGGATGTTAAACCCCGTCCACTACTATTTTCCGTCTACCGATAAATAGTAAAACTACTCGCATCGTTCCATATCGATGTTGCAATGTAGTTTAGCAACCTTGACGATAGATGGCGGCCTGTTCATAAAATGATTATAAAAACTATAAAAATACTATGTTGGCGATTAAAAGTTCTTTAGGACTGAATGCAAAACAAATTTCTACACCTTCGTATGATTATTTTACCAATACTGAGCTCTACGTACCTTTATATTTTTAGTTCCCATGACACAAAGTGTCGTCATCGAATATATTTAATTACATTTAAAAGCCGACGCAGAGATTTTTTTAGAACCTTTTTAATAAATAATGTATAAAATTACTTACAAATAAAATGTGATGCCATCCATAGCATCAGAGCGTCTATCTGAGTAGTTTTTACACAATAAAACACAACACTTCATCCTGTTCGTTTTAATACTATGAAAATACACCGATTTGCCATTTTCGACACATAAGCACGAATGCTGCCAGTATACTAAGTAAAGCCACGGCCACCGTGATGACGCCAGGACCTAATTAGAATCACAGTGCACAGTTGCTAATGCGATCTCCTCTTTGTATTTGCTTCATGGTTACTAATAAATTGCAGTTTTAAGGCCTTCTTTCATTTCTGAGCAGGTATTGAAATAGACAATTTGTTCATTGTTCGGAGATGGAAGGATGGAGATGATTTCCCAGCCATTATTATTGCAAGTGAATGACAGGTGAATTTCCAACAGATGATTACATGAAAGAATGTTCATCGTAACTACCTCGTGCTCTTGTACCAATTAAATCTACTAGTGCGAAAGTCAGATGTGCAACAACGATTCAAACTGCTATCTGTAGCAAATTCAAATTATTCATGATCATCACCGCAGTTTATCACAATTCCAATTGGCACAAACACGGTCTTGAGCCACCTGCATCCATCGCATTCCTCTGGATTTTTTACCAGGTCGTCACTCCATCATCGCCTTTCATTTTGTTTATCGTATGATGTATGTTTAAGTTATATAATAACGGCGGTGTTAATTAGTAAATCGTGTACGCAGCAAATACCGGAGGTGTCGCGCGAGTGGTGCGTGGCGGTGTCGCAGCTGGTGTGGTCGTGGGGCGCGCGCGGCGCGGCGGCGCTGGGCGCGCTGCTGGCGCGCGTGTGCGGCGCCGCGCGCTGGTGGGGCGACTGCCTCGCCGACGCGCTCGCCGCCGCCTTCTCCGCGCACGACGCGCCGCCGCTCGCCATCGACAGGTACACGCTCACTCACACGTGTGCGGCGCCGCGCGCTGGTGGGGCGACTGCCTCGCCGACGCGCTCGCCGCCGCCTTCTCCGCGCACGACGCGCCGCCGCTCGCCATCGACAGGTACACGCTCACTCACACGTGTGCGGCGCCGCGCGCTGGTGGGGCGACTGCCTCGCCGACGCGCTCGCCGCCGCCTTCTCCGCGCACGACGCGCCGCCGCTCGCCATCGACAGGTACACGCTCACTCACACGTGTGCGGCGCCGCGCGCTGGTGGGGCGACTGCCTCGCCGACGCGCTCGCCGCCGCCTTCTCCGCGCACGACGCGCCGCCGCTCGCCATCGACAGGTACACGCTCACTCACACGTGTGCGGCGCCGCGCGCTGGTGGGGCGACTGCCTCGCCGACGCGCTCGCCGCCGCCTTCTCCGCGCACGACGCGCCGCCGCTCGCCATCGACAGGTACACGCTCACTCACACGTGTGCGGCGCCGCGCGCTGGTGGGGCGACTGCCTCGCCGACGCGCTCGCCGCCGCCTTCTCCGCGCACGACGCGCCGCCGCTCGCCATCGACAGGTACACGCTCACTCACACGTGTGCGGCGCCGCGCGCTGGTGGGGCGACTGCCTCGCCGACGCGCTCGCCGCCGCCTTCTCCGCGCACGACGCGCCGCCGCTCGCCATCGACAGGTACACGCTCACTCACACGTGTGCGGCGCCGCGCGCTGGTGGGGCGACTGCCTCGCCGACGCGCTCGCCGCCGCCTTCTCCGCGCACGACGCGCCGCCGCTCGCCATCGACAGGTACACGCTCACTCACACGTGTGCGGCGCCGCGCGCTGGTGGGGCGACTGCCTCGCCGACGCGCTCGCCGCCGCCTTCTCCGCGCACGACGCGCCGCCGCTCGCCATCGACAGGTACACGCTCACTCACACGTGTGCGGCGCCGCGCGCTGGTGGGGCGACTGCCTCGCCGACGCGCTCGCCGCCGCCTTCTCCGCGCACGACGCGCCGCCGCTCGCCATCGACAGGTACACGCTCACTCACACGTGTGCGGCGCCGCGCGCTGGTGGGGCGACTGCCTCGCCGACGCGCTCGCCGCCGCCTTCTCCGCGCACGACGCGCCGCCGCTCGCCATCGACAGGTACACGCTCACTCACACGTGTGCGGCGCCGCGCGCTGGTGGGGCGACTGCCTCGCCGACGCGCTCGCCGCCGCCTTCTCCGCGCACGACGCGCCGCCGCTCGCCATCGACAGGTACACGCTCACTCACACGTGTGCGGCGCCGCGCGCTGGTGGGGCGACTGCCTCGCCGACGCGCTCGCCGCCGCCTTCTCCGCGCACGACGCGCCGCCGCTCGCCATCGACAGGTACACGCTCACTCACACGTGTGCGGCGCCGCGCGCTGGTGGGGCGACTGCCTCGCCGACGCGCTCGCCGCCGCCTTCTCCGCGCACGACGCGCCGCCGCTCGCCATCGACAGGTACACGCTCACTCACACGTGTGCGGCGCCGCGCGCTGGTGGGGCGACTGCCTCGCCGACGCGCTCGCCGCCGCCTTCTCCGCGCACGACGCGCCGCCGCTCGCCATCGACAGGTACACGCTCACTCACACGTGTGCGGCGCCGCGCGCTGGTGGGGCGACTGCCTCGCCGACGCGCTCGCCGCCGCCTTCTCCGCGCACGACGCGCCGCCGCTCGCCATCGACAGGTACACGCTCACTCACACGTGTGCGGCGCCGCGCGCTGGTGGGGCGACTGCCTCGCCGACGCGCTCGCCGCCGCCTTCTCCGCGCACGACGCGCCGCCGCTCGCCATCGACAGGTACACGCTCACTCACACGTGTGCGGCGCCGCGCGCTGGTGGGGCGACTGCCTCGCCGACGCGCTCGCCGCCGCCTTCTCCGCGCACGACGCGCCGCCGCTCGCCATCGACAGGTACACGCTCACTCACACGTGTGCGGCGCCGCGCGCTGGTGGGGCGACTGCCTCGCCGACGCGCTCGCCGCCGCCTTCTCCGCGCACGACGCGCCGCCGCTCGCCATCGACAGGTACACGCTCACTCACACGTGTGCGGCGCCGCGCGCTGGTGGGGCGACTGCCTCGCCGACGCGCTCGCCGCCGCCTTCTCCGCGCACGACGCGCCGCCGCTCGCCATCGACAGGTACACGCTCACTCACACGTGTGCGGCGCCGCGCGCTGGTGGGGCGACTGCCTCGCCGACGCGCTCGCCGCCGCCTTCTCCGCGCACGACGCGCCGCCGCTCGCCATCGACAGGTACACGCTCACTCACACGTGTGCGGCGCCGCGCGCTGGTGGGGCGACTGCCTCGCCGACGCGCTCGCCGCCGCCTTCTCCGCGCACGACGCGCCGCCGCTCGCCATCGACAGGTACACACACACGCACGCACACGCACATACACACACACACACACACACACACACACACACACACACACACACACACACACACACACACACACACACGCACGCACGCACGCACGCACACTCCTTTCACGCTGTCACGCTAAACTTGGTTTTCTATCGTTAACAACTTACCAGCTGTATGTAGCCCACCACAATTGCGATTGTGTTACTCTGGCGATAGTCACCGCCGCAATTTACGATCTGATCGAATATTGGTGTGAGTAATACTTTTTTTTAATTGAATAAGGATGACTAGCGAACACGCTATTACCATTAAAACGTCTCTTTTTTTTTCTACACTCAACACACATCCGCCATTATTCTTCTACTTCACCCTGGTATTCTGTGAGACCGTGTTCTTACTCTGGTCTAGCTAACAGCTAACCCATTCATGCTGCAGTTAAATATTTAACAAAAACATATTGCTATTTTTATTACTTCATTTGTCCTTCCACTCGTTTGCAGATGTCTAGTGGTAGTGATGTACATGTGCCGCAAGAGCATGTACGCGCACGTGGACACTGGAGGCGTGGGCGTAGCGGGTGCGTTGGCCACGCGAGTGCTGTCGCTGCTTCAGAGCTCTGAGCCTCAGCCTGCATTGCTGGCCGCGCTGCTCACGGCTCTGGCTTCTGTGCTTGATGCTGCACAGCCACCACCGCCCCCACTTCAACACCATGCCACACCAGGCGCACAGAGACACAAGAGGTGTGTATGTAGCTGTTAGGTAGTAGTTTGTTATAGTAAAGTTTCTCTTTTGGAGTGAAACATCTTTAAAATCACATCAAACATCAGAAAAGTAAATTGTAACAAAAAGATCTATATTGTCTTGCCTTAATAATAACAAAACTATTACTCTTAGAGAGATGTAAGTGCAATTGTCTTTATTTAACTTATATAGCCAGCTCACCGTGGACGACCTTGAGCTTGTGTGAGTTTGGCGGGGAAGAGGGACCCTTGTCCTTGTCCTTTCAGTCTTGTTTTCATTTAGATCTTCAACGCTAAAATCGACACCCTGACGTAGATGTTTTACATTAAACCAATTACCGTGTGCCCCTATACAGCCCCACCTGATCTTTTCGCTTCTTCAATACTATGGAAACACATTATGTACAAAGTAACTTACAGAATGAGGACATTAGTTAGATCGATAAATGTGTGCAAATAGAAGTGTGTTAGAAACACGTCGTGGTTATTGTTGAGAATAATATAGTGTGAAAGTGAATTTTTACTTCCTCTCTTGCTTACGCAATTTATCATTAACTGCAATAAAACAGCGTAACGCAGTACACACTTGCACAGCGCAATTATAATTCGTCATATCGTAATAAGTGCCGGTCGCGGTCACAATTAAGCATATAATGTGATGGAAGTCACATGACAACATCAAAATAAACACATCAAGAGAATCTAGGGATATTTTATATTTCATCAAATATCTAAAAATCTATGAAGAATTTTCATATATAGTAAATGGAAGAATGGTAGGTTATTTTAACGTCTTTAATAAAAAATTAATAATATTTCGCAGTTTTTTGTTTTAAATAAAAATGTAATTTTTTCAATCGCCATAGAAAATGAGTATGATAAAAAAGCTTTATTTCTTCTTATAAACTATTAATTTTTATTAAAATTGAAAACACCTTATAAAATCTAATTATTAATAACCAGTGTTGCCATCTCCTACATTAATTACACATCGACATCGATTGTTCATACTGTTGCACGCCACTATTAATGTCTTGTACATGGCAACACTAGTTACACTAGCGCCCTCTAGTGTCGAGTAGCAGAACTAGGAGAGTCCAGATCCTTCTAGAAATTTCGGGACCGATATGTACTCGAACATTCTAGATGTCGCTACAGTAGAAGATTCTGGAAACTATCTGAGGCCCTATATAAGGCCGGTATAGACCACGACCGAGGCAGTATTGAATTGGCGATACAAGAGAATACTTCGAAGCAAAATAACGGCGAACTGTGTTTTATTATTAGTGTGATTTTAAATTGTAATTAGTGTTGCGTAATTAAAGTGTCAATTTTGGTAATTCAATCGTCAGTTTTTAATTGTCTCGAACCCCAAGCTCGTAACAATACTTAAAATTAAATTGTCAATGTCTTGCTGCGGTATGAGGTCTCATGTTCTTTGGGAAGTGTTCGTAACGTTATTCTTCCATCGTCAAATTTGGCGGGAAATCTCTCAAAGTTTTTCGTTGTAACATGTCCCAGGCATGCTCGATAGGATTTAAGTCGGGCGACTGTGCCTATCCAAAACTTAAATATCGTGGTCTCTGAGAGCGGCCGACACCAGCTGCGACGGATGGGAAGGAGTATTATCGTGCATGAGTAGAAATTCCTGGCCCGTTAGGATTCTGTATATGGCAATAACAGGCTCTACTACCTCTTCGTGGTATTTTTGTGCAGTGATGCTGCCTTGAATCTAAATGAGTTGTTCCTCCGCCAAGACGAATTCCTGCCCACACCACGATAGTCCCGCCTTGGTATGAGTGAAACTCCTGAGGGTGCCGTAGAAGGCTAACTCTACCAGGAGTTCTTCAAACGCATGTTTTTCGTGAATCCGGATGAAACCCAAACCGGAACTCATCGGTGAACAGCACCAAAGACCATTGTTCGTCACTCCATGGTAAATGCTCCCGAGCCCAAGAAAGCCGCCGACCGCGTTTGCCACGTCGCAATGCTGGGACACGTAGCAGTCTTCGAGCATGAAGACCAACTTCATACAACCTCCTTCGCACGGTTTGATTGCTTACCAGCAGCTGATGGTCGTCCTGGACTATTTGTAGTAGTTGTATCGCTGTGATATTGGGTTATCTTCTGGCGGTCATTTAGAGAAATCGATCCTGTCTGTGCATAGTAATACAATATCTACCCGAGTGCCATCAGCTACATCCTCAGTACTGCGATAACGTGACCACAACCTTGTTGGTTGGTTTGTAGGGGCTCAGCAACGACACGTTTTCACATTTCACCTCGACTCAAATGACGATGTGACATGACTCTTAAAGCTCGCACGGCACGTTAAATTAAAAAAGAAAAATAATCTAATCTCTTTTCATTAAATATCAATAAAACAATTTTTATTTTCATTGACGTAACGAATTACTAACAATTTTGCCGCCGTATTTTGTTTTTTCTTTTTTTTTTTAATTTACATGTTTAAATTTAAAAAGAGAATATAAGAGGTTTCAATCTGTATATAAACTTTTTATGAAAACTAAAAAGATTTTAAACTATAAACTTGTAAATAATTTAAAATTAAGATATCCCTAGATTCTGTTGATGTGTTTATATTAAGTATGCAAACAATGAAATGATGTCACACTGGTCATCTTCACAAGAACAGATTCACTACAAACAAGGTATTGTTGTAAAAATTGGATGATTGACGGATTCATCAAACACATTAATTGTTGAATTTAGTGCTTAAACAAGAGGGGTTTCGAGTAGATAGTATGTGTAGTAAGTAGCAGTAGAAAATAAATGAGAGATGTGCATTCGTGCAGGTGGGAGTGGGTGACAGGCGGCGTGGCGGGTGCGGCGGGCGCGGCAGGCGCGGGCGGTGCGGGGGGCGCGGGCGGCGAGGCGGGCGAGGCGCGCGCCGACTGCAAGCTGCCGCGCCGCAAGCTGCACAAGAAGCTGCTGCACCAGATGCACGAGATCGAGGCCGCGCGCCGCGGCGTGCAGCTCGCCTTCGAGGAGCAGCAGGTGCACGCGCACGCGCACGCGCATGCCTGCTACTTAAACTTAACTCATTGACCTTAATCCTCCAAAACTTCTGAACCTTGAACACGCTCCTTGTATACCTCCTATCAAAAGCTATGAGATCTTTCTGGTATATTTGAAAGTAGCCTTTTCAGATACGTACGGGACGCAATGACACGATACTCTTACGCGACTATCACACTGCACTACGGTGCAATAATCTAGTTCACGTTTAACTTCCGGAGTACAAATCATGCTCACTAATATTGAAGCAACTGTTGCTATTCCATAATCTATTTGCAAAAGTCGTTATTGTTATGTAATTATATGTTATGTAATAGAAATACACATTACTTCCATTCTTCTCTTTAGCATGCTGATGGTAAATCACATAATTCAATTTGACATTGTCGAAAAAGATTAAGTTCTTTTTTGTCATTATTAAAAAAGGTGTATTCATTACACACGTGTGACTTCAGTACATACTTAAAGGTCTTTTGTTGTATTAACTTTTTATTTCTTCATAATAAGTTTCAATTTTCAACAGCGCGCTCGGCTTAACCTAAAAACACGGATGGCAATGTTTGGCAAACGAGGCAATGGCAGCAGCAGCAGTAAAACAGAGGAAGCAGAGCGAGCGTCGCACCTGCTGAGCCCAGCACTAGCCATCCAACTGGCACAGGCCTTGGTTGCACACATTCTCGCCATGGACAGCACTATTGCTGGAGAGTCACTGCTGCTTTGCTCTAAAGTATGTTCTGTGATTAAATTTTATTATAGTTATAATGGATACTTTTTTTAATGTTTATTCTTATTGAATCTCATCAATGGTATTAGTAATTACAAGTTAGATTTTTTTTTTTACTTTCATTACTTGCATATTTCCTCGACAAATGATGCTTATATTGGAAATTTTTTTCTATCGTGGCTCAAATAGGAATGTTTATTAAACTATCAGGTTTTATTTTTTTAATATATTTTATAATAAAATATCTCGGAATGACTTTTATTTTCTAAACTTTTAGGTTGTTGGGCGACTGTGCTCTGCAAGCGGTGGCGCGTCGTTGTTGGATCCCGACAGCGTGCTCGGGTTGGCACGTCTCGCCGTCACAATGCCTCCCTGGCCCCGGCACGCGATAACAACATTGCTACAAGTAACTTTAAGCAGCTCTATCTGGTTCCATCCCATTCTGCTTGGTCTTCCTATTCTGGTTTACACAAATAAGTGGTGGGGAGGGTGTCTTTTAAATACAATAATATAATCAATCTTTTGTTCAAGTTTAGTTTATATGTGAGGTTTTGCAATGATTATTTTTGCATTATATTAACACTTTCTCTGTTCTATTTTTAGACACAATAGTAAGACAATAATGGGCTAATAAATTTTTTTTTCTTAAAAAACGTTACCCCCACACTAGGATTTTCTCCTGTGTCGTGGAGGCAGTTTACAAACATAAATTGCACAAGGACAAACATCCAGACCCGGAACAATTATTTGTAGGCCATACAAATACTTGTTCCGTGCGGGATTCGAACCCGCGGCCCCCAGCGCAACAACTGATTGCTAAGCCACTGCGCCACGGAGCCGTCTTATAAAAATCAAATACATGTAGTATTAAGAAAAATAACTTTTACATACGAGATATAGCATTAGCAATAGGTATACAATTTTTTTGGAAACAAATAAATCTCAAAAAATACCACAATTTACAATACACATTACTAATACAAGCATTCTTTGATAATAAAAAACGAGGAGGTCAAAGTTACAAGTCAAGTGTTCATGATAAAGTTATTTGTTCTAAACATTTAAAGTTTACCATATTGAGTTAATGTTCTCCAGACTGAATGTCGGTCACGGCGTCCAGTCTCAACAGATACTAGGGATTTCCGCAAGACGAAATCGTGCGCAAACACAGGTGCACACCCTCTCTATACCCTCACGCTCATAGTTCCTTTGGACTTGGTTCCAACACGACCGGAGAGATATCAGGCGTAGAACCAACGGCTTTACGTGCTTTTCGAGGTACTGGGTTAAAACACTGCCAATCCGAGCTGTTACTGAGAAATAGAAAAACCAAAACCAAATGATTAACAGTCGCGATTCTACTTTATCTCTAATAGTAATTGACAGTCGGTATGCAATACGTCGTTGACGCCGCAAAAATTACGGGACAGTAAGAAAACATTTATTATTCCCCGATTACTAGCTTTTTTCATCACAAAATTCAATATATTAGACTTAATTTAAAACTACAAATAAGGTTAATTTTCTGATGAAAAAAGCTAGTAATCGGCGAATAATAAACGTTTTCTTACTCTCCTGTAATGTTTTGAAAAATGGAGGTACGCCCCTTTGCGGCGTCAACGACGAATAGTTCCAATTCAAACGAGTCCTTCACTAGTTCGATAGGTAAATCCTAAAACGTTTTTGTCGTAAGAAACAAAAGGTAATTTATGTTGAATTTTAGGATTTGGTCGAGTACGAGAACCCCGAGGGGTCATCCAGTCCCAACAGCGAGGAGTGTTGGGGAGCGGCCGGCACGTCTCGCGTGGTGCGCGTGGCGCAGGACGACACGAGCGTCGGCCGCCCGCCGCGCAAGGCCAAGGGCGCTACTGTCGCAGGTTTGTGACCTCCTATTTACGTTCATCCATACATCCATCACAGCCTATAGAATTCCAAAAACAAACATAGAATATAAATAAAGGTCTTTTCGATTGCCTTATATGGGTGATATTTGATTGCCTCTTCTGCCCATCTCCCGGTTTGTTGCCCCCACGATGTAGAGCGCCCCACACGACATAATATATATTAATTGTAGTTGTTAATAGTAGTCTAATTAAAGTCCTAGACAGAACAACACGTCTCTCTCTCTCTCTCTCTCTGTAACAGAATATCAAGTATTAATCGATTTAGTGATAGCCAAACCAAGCACTCCAGCGAATTATTCGGTTCAATTAAACACAGCTTAAAAGTGCGAATACATGCTTGCGATGCAATGCAACGCGAGGTACCTCTTGCCCTAGTTTCTATCAGTCGATTGTTATTTGTTCACAAATTACACACTACATGCTTTTTTAAAAACTTTGTTGTCTCTTGTACAGAAATAATATTTGTGTTTAGTTCTTTTAAATATGCAGGGTTACTGGGAACTCGACAACTTGTTAAAAATTTGACCATCCATATGTATGGCCTTAATGAATTTTTTTTTCTTTTTTTATACTTTATGTATCATAAAATGTTACGTACTTCAAAAAATTACTATGACGAGACATAAAAATATTTTAAAAACCTTCCCATCAGCTATCCAAAAAGGTAATAATAACCCGGTGAAGACATTTATTTATAACGTACAGTCAATTAAACTAATGTGACTCATTTCTATACTTAAACAATTTTTTACTAAGTTTTTTAATGATTAAACATCTTGCTCAATATGAGCCCCTTGGTTGCGGATTACTTGGACACGTCCTGATTCTTTTCCTAACTTCGGTTTTCGTTATTTTTGAAGATATTGTAGCAATAATCTGCTCTGCCGCATTCAAGATACGCCTTTATAGTTCTTCAAGAGAATTCACTGGGGTCATGTAGACCCTTTATGTGACCCCAAACGTAGAAGTCTAGTGGCGCCAGATCAGGACTTCGTGCAGGTCACGGAATTGGCCCTCCCCTGGCATTGGCAATCCACCTGTTTGGGTATTGGCTATTTAGCCACTCTCGTACAGATAACCGGAGGTGAGCTGGACAGCCGTCATGCTGATAAATCAAATTACTTCTAATTTCTTCTGAAACATCTACTAATAAGTTTTCCAAATCAATTCGCAAAAAGTTTTCGTAAATTTCCCCGTTTAAATTTTGTGACATACAATAAGACCCAATATATTTGTCATTTACAATACCCATCCACACATTCAAAGAAAATCTGCGCTGTGGCGTTGTTTCTTTCATTTTTTTTTTGGCTTGTTGTTCACTTTCAGTGCTCAGTAATGAAGATTATCGTAGTTTGTAATACCATCTCGCTCAAATTTGGACTCATCCGTCCGTAGAATGTTTCTTAAAAAAAAAGTTCTTCATCTGCGTTGGCGTTCAGCATGAAACGATCAAACTGGAGTCTACTCGCTGGACCTCCCTCGTACAGCGTTTTTACTGGTTGGTAATGGTACGGATGTCGGCCTGTCAGGTGCACCACCGAACATACCTTCCACTGGGACATACCGAGCCGGCGTGCTACAATGTTAGCTGAGACGTTAGGGACGTCAATAAAATGTTGCATAATTGTTTCTTCATTTTCAGCCGTAAAACGTCGTGGTCTGCCAGTATCCGCTTGATTTATGTGAATAGTGCCGCCTTCACTTAATCGTCGATAGGTAGCTCCGAAGACAGAAACGTAGGGAAGCCGGCGATCAGGAAAGTGACGTTGATATTCTCTACGAGCCCCAGCAACGTTGCCGTCAGCAATACCATAACAATACACGATGTCGGCATGTTCTTTATTAGAATATGACGCTATTTTAACTTCGACGCACCAAAACATTAAAAATGAACAGTCTAACAGATAACGGTAACAGCAATAATAACAATAACGATAACGACTGAAAACAATAACAAATGAATTAACGCGATGAGAGTTTATTAGTAGGAAGTTTAAACACGTGTTTACGCAGCGATAGTCGAAACTAACGAGCGTCGCTACGACTCAATTTAAAATGGCCGTCGGCTTTCTGAATAGATGTCAACAACCAATCAGACGCCAAGTGACTAAAAGTGTGCAAGTTCGTTCCTAAGAGCAATCATTCTTTGCCGTTCTCTACATACGTTAAGTTTTCTTTTTTAATTTATTTATCAGATCTAAAAATAATAATACAGATATAGGTCTAATTAACATTAGACTTTATTGACTTTAGATTAATTAACATTAAACCACGGAGGTTTGACTTATACAAAGTACAAAGCAAAGTCTAAGTAAGTAGTTCGGTTTGTGAGTAGGTAGTAGGTAGTGTAAGAATATAAAGACTAAGACGCCCATTACACCGTAGGTTTTGCTGTCAGTTTTACTACAATCACGGTTGTGATTGACGAATAACCTACCGTGTAATGCGGTGATTGACGGTTTCATGAAATTGATAGATAAATATCTGGATATTTTGATTTTTACGTCAATTAACTATATAATAATAAAAAGAAAACTAAAACAAAAGAGAACATTTTGGGTGCATCCTATATTAAGGACAGATTAGAATATGGAAAACATCATACCTTGCACTCTAAACTCAGATGTTACCCATATAATTTTTTTTTTATTCCACAGAATGAGTATTTCTTCTTTTGATGAGCTCGTATATCAGAATATTGTTTCAAGTCTTTTTTGTACAACGCTGGCCTTTTTTGCACTTCATCTATGAGCTCTTCTGCTTTTTCGTTTGTAACAGAGGGGATGACGTGCGCACGTCGGTGTGACTAACCAACAAAGTTGGATACTGGATAGTCCGCGAGCTTAGGTCGGCATAGGGTGCTAACGAGCGGTTGGCCGATAGTTGGACAACTTTTTCTGCCGACTTCCAAAAAGGATACTGTACTCAATTCGACTGTATGTTTTTTTATGTGTGTTACCTCCTAACTTTTTGCTGGGTGAACCGATTTCGATGATTCTTTTTTTATATGAAAGCTGATACTTCTCGTGTGGTACCATATGAATTTGATCAAGGTCAGACCAATCGTTTTTGATTTTTCTTAATAACTTATATTGAAGTCGGCTGTACAAAATTTTAAATTTTAAATCATAATTCTGCGTAATCGGAAGGGATCCTTGATTCTGATACGATCGGTGTCCAATTAATTAGTTGGACCATTTAGTTGGACAAGATGTGTGGGCTAGCTTATAATTGTAAATCTGCGGTCTCTCTTAGGACATGCATATTTGGAGATATAATATTTTTAAGAATTCTAAATTGAAGATCATAGATCTGTTTTAAATATGATTTGTACGTCCGACAATAGCTTGACAAGCCATACTGAATATAAGATTCAGCCAGAGAGATGAAGCATAAGTCTTACTTTGAAGGGTATGCAATTATTTAAGATTTTTATAGTGGCTGGAAACTGACGCAACTTATTACACACATGTTCAATGTGGTAGCTCCAGTTAAACTTTGAATCAATTATAAGACCGAAGTATTTTTGTTTGGTCACAACTTCGATCGTGTTTATGAACAATTAATGGTTTTCGAGAAGGATACCTCATGTATGGGGGGATTTGATAATCATGACTTTGGTTTTATCGGCATTTAACACTAGACCAACGTCATGGCACCAACGTATCAACATATCCAAAACGGGCTGAAGAGCATTACACGCATTTCAGATATCCTTACCCGATACGAGAAGACACGTATCATCTGCGAATTGGTAACAGGAACTGTGTTTCAGACAGTTACCCATCTTGTTGACATAAGATAAAAAGTGCAACGGGCCAAGGACTGATTCTTGGGCCGTGCCTTCTGTCACAATCTTAGGGTCATTGAACGAGTTATTTATTATAACCGTAAATGTTCGGGTTTGGAGATAATTTCTACACCAATTGAGAAAAGAACCCCGGATACTACAATCATCCAGTTTATTGATTAAGAGTGAGAGTGTAGCGTGTCGAAGGCACGAGAAAAATCAATAAGCAAGGACAGTTGACGTGTGTTCAGAAGACACATTTTTTATGGTTCAAATGCTCGTTTACTTCATCTGTAAACTTACAGATGAGGTAAGCAATTAACTTAACGACTTACTTAAGGTCCATAGTACTTTAACCCGCTTGAAATCCGTACTGGTTTTTGTTTATGAATTCGTGCTTTCGGTAAAAATTATGAATCTGCCCACCGATAACTTCTTCATCTATTTTATCAATACTAGAAAGCAGAGTGATTGATCGATGGTTGGAGTAATCGTCGTGTTTGCCCTTTTTGAAAACAGGTCTCACACAGCCTATTTTGAGGTCGTCGGGGTATTCTCCAGCATAATACTGCGGTTAATTAAATTGGTAATGGGTAAGGATATATAAATCAACCACTTTTAGATCAGCCACTCTAATACCGTCAGGTCCAGGAGCCTTATGTGAGTTCAGTCTCTTAATGATTTTGTTTACATTGTCCTGAGAAACCTTTTGGAACCGAATACTAGAATCCACCGGTCTCCGATAAGTTAGGGATTTGGTTAATTTTAAGCTGCATCGAGGAACAATGTTTTTTACTGCCTTTTCAAAGTTTATTTAAAGATTTAGATTAAGAGATTTGTAAGATTATTTGCGAAGTTGTTAGCTATCGCTTTGGTGGTAAGGTCTGTCCTGTCCGTCAAAAGCCTCCAGTATCGCCTCATCAATGGATAATTTTACTCGTCCAAACATCTGGTTAATGATTTTATAAACTTTTTGTATCTTTAAGTAAACGACCCTTTTATTATTATTATTGACTTGATATTATTACCTTTTTGGATAGCTGATTGTTGTTGATAAGTTTTTAAAAATATTTTTATGTCATGTCAAAGTAATTTTTTGAAGTACATATCATTTTATGATACATAAAGTGTACAAAAAATAAAAAAAAATAAAAAAATAATTTATTAACAAATTAGAAAGATTTTTTTAACGCACGCACTACGAAAAATTTTGTAATTGTCCTTGAAGGACCCCTAAATACCCCTCAAGGTCAGGCCGAAGGGTAGCGGCCCCCTACCAACCTTCTTTTTTAAAGGGAAATTTCTTTGAAAAAAAATTATTTTTGCTCATCATCTCTCCTACTATAAACCTTCAACTAAGGGTTACAAAGGGCATATAGCTGTATATATCTTATAACTAATATACATACTTTTTATAACTCATTATTCATTACTTGAACCGATCTATTAAGCCGAGTATGAGTAGTAAGAAAATACCGAATACGGCGAGTACCGAGTGGAGTAAAAGGAGTGCTCGGCGCTCCTTTTAGTAATATTAGTAATGTTTTTTCAGATGTTAGTAATACAAATACTATTTTTTCAAATTAACTTTATATTTTGTGTTTTTATTTTCTAACTATCAGTGAAAACGGCACGACTTCAGACGGACGGACAAACGAATGCCCATTATTCAGTAACAACATTGTTGTCATTGCAGATTTGTTAGCAGATAGTTTTGGTCTGACGAAGACCAGTGACGCTACCAAGCCAAAAACTGTCGAAACTACACCCGCGACCGCAAGTAAGGATTATAGCATTAACTGATGTGACGCGGCTTCGCTGTGCAATGAGTTTGTCTGTTTGCTTGTCGCTGTACGAGCTTGTTAGATCGATTTTCGTGTTATTTTCACTGGTAGATAGATGTCGCTGCACAGTAAATTCGTTGTTATTTATGTGAAGCAAAACTAAGGAAGCTTTTTCAAAATAATTGTTTTATAGGTCATTGATGTTTTATATATAATTTAGTCAAGTTTAACCCCTTTATCTTAATACCCGCTAATTGTGGGACTGTTGTATATTATGTCAAAGAAATATAAGAGCTTAAGAAGATAAGAATTCTTTAACTAGAAGGCTGTAGCAGTATTCTATTTTTCTTTAAACCACTCATCCCCAGCCAGTTGGAATAATCTTGCAGAATAGCAAAAGTTAAAAATATATTTCTATGATTCTAGCAGTAGCGTGAATTTATTATTCAATTGTTTATCGTTATATAGCATTACCGTTATTAGTAGTCTTGAAATTAACTTGTTTGAATCCTTCAAATGAAGGTTGGTGGAAGATCAGTCGGAACTTCAGATTCAGTTTGTGTGTATTCATTACAGAATGTTCCATTCTTAACATTTTTTAATGTAACACCTATTATATGTCAGTTATGCACCTTATTGTTGAATAATTCCTTGAACTTTCCCTTCAATTTTAAGTTTCCTATTGTTGCAGAACATGAGTAGAGACAATGGTTATGAATGGTATGGATAGGTTAGAATATGAGTAAAGGCAAGGTAGTTCGTATTTAAGTTCTCGAGACATGTCTCTGTACCCTAGCTTTTTATGCTTTTCAATTAAGTTAGTTTTCGCTTAGTTGGTATGTTTCCTCTAAAATAATATATTTTTTTTTATTTTACAATTATTCATAGATGTATAAAATATTTAACTTAATATAAACTACTATTTATTGTCCCGAAACAGATACAATCAAGGACATGGAGTATCAACTTGGTCAAGTTGTGGAGTCGGATGATTCAGAGAGTGAAGAGAAGCCTGATTTAGATTTTCTGGATGCGATCAAGAAGGATAACAAAACGAAACCCACAGTAGACAACTACAATACAAGGTTACTATCTCGAAACTAATCATTTAGACATGTCTGGAATTTTTTTTTTTTAAATATAAGAGTGATATATCAGTTAGTAGTTTATGTGATGATATGGAGCCATTGCGGTTTATAGAAGATTTCAGAGGCTTTTTTATGCTTGAGCGCTAAGATAGGATGCCTTACAGTAAGTCATTAAGGACGCGTTTGCAAAATTGATAGGTATAGAATCGAACTATTATATTGACACGGGTTACACACACAAGTGTACGGTTAGCTGCAGAAATCGTAATCAAGTAAAACATTTTGATACTTTGAAAGATTGATTTTTTCCTCATTTCCTTTACCTACAAGAATATACTTAGATATGAAATTCGAATACCTACCTGTGTGACCTGAAAGTGTCCTTCGGTGACTGCTACTGGAACTCCTGGACGAGTAGAATAAGGTGTGCGAGTTTAGGCTCGTTTTGTTAGTTATGATGAGACTTTACCTGCGGACTTGATGGAGCAACCTGAAGGTATACTTCGGTGACTACTACTGGAACTCTTCCATGAGTAGAACTAGGTGTGCCAAGTTAGGGCTCGATTTGTTAATTATGATGAGAATTTACCTCCGCGCTTGATGGAGAGACCTGATGGTGTACTTTGGTGACTACTACTGGAGCTCCTGGACGAGTCGAACTAAGTGTGCCGGGTTTGGGCTCGTTTTGTTATCTATGATGAGACCTTACCTTCGGACTTGATGCAGAGACCTGAAAGTGTACTTCGGTGACTGCTACTGGAACTCCTGGACGTATAGAATAAGGCGTGCCGAGCTTAGGCTCGATTTGTTAGTTATGATGAGACTACCTGCGGGCTTGATGAAGAGACCTGACGGTGTACTTCGGTGACAACCAACTGAGTCACCGAAGTACACCATACTACTACTCGTCGAGGAGTTCCAGTAGCAGTCTACTGAAGTACACCTTCAGGTCTGCATAAAGTCTGGAGGTAAGATCTATCGTAGAAAATGGCTAGGGAAGATAGTTTTTACAATATAAAAAATTATTATATTCAACAAAAAACTTACTACCATTTGAAGATGAAGAACCAGTCTATACGTGGTAGTTATTAGTTATATATTTGGATTAGTTTTGTAACAAAATGTACCCAAAAACATCATAATTTTGCCCAATTTGCAAACGCGTCCTTGGTTTTCTTACCCTACAAACTTTTTTGTTTTGGAGTAGAATAAGCACTATCAAAACCTTAAGTTAAAAACTAGAATGTCGCTTAAATAGTTGAATTAAAAAAAATATCTAATATTTTTCCAGCCGTACGAGCGGAAAATTTTAAAATTTGTATAGCACCACCTTTATCATCATCACCATCATTACCATTATTACAAGTCCACTGCTGAACATAGGCCTAATAAAACATACTACCCTATTTAATAAAAAAAAGGATTTATTAAAATCTGTTAACAATTCGCGAACTTATTGCGTAGGTGTAGGTACATTACAATGAAATACAGTTGAATATAACTTCCCTTTTTTGAGGTCAGCTTAAAACAGGAAAGTGCGTATAAATTTGTATAGTTCTTGTAATTTACGGTGTCGATTTTTTTAATAGTATATGGGTGATAAATGAGCATACAGTCTGCTTACTACAATAAATCTCAATAGAATACATAGAGGCAATGTACAAAACATTGCTTCTATGTATTCGTTATGTACACGTTTTTAGTGTACTCGTATATAAACTAAAAATCTTTTATTTTTAACGCAATATTTCAATGAAGATGACATTAACTTATTTCCGTGATAAAATCACTTCAGTCTCAACTAGCGACCTCTGGTGAGCGTAAGATTATTAGCCCTCATTGCATGAATTTTACACTTACTAGCGATTCGCCTCGGCTTCGCACGGGTGATTTCTGTATCTCGATAACAACACTACGTACCGGGTCCAATTGTGAATCTAAATAACTCAATTTAATCATACACACAAGATATCATCAAAATCGATCCAGCCGTTTAGGAGAAGTTTAGTAACATACACGGACAGAATAATTATATAATATAAAGATGTGTCGTTTGTGCAGCAACATATCGTGCTGCGTGGACGCGCGGCTGGAAAGCGGTGCGGCGGCGGCGAGCGAGGCGCTGGCGCGGCGCCTGCTGGCCGCCACGGCCGGCGCGCTGCACGCCGCGCTGCGCGCCCCGCCGCCCGCGCCGCCGCCCGTCGCGCCGCCCGCGCCCGCGCCCCCCGCGCCGCCGCGCGCACACCCGCCGCTCGCGCACACGCTCTACGACGTGTTCAGGCATCTCGCGCTCGAGTTCCCGCATCAGGTATCTACACGAACCTTACTATTACTACATTGCACACTACTCGCGATATAATTCTTTTGGAATCACCACTAAATTCTCCATTAATGTTGAGGCTTAGTTATGTTGTTGTGCACCTAATTACTATTTTGATACTTTATTGATCACTAATGAAGTTAAAAAAACAGTCGTACTTTATGTATTCCGATTTTGGTGTTAATTGTGGACCTATTAGCGCGGGACAGATGTTTAATAAAAGTAATAAAATTGAATATAGTTATTGAATACATGCGTAAACGAAATCCAATGTATAATTATTATTAGCTCGGTTATGCATATTATTTACATAGTTCATGTATTTTGCAACAAAGAAGTATGTTGTAAAAATTAATATATGACGTTAATCACTTTGTTTCAGCGAGACTGCAGCCTGATGGAGAACGTGGTGTCGCTTTGGCTGACGCTGAACGGGTCCGCGTGGGGCGGCGGCGGTGCCTGGTCGCTGGCCGCACTCGCCGTGCCCGCCGACGCGCCGCGCGTGCGCCTCGCGCCCGACACCGTCACCGCGCTGCTGCAACAGCTCTGCACGTGAGTGTACCCACCGCACTCGCACACGCACGTACACACGCACACGCCCACGTACATACACACGCGCCGCGCGTGCGCCTCGCGCCCGACACCGTCACCGCGCTGCTGCAACAGCTCTGCACGTGAGTGTACCCACCGCACTCGCACACGCACGTACACACGCACACGCCCACGTACATACACACGCGCCGCGCGTGCGCCTCGCGCCCGACACCGTCACCGCGCTGCTGCAACAGCTCTGCACGTGAGTGTACCCACCGCACTCGCACACGCACGTACACACGCACACGCCCACGTACATACACACGCGCCGCGCGTGCGCCTCGCGCCCGACACCGTCACCGCGCTGCTGCAACAGCTCTGCACGTGAGTGTACCCACCGCACTCGCACACGCACGTACACACGCACACGCCCACGTACATACACACGCGCCGCGCGTGCGCCTCGCGCCCGACACCGTCACCGCGCTGCTGCAACAGCTCTGCACGTGAGTGTACCCACCGCACTCGCACACGCACGTACACACGCACACGCCCACGTACATACACACGCGCCGCGCGTGCGCCTCGCGCCCGACACCGTCACCGCGCTGCTGCAACAGCTCTGCACGTGAGTGTACCCACCGCACTCGCACACGCACGTACACACGCACACGCCCACGTACATACACACGCGCCGCGCGTGCGCCTCGCGCCCGACACCGTCACCGCGCTGCTGCAACAGCTCTGCACGTGAGTGTACCCACCGCACTCGCACACGCACGTACACACGCACACGCCCACGTACATACACACGCGCCGCGCGTGCGCCTCGCGCCCGACACCGTCACCGCGCTGCTGCAACAGCTCTGCACGTGAGTGTACCCACCGCACTCGCACACGCACGTACACACGCACACGCCCACGTACATACACACGCGCCGCGCGTGCGCCTCGCGCCCGACACCGTCACCGCGCTGCTGCAACAGCTCTGCACGTGAGTGTACCCACCGCACTCGCACACGCACGTACACACGCACACGCCCACGTACATACACACGCGCCGCGCGTGCGCCTCGCGCCCGACACCGTCACCGCGCTGCTGCAACAGCTCTGCACGTGAGTGTACCCACCGCACTCGCACACGCACGTACACACGCACACGCCCACGTACATACACACGCGCCGCGCGTGCGCCTCGCGCCCGACACCGTCACCGCGCTGCTGCAACAGCTCTGCACGTGAGTGTACCCACCGCACTCGCACACGCACGTACACACGCACACGCCCACGTACATACACACGCGCCGCGCGTGCGCCTCGCGCCCGACACCGTCACCGCGCTGCTGCAACAGCTCTGCACGTGAGTGTACCCACCGCACTCGCACACGCACGTACACACGCACACGCCCACGTACATACACACGCGCCGCGCGTGCGCCTCGCGCCCGACACCGTCACCGCGCTGCTGCAACAGCTCTGCACGTGAGTGTACCCACCGCACTCGCACACGCACGTACACACGCACACGCCCACGTACATACACACGCGCCGCGCGTGCGCCTCGCGCCCGACACCGTCACCGCGCTGCTGCAACAGCTCTGCACGTGAGTGTACCCACCGCACTCGCACACGCACGTACACACGCACACGCCCACGTACATACACACGCGCCGCGCGTGCGCCTCGCGCCCGACACCGTCACCGCGCTGCTGCAACAGCTCTGCACGTGAGTGTACCCACCGCACTCGCACACGCACGTACACACGCACACGCCCACGTACATACACACGCGCCGCGCGTGCGCCTCGCGCCCGACACCGTCACCGCGCTGCTGCAACAGCTCTGCACGTGAGTGTACCCACCGCACTCGCACACGCACGTACACACGCACACGCCCACGTACATACACACGCGCCGCGCGTGCGCCTCGCGCCCGACACCGTCACCGCGCTGCTGCAACAGCTCTGCACGTGAGTGTACCCACCGCACTCGCACACGCACGTACACACGCACACGCCCACGTACATACACACGCGCCGCGCGTGCGCCTCGCGCCCGACACCGTCACCGCGCTGCTGCAACAGCTCTGCACGTGAGTGTACCCACCGCACTCGCACACGCACGTACACACGCACACGCCCACGTACATACACACGCGCCGCGCGTGCGCCTCGCGCCCGACACCGTCACCGCGCTGCTGCAACAGCTCTGCACGTGAGTGTACCCACCGCACTCGCACACGCACGTACACACGCACACGCCCACGTACATACACACGCGCCGCGCGTGCGCCTCGCGCCCGACACCGTCACCGCGCTGCTGCAACAGCTCTGCACGTGAGTGTACCCACCGCACTCGCACACGCACGTACACACGCACACGCCCACGTACATACACACGCGCCGCGCGTGCGCCTCGCGCCCGACACCGTCACCGCGCTGCTGCAACAGCTCTGCACGTGAGTGTACCCACCGCACTCGCACACGCACGTACACACGCACACGCCCACGTACATACACACGCGCCGCGCGTGCGCCTCGCGCCCGACACCGTCACCGCGCTGCTGCAACAGCTCTGCACGTGAGTGTACCCACCGCACTCGCACACGCACGTACACACGCACACGCCCACGTACATACACACGCGCCGCGCGTGCGCCTCGCGCCCGACACCGTCACCGCGCTGCTGCAACAGCTCTGCACGTGAGTGTACCCACCGCACTCGCACACGCACGTACACACGCACACGCCCACGTACATACACACGCGCCGCGCGTGCGCCTCGCGCCCGACACCGTCACAGCGCTGCTGCAACAGCTCTGCACGTGAGTGTACCCACCGCACTCGCACACGCACGTACACACGCACACGCCCACGTACATACACACGCGCCGCGCTTCGCGCTTCCGCGTTCACACAAACACATGAGCGAGCATCTACCGTGCAACTTCACCAACACTGTACGTGAGTGCGCGCCTCCTTAATCACACCCGCACATATACACGCACCCGCGCATACGCATGCATACACGATGGAGGTGCGCATATTTTGTCTCTAGTTCTTATCACTTACTACAACACACAATACCCTACACTTGCGGTGGTCATAACGCGTTGCGTGCGAGTGGCAGCGTATAAAATCTATAGCGTAGTATACGAACTCCACATTTGCTCTCACGTGTCGACGGAGGCACGTAAAAGAGCGTACACGCCGTGTCGTGCGAGTGGTCCTAGATATCTGAGACACGTTGTTTGAGTGGCAGTGGCGCGAGTGTCCCTAAACTAATACCAAACTCTACTATCGCATCCATCTTACTTGGTTGGCATTGACGAACTGATGCACGACTCGTGTCCGCAAATGCGGACGCGTACGTGTCGACCAATATTAGGCGCACTATCGTGAACGAGTGAGAATTTGGGCATATGCGGCGGGCCTAAAAGTCCTAAAATTAGTATATAAATCTCGAAGCCTTTTACCGAATTTAAATCACAATATAAAACTGGCACATTTTCATTTCTTGTGTTTCTACAAATACTAATAAACATTTACATTACATTTATATACATTTTGAAATTTACTTTCAAAACTGTTTATTTTGTATTATGTGTTTAGCGTATTTCCATTATTTACGCTGTGTGAAGTCATCGTAATAAGGATATCAACAGTAGAACCAGAGAGACCAACATTGCCCACCAGATCAATAAGCTGAAGTGACAAAGGGCCGGCAAGAATCCGACAACTATACATTAATGATGATGTTGATTATGATAATTTACACTATTATTCTTGTTTACAGATTAGAAAATGTTTCTCTAAGATGCTGGGTGTTATCGATGCAAGCATTGGCGTGGATTGCAGGTTTACCGCTTCATGTAAGTTTTCTTTTTGCAGTATTTTTTATTTTTATCATATAATTAAAAAGATGTTGATTTAAATTCTCTCTCACTCAGACCTGTGAAATATTTCTGTTAAATAATCTAATATACTATACGCAATTTCCTGTATTTTTAACGAGGATCAGAAATTTTTCAAATGCTTATTTTTTCTACAATAGACGGAGGGCAGTGTACAGACGATTGGGCGAGTGATACTTGAATGCGAATATTTTGTGCCCGCTCTCGTAAAATTCATCTCGATGGATGTTAGCGCAGATGGTGCTGTTTACTCGTCGGAACCATATCTTGTAAGTATAAGTAATTGAGTATTTGACTAGTCTAGTTATGTAGTTAATTGAAATTATTTTTTGAGGTTGTCAGAATTTTGGTGCGTCAGAACTCTCGAAAGATTCCACCCAGGATCCTCAAATGCTGTATACAACATCGTATCAGGAGACGAATCCTGGATATACGCGTACGAACCCGAAACAAAAAACCAGTCACGAGTTTGGGTGTTCGAAAATGAATTAAAGCCAACAAAAATTGTTCATTCACGGAGTGTTGCAAAAAAAAATGTGGCCACGTTTGTCTCCAAAACCGGCCATGTTACGACTAATCCTCTTGAGGGACAAAGAACGGTTAATGTAGAATGGTAAGCTAGCATTTGTTTGCCACAGGTCGTTTCTGAACTCCGTAAAGAGAACTGCAACCACCGCATCATCCTCAATCACGACAATACGAGTTCTCACACCGCACACAGAACAAAAGAGTTTTTAGAGCAAGAAAACATAGAATTATTAGACCATCCGCCGTACAGCCCCGACCTAAGCCCTAATGATTTCTATACTTTCCCTAAATAAAGAATAAATTGCGTGGACAGAGATTTTCATCACCTGAAGAAGCTGTGGGCGCCTACAAAACGGCTATTTTGGAGACCCCAACTTCTGAATGGAATGGTTGCTTCAATGATTGGTTCCATTGTATGGAAAAATGTGTCAAATTTCGCAGAGAATACTTCGAAAAGTAATAAATACATTTTTAAATAGTAATGTTGTGCCACTTCCTTGATTCACGAAATTTTCATTGTCGCCCTCTTACCTATTTGTTTGTTTCGTAATTTGATCACGGTGTCGACAATTTGTGTTAGTATTATAAGATTGTTAAATAGTAAATATTGAAAGTATTAAATTGAAAGCAATATACATGACTTATGTTTTCGTGTTGATATGATTTTAAGGAGACATTTATGGAACAGTGAATGTAATTTAAGTTACTTAATGTTAAGTGAACTTATGATACTTATGTTTTATAAATAGATTTCACGGACTAGAATTTATTGGATTTTCGGCATGGAGGCCTCAGCAAAGCATTTTTTAATGCAAGGGATAGAATGTCATGTATGAAGAATTGGGAGGAATTGTCTTAATTATTGAATAGTGATGGTAGAACTTACATTTATCAAACGTTATTTACACAAAAACTTGAATACTTTCTTTGAAAAGGCGATGTCTATCCTTAAATTGGCTGTCATCGAGGCTACACCTCTGAAAATGCATGAGCACGAAAATGCAACGGACTGAAAAATATGCACAAGCTTTCGCTGTAACACTTGCGTTATAACAGCATTCATCTATTATTATTACTTATTAATGCCTTAGAAAAGCCTTAAAAAACATCCTGCCTTAATTATAAATCATTCACACAAAACGAAATAAAATGAATTCTTTAACAATAATTATCACTACTTTTTCACTGTAAAAATCTATGTGAGAACTTTTTCGATCGCGATAGCGTAAACTTTACATAAGTTACCTACGTCTCGAACGATCAAAATTGCCGCTCGCACTCGCAAAATACTTTAAACAACCAATCACGAGTGTTAACGCTCTCACTGTCGAATACGAGTCAATGCTCGATGGTCAATATCGACGACTTAATAAACTCGCACTCGTGAATTGTGTTTCCGATTATTGTCACTATTTGACGCTGTTTTTATTTCATACAAATCATGGTTAACTTTTTCGGGATCGAACACGTAAAAAAACTCGTACTAGGCACGCCGATGGCAAAGTTAACTTCCATTGGTAAAGTTGGCAGACTTGACTGCATATTAAATGTACGCAGTGTTGTTTGATTGTTGGTTTGAAGTGAGAGCGCGGTTGTTCCCCGGTGGAGGCGAGTGATATTAACGTTGTGCGTGTGTTTTAGGGCGGGGCAGGGGCGGGCGCGGGGCTGGGCGCGGCGGGCGCGCTGGCGGCCGTGCTGTCGCGCGTGGTGAAGGCGCGCGGCGGCGCGGGCGCGCTGGCGGCGCTGCGCACGCTGGCCGCGCTGTGGACGCAGCGGCCGCCGCCCGGCGCGCACCACGCGCTCGACCTGCACGCCGCGCTGCTGCGCGCCGCGCACGCGCTGCTGCCCGCGCTGCCGCCCGCACACCTGCACCACGCGCTGCCGCTGCTGCGCGCCATAGGTACCTACATGCACGCACATCATACTATCCGATAGACCCGACTGGTGCCAAAGTCCGATCCCACTTGAAACGTGCCCTACTCTTGTGAAAGCTTTCACTGTTGGACGTTTGCGTTACGTCTTGCAGTCATGACGATAAATATGAGATATTGTCTTTTCAATTTTGCAAATCAGTTTACCACATGGCCTTATGTATATTTTGAAGTGATTCAAAATTTATTTTCATATCCTCAAACTTGGGATTATCGCATTATGAATGCACCTTGTGATAGTATAACAAAGAAAGGTTTTTATATAAATGTTATACATGGCGGCTCTGTGGCGCAGTAGCTTAACAATGATTTACGATGGTAGGGATCTTGGGTTCGAGTTTCGCACGAAACAAGTATTTGTATACTTTACAAGTAATTTTGGGGGTCTAAAGAAAAGAGGAGAAAAAAGATGACAAATTTCAGAAAAAACTAGTGTCACACACGCACACAACAATTAAAGTATAATAATAGCTCAGCGCTGTTTGTCGGGCTAACTTTGCTTTTAATTTTATATGCAGCGGCGCAAAGCTCGAGTTGGGTTCGCGAAACGAACGGGCCGGTGGGGGCGGCGGGCGCAAGTGGGGTGAGCGGGGCGGGCGGCGGGCGCAGCGAGGGCGGCGCGGAGGCGCGGCTGTCGGGGCTGCTGGCCGACGTGCTGGCGGGCGGCGCCGCGCCCGCGCGCCGCGTGCCGCCGCGCCGCGCCGTGCTGGCGCACCTGCTGCACCTGGCGCGCCGCCTGCTCGCCGCACACCTGCCCGCCGACGACGTGCGCGCCCAGGTCACTACTCTGCTGCACTGCTGCTCCGCACACTAAACACCATTCAAATAATGTGTACTACGTATTAAAACAAACCGTGTAGTGGCGGTGTAAAAATATCCGCTACCTCATATCATCCCGTGGGTGTCATGAGAGGCGGTAGAGGGAAACAAATCAGGAGATGGGCAGCAGCGTCTTCCTAATAACGACTAAAAATAAAATATTGCGATTGCCAACCAGATAGCCATGTGTTGCAACTAAGGCATTTATGAGGCAATTGATGGGGGAGGCCTATGTTCAGCAGTAAACTTTAATAGGCTGTAACTGTTACTGTAAGAATCAAAACGCAGATGTATTGCTACCGCTGAGGACTAAGATAGAGGAATAATAAAAAAAATGGTCTCCGATTCTTTACACTCTCCACACGAAACACAGCTACATTAAACTGCCATTTTAAGCTGGTATTCAGTAAGCGTGCTCCTTCTCCGAATAATCCGATCCATTCATGCTGTAGCAGTAATATAACTACATGATGGCTCCACCGCATAAAAACCGCGTAAAATAAGAGTTGAAACTGCTATAAAAATAATTTCTATACTGCTATTGGAATACCGGTGAAAGATGTTGTATTTTCTAATAATCAAATAATTTTCTATACTTGTACAATTATTTTAATATCAATGTGTATATGAATTTATAAAGAAAAATATAGTTGTAATTGAACCATTTCAATTCCTACTGCACATTAATATTAAGTATATGTTGTATATGGTTTTATTAAAGGTAGACTAATTAAATTATATAGTTTTCACGCTGTCATGAATTCAATTTGATTTAAATTAAAATAAATTAAAATTCTATCAAAGAATAAATAGAATTTATAAAGTCTGATGATAACGAGAACGTCATTGATCCCTGTTTAAGGTGAAAGCGCTAGTGTAGCCCGCAAAATTCAAAGAAGAATGGCAGATTTTCATACATAAACTTAGTTGAGAAGGAATGGTAGCGTCTATATATCAAAAATATCTTAAAATGTTAAGCGTCAGTCCCTTAATAACTCTGTCAAAGAATTTTGGCCTGAGAAGGCGTCAAAAAAAAAGATATTTAGATTTGAACCTTTTTAGGTTATGTCTTATATCACATCGAAAAAGTCATACTTCCTTTGGTTGTTAGATGTTATTAAACATAATACATAATTGAGAGTATTTAGATTATTGTATTTAAATTATATATTTGCATACTATAAATGTATATTTCTGGCGAGGCTCCAGGCACAGATTACTTAATAGTTTACTAAACAGATAGATACATCACTCCCATACAAAATCTTAACTTATATCACATCGAAAAAGTCATACTTCCTTTGGTTGTTAGATGTTATTAAACATAATACATAATTGAGAGTATTTAGATTATTGTATTTAAATTATATATATAATGATATTTGTTCAACAATTAGGTGATATGATATCGTAAATCAAAACACAACTGAGTTTCTCTGTAATAAAAGATTTATGTTAGTTAACATGTTTGTTTAGTACTAATTACAAAGTATAATATTCTATTTATTATAAACCTTACCTGTAATAAAAGAAACGACATTTAATGTTATTAATTACAATATCAATTCCTAACGTCAATAGTTTTCATAATGGAATTCATTCGACCACAGACTAACTAAAAAAAGGCTGACTATATTCGCTGGCGCTAGCAGCGCGGCCTTTATTTGAACTAAAGAAAATATATTTTCTTTACATCACCCCCCTGGGAAAGATAACACATACAAAATATTACGAAAGTTTATCATTAAATATAACCTATTGTGACTTTTCAACACTTCTTAGTCATCTTCGTCAAGCATCGGAGCTGGAACCAATTTTGAGATATGGAAAAAGTTAGACTCTGCTTTTTTATTTCCAGAGTTGATCCTGTAAATCGTGTTAGACAATTTTTCCATTATTCTGTATGGTCCGATTCTCAGTTCATCAAGCTTTTTCCTATTTAGCATGTTGCCATTTTCCACAAAAACCATATCACCCACTTTGAAGTCGAAGTGTATACGATTTTTATCATAAAGTGTCTTGTTGTAATTGTGTGACTGAAGTGTATTTTCTAGAGCTTTTTTCCTGTCTTGAATCCAATTGGTTTCTGTCTTCTTTGGTTTTAGCTCATTAGGCAAAATCGTAACATCGGTGCCATTTAATAGATACGTGGGAGCATATCTAGTGACAGTATGCTCCGTTTCATTATATTTTTTTACACAATTTTGTGCTATGGTCGTCCATGCTACTTTAGTATCATTTTCGTTAATCTTGCATCTAATTTTGTTAACCAATGTTTGATTTAGTCTCTCATTTAAACCATTCGAAAAGGGTGAATTCACTGCAGTAAAAATTAGTTGAATATGTTGGTCTTCTAAAAATTTTTTAAATTCCTTTGAATTAATACCTGGATATTGATCAGAGAGAATCATGCCAATATTGTCAGATTCTGCGGTGTTCTTCACTAGTTTAATAAAATCATTTGCATTTTGAGTTTTTGATGTCAAAATAAATGCATACCTCGTGAAATGATCTAATAGTAGGTGCAAGTACTTTTTTGTGGACCTGGAACCCCCAAAACCTCCAATCGTATCAATAGAACATATCTCAAAGGGTTTCGTAGCCGGGCCCAAATGAGACATCATTCCATATTTGTATTGTCCCCTTGATTTGTTTTTTATACATACCGTACAATCTTTACAGGTTTTTTTTATGTTCTTTGTTAAGTTTTCAGCTGTATACAGTGAACTTATTGTTTTTTGCATTTGATTTATTCCTATGTGACCTAGGTCCATATGTATTCTTTTAATGAATTCCCTGCTAAATTTTTCCGAGAGAATTATTTTATCTTTTTTCTTAACTTTTTTATAATAAATATTGTGATCTGATTTTAGCTTTTCTTTCCTGGACTGTATATATTTATTTATTTCTTGATCTTCTAAAATATCTTTTAGTTTTATTAAGTTTACCACTTTTAATTGTTCCTCCAGGTTTTCAGTGTGATCTAAGACTGGGTTCCTGCTCAGGCAATCAGCTTCCAAGTTGTATCTTCCTGGGGAATATTTTATTTCAAAATCATATTGTGATAGGTAGTATGTTAAATCTCCTAGTTCTTCATCAGTTCTTGATTTTATGTTCATATTCTCCAACGGTTTGTGATCTGAGAAAACAGTGAATTTCCTACCTATCAACAGATGTTGCCAATACTTTACACATTCTTTTATTGCTAAGCATTCCAGATATATAGCCTTCTTCCTTTTTTGTACTTCATTCAATTTTTTTGAGAAGTATGCTACTGGTTTTTCTTCCTTATTTTCTTGTAGCTGTTTTAGGACGGCCCCCACTCCTAGTATACTAGCATCTGTGTATATGTGTATAGGCAATTTTGGATCATAAATCGTTAATATCGGTTGAGAACATAATATTTGTTTCATTTCATCAAACGATTCTTGACATGCTTTGGTCCAATTAAAGGCTTGTCCTTTTCTCAAAAGGTTATGCAATGGATCCAATTTTATTGCTATTTTTGGTACATATTTATGATAAAAATTTATCTTTCCTAAGAATTGTCTCACATTTTTTTGTGTTTTTGGTGTTGGAAAATTCTTAATTGATATCAAGTTGTCTTTAAGAGGTCTAACTGAATTATTTTGTATTATGTGACCCAGATATTTTACTGAGTCAGCTGCAAACGTGCATTTGGAGAATTTAAGTCTAAATCCTTCACTTTTAATTGCTTCGAACAGCTTTGTTAGATGCTTGACGTGATCAGAGAAAGATTTGGAGAATATTAAAATGTCATCTATGTAAGTTATTGTGAACTCTGCAAGTTTGTGTTTTCTTATTATGTTACACATTATTCTCTGAAATATTGCTGGCGAAGTTTTTAGGCCAAATGGTAAACACGTCCACTGGAAGTGACCTTCTTGTGTCACAAACGCAGTTTTGTGTCTATCCGTAATACGTAGAGGTATTGACCAAAACGCTGAGTTTATGTCCAGTGTGGAGAAATATTTGCAATCTCTTGTTTTTATCATTAGGTCCTCAATAAGAGGAAACGGTTGTGATTGCGGCACAACAATTTTATTTAGGTCTCGAAAATCTATACACAATCTTGATCTTGTGTTTTCCTCTTTTTTGTAAGCTAATGTTACTGGTGCCGCAAATGGACTATATGATTCTTCGATCAAATTTCTCTTTAATAATTGTGCAATTTGTTGTTCGATTTCTTTTTTATCTTCGATTGTGCAACGATATGGTCTTTTACTGCAATATTTTTCTACTAATAAATCAATGTGTGCTTCATAATCCTTTACTGTGCCAATGTCATATTTATCTTTTGCAAAAACAGATTTATTCTTTGTTATTAAATCATCAATTATTGCCTGTTTGTCAATGTCTAAATGGTTTATCCAAATAATGAAATTTTCTTTATTGAAGTATTCGTTAAAGTTAATAAGGTTTTTTTTGTCATTTTGAGAATTTTCAAATTTTATTTCCTTTCGAATTATTTCATTTTCTGACTCTTTATTTTTCATTTCTTTAGAAATATTGTCAATCTCTAACCTTTTTGTTATTGTTTCCTTAGAAACGTTGTTTGTCTCTGAATTTTTAATATATTTTTTTTGTATTGGAACTTTTTGACTGATTTCTAAGTTTTCATTTTGAATTAAATAGAATTTTTTTATACAGTCTAGCCCAATCAAAAAATCATGATCAAAATTTTCATGATCTATTACAAAGACATCCATTTTTCTTTCTACATTAAAAATATTTACGTCAAGTGTTATTATACCACTTGCCTTTTTAACGCCATTAATTGTTTTTAAATTAGTATTGTTGGAATAACCTAATGTTTTATGTTTAAATTTCAGTAATCTTGAATTTATCAAGGACACGTTTGAGCCTGAATCATAGATTCCAAATACTTCAAGGTTTTTATTCAATACTAACCTTACTTTAATTAATGGCGGCACTATTAGTTTTTTGGTTCTTCACACTGCAGTTCTCATTCCAATTCTGAATTATTAATAAGTTTGATTTGTTTCTTTTCATTTTCTTTATTGTCTTTTGTTTTAAACCAGCATGAATCTTCTGAGTGATAGCGTAATCCTTTCTTTAGCTTCTCGCAAATGCTACATTTTTGCATCTTTTCTTTCGATGGTTTAGTATCAACTTTCTTTTTCATAAACTTTTTCTTGACGGCCAAATGTTCTAATTTACCAACTTCATTGAATAAGTCTTTTGTTTCTAATATTTCTTCTTTGTTGATCTTATCTGTTATAAAGTCTGGCAATCCAGCAGCGATTAGATCAATCAAGGTCCCTTGATCAATTGTCTTTCTTACTTCAAGTAAAAGTTTTTCCTTTTTAATGGAATATTCCAATAAAGATCCTGATTGATACTTGAAAGCTAAGGCATATTTACTACTAGTCCAACCCTTATTTGCATAGGTTTCTACAAAGTTTGATTTCCATTTCGACCATTCCGATTGCAAACTTAGCTTAATCATCATGGAAGTATACCAATCAGTGCATGATTTTTCTAGAAATAATCTGAGGATTTCAATTTTCTCTTCATCTTGTACTATATCAAATCTTGTACATTCCTTTTCGAAAACTTCCATCCACTGACATGCACTAACATTCTTGCCATCAAATTTATCTAGTACAAATCTGTCTGCTAATTTTTTTACGCTTTGTTTTTCCTTTCTTTGTTGACTTTCAACCAATTTTTCCAAAATTTTCACCATGTGATCTTCGGAATTGTTTTTGTTCATAGTAGCCAATTGTTCTTCAGTAACTTCCTCTAGGTATTGGTCCTCAAATATCATGTTTTCATCTTCATCAAAGTATGTTTTTTGCATATCTGGTGTTAGTTTTATCCAAACACTTCTAGTCTTTTCTTTATTGTATTTCGCACTATATTGTAAGCCTTAGAGGCGTAAACATATTTGTGAAGTGACGCTGCTTCATACTCCTCAGGGATCAGGAAAACTTTATCATTTTGTGTAATGATTGAAGTTATGGCTATATAGGTTGTTTTTCCATCTTTTGTAGCTTTTGATCTGAATACGAATTTTAGTTTCTCCATTTTCTTGATAATTACAAGAAATGTCGTTTTATAATGATATTTGTTCAACAATTAGGTGATATGATATCGTAAATCAAAACACAACTGAGTTTCTCTGTAATAAAAGATTTATGTTAGTTAACATGTTTGTTTAGTACTAATTACAAAGTATAATATTCTATTTATTATAAACCTTACCTGTAATAAAAGAAACGACATTTAATGTTATTAATTACAATATCAATTCCTAACGTCAATAGTTTTCATAATGGAATTCATTCGACCACAGACTAACTAAAAAAAGGCTGACTATATTCGCTGGCGCTAGCAGCGCGGCCTTTATTTGAACTAAAGAAAATATATTTTCTTTACATATATTTGCATACTATAAATGTATATTTCTGGCGAGGCTCCAGGCACAGATTACTTAATAGTTTACTAAACAGATAGATACATCACTCCCATACAAAATCTTAATAATGTCTGCTGTTCGCACCGAGAAGAAAATGTACCATAAGTGCGTGCGTAAAAAGTCGAGATTGTGTTGACCGCCGTGCGACTCACGTGCAAGCGCGTCATCGCACGAATGCGCTAGGGTTGTACATATCATGATTATTGTAATAAAACGAATCTTGCGAAATAACCATATTTTTTATTTGTCAATCAAATATGTTTGAGTTTTATAAAATGATTACATTTTTTTCCTTCTCTGAATTCTCGGTTATGAAATCTTATCGTTGAAAATATCCTAAATCGCGTAAATAATTTTAATAAATAATCATGAGGAAAACAGGAGCAAAGCGGAGGAAAATCAATGGTTTGTAAAATTTGTTACACGCTGCTGCCAGGCCGATTCATTATGGCGTTGTCAAAATTATTTAAGACATTATATAATTTGGGTGTCCAGGTCGTTACTCAATTTATAAATCACAGCACTGTTATGTTGTTTCGATGTAATCTTATAGTTAAGAAAAAAATGACAATTTTCATTTGTTTTTTGACTTTGAAACCCATCCACTGCACAATAATTACGTGGTTTCGGCATTTCGACGAATAAGCGCGGAAACGTGCGCGGTGCAAGCGCGCAGGCGGGCGTGCGGCAGCCCTATGTCGGTTGTATCGTGGGCGATACGCAGAACTTGACTTGAGCGAGTGGCGGAGGCCTGCTCCAGGGCCTTTATTTTTCGACATTCTCAGAAGGGCTAGAACCCAGAGCCGTAAAGTCAGTAAAAAAAAAGTTACATTTTGTTTTAGCTAGTGTTGCCATAATATTAAATGGAATTGTTACATAGTACTATTATTGAGATAATGTATTATTGTAGGAAGTTCTTTGTACGAGACTTATTCTCAACCATATCACTTTTATTTTTATTATTACTGATAGTATAGTTATGACTAATAATAACTTAATATAAAAATATGTTGCGTGTTGGTAGTCTTACAAAGTGTATACGAAAATAGTATGAATATACTAAATGGCAACACTTGAATAGAGTAAAATGATGCAAGGTGAAAGCTCCAGCTTTCTATGATTTATCAAATAAAAATGTATTTTAATTAAAGCCACAGAAAATAACAAACATTTTTGGGAATATCAAATGACTTAAGGTTGAAGCGTCAGTGTAGCCTGTGAAATTCAAATTTTCTTTCGTTTTTTGGAAATTGCAGGTCAGGGTCAGGTTAAATGTTTAATAAAATATGATTCGCGACCGTAACGAGTATGTGTTTATAGAATTATTATCATTAAAATCACCAATACAATCACAAAAACAAAAATGACATTTAAATAATAATTATTTATTGACATGAAAATATCAACTTAAACATTTGTGGTTTTTATAAGGATATTTTTATATATAATCTTTTGTGAATAAGTACTTGGTGAATTGGTATAGGCGGCGAGCAGTAGCAGTAGCGGCGGCGGCGAGCAGTCGCAGACGGACGAGAGCAAGGCGCTGAGCGCGGCCGACGGCAGCGGCGCCTGCAGCAGCGCCGGCGCCGGCACCAACCTGGAGGACGAGCGCAAGCACGCGCAGCGCGCGCCCTGCCTCGCGGACACAGGTGCTCCCGCCCACCGCACGTCTCGCTCCTTGGAACCGACCGGCAGCAGCGCCGGCGCCGGCACCAACCTGGAGGACGAGCGCAAGCACGCGCAGCGCGCGCCCTGCCTCGCGGACACAGGTGCTCCCGCCCACCGCACGTCTCGCTCCTTGGAACCGACCGGCAGCAGCGCCGGCGCCGGCACCAACCTGGAGGACGAGCGCAAGCACGCGCAGCGCGCGCCCTGCCTCGCGGACACAGGTGCTCCCGCCCACCGCACGTCTCGCTCCTTGGAACCGACCGGCAGCAGCGCCGGCGCCGGCACCAACCTGGAGGACGAGCGCAAGCACGCGCAGCGCGCGCCCTGCCTCGCGGACACAGGTGCTCCCGCCCACCGCACGTCTCGCTCCTTGGAACCGACCGGCAGCAGCGCCGGCGCCGGCACCAACCTGGAGGACGAGCGCAAGCACGCGCAGCGCGCGCCCTGCCTCGCGGACACAGGTGCTCCCGCCCACCGCACGTCTCGCTCCTTGGAACCGACCGGCAGCAGCGCCGGCGCCGGCACCAACCTGGAGGACGAGCGCAAGCACGCGCAGCGCGCGCCCTGCCTCGCGGACACAGGTGCTCCCGCCCACCGCACGTCTCGCTCCTTGGAACCGACCGGCAGCAGCGCCGGCGCCGGCACCAACCTGGAGGACGAGCGCAAGCACGCGCAGCGCGCGCCCTGCCTCGCGGACACAGGTGCTCCCGCCCACCGCACGTCTCGCTCCTTGGAACCGACCGGCAGCAGCGCCGGCGCCGGCACCAACCTGGAGGACGAGCGCAAGCACGCGCAGCGCGCGCCCTGCCTCGCGGACACAGGTGCTCCCGCCCACCGCACGTCTCGCTCCTTGGAACCGACCGGCAGCAGCGCCGGCGCCGGCACCAACCTGGAGGACGAGCGCAAGCACGCGCAGCGCGCGCCCTGCCTCGCGGACACAGGTGCTCCCGCCCACCGCACGTCTCGCTCCTTGGAACCGACCGGCAGCAGCGCCGGCGCCGGCACCAACCTGGAGGACGAGCGCAAGCACGCGCAGCGCGCGCCCTGCCTCGCGGACACAGGTGCTCCCGCCCACCGCACGTCTCGCTCCTTGGAACCGACCGGCAGCAGCGCCGGCGCCGGCACCAACCTGGAGGACGAGCGCAAGCACGCGCAGCGCGCGCCCTGCCTCGCGGACACAGGTGCTCCCGCCCACCGCACGTCTCGCTCCTTGGAACCGACCGGCAGCAGCGCCGGCGCCGGCACCAACCTGGAGGACGAGCGCAAGCACGCGCAGCGCGCGCCCTGCCTCGCGGACACAGGTGCTCCCGCCCACCGCACGTCTCGCTCCTTGGAACCGACCGGCAGCAGCGCCGGCGCCGGCACCAACCTGGAGGACGAGCGCAAGCACGCGCAGCGCGCGCCCTGCCTCGCGGACACAGGTGCTCCCGCCCACCGCACGTCTCGCTCCTTGGAACCGACCGGCAGCAGCGCCGGCGCCGGCACCAACCTGGAGGACGAGCGCAAGCACGCGCAGCGCGCGCCCTGCCTCGCGGACACAGGTGCTCCCGCCCACCGCACGTCTCGCTCCTTGGAACCGACCGGCAGCAGCGCCGGCGCCGGCACCAACCTGGAGGACGAGCGCAAGCACGCGCAGCGCGCGCCCTGCCTCGCGGACACAGGTGCTCCCGCCCACCCCACGTCTCGCTCCTTGGAACTGAACCCAACTTACTTCACAGATTTCATTTGTCAAAAAGTGTACAGATTTATATTTCTTTCTGAAATATTATTTATCTTTCATGTTAATTAGATTAGAAATTAATATACCAAACTACAGATATTCCTAAAAGCAGAAGTCATAGTAGTAAAAAAATGTGTTTTTGGGACTTCAATAAAGAGACTGCTAACAACACAATGGATTCTCTGGTATTTACAATTATTATTGTGTAGTCTTATCACTGATGGGTTTCGTAGCGCGAATGACGAACTGGCGAGATCGATGGGCTTAGTGCGGGTGCACATCCCCGCTGTTTCCACCGCACCGCCACCACATTGTAAAAAATTAAATAATACAACACTGAGATATTATTTTGTGTATGCGCTTAGACTAAAAACCGAAAAATAAATATACGGGATTATTTTTCAATAACTAGCCAAATTTTAAACTTAAGTTCAAATATATAAATAACGATATACTATTATTTTGCGTGGTAGAGCCATGCTGTAGCTAATAAATGTAGGTGTCTATGGATCACAACATCCACTTGCCATCAGGTGGACTGTGTGCTCGTTTGTCACCCTTATTCTATATAAAAAAATTGTAGTTTTGAATATATGAATAAATAAGGCTTAAACTTTTATTTGAAATTATCCCAAATTTAATGTTGTTGACAAACAAATGTCTTTTTTTCTTCTTCTATTAATTCATGGCTCCTTTTGATAGAATTCTGCTAATATTTAATAATTTACTTTTCATCAATTAATAGGTAAATTAATTGTGCAAATCTCAGAATAATATGTATGTAATTATACTTTAAAGAGCAAACCAAAAAAAGTTTAACACAGAATTAAAAATTTTAGTTACTTCCGATATAATATGAATTTTTGTATCTAAGTTTTAAAATGGCAATCTAAAACAACACGAAGGAAAGAAACAGCGATATTTTTTGTCGCTTTATTTTTACAAGTCCAACACAAACATTGACAAAATAATGATTGTGTGCAGATTTCTCAGCTTTCATACAAAGTTGCATCACCCTGGTCCCCACTAATGCCATCTGGTGAGCATACAATTATTAGCCCTCATTGATGTCACTTCATATTGCATGTTATAAAAAAAAAAACATAGTCAGAAAACCACGAAACTTACACAACTACGGAATAACTATTTGTGTTTAAGAATAGATCTTGTGCATACGTGCGTCCTTGTGTAGGATGAAGGGTGATTTGAAATCACTTAATTTTAAACCTCATATTAAATTAAATTTAAAAACAAGTGGTAAAATAAAAAAAATCTTGTACAACCGACTTCAATATAAATTATTATTTTAACTCAAAAATTAGTAGTTAGACCTAGATCAAATTTATATGCGACCACCTAGGAAATATACCCTTTGAAACACAAAAAGGATTTTCCAAATCGGTCCAGGTGTCTTCTAGTGATCGGTGAACACACATTAAAATTTAAATTAAACGTCTGGGCCATCATATCTAATAAAGCAATATTACAAGAATATGTGAAATCCGCCAACATGCACTGGAGCAGTGTGGTAGGTTAACTGCTTCATTATTCTTTTCAGAAATCAAAAGAGGCATTGGGACATGTTATATAGGCTGTTACTGTAACTTTAACTTCATTACTGTCGGCAAACCACTGGTAAAGGTGGTGATTAAAAAGAGGCTATACTCATCAGTGAACTAATTGTAGGCTCACGCTGCTGAAGATTGTATAAGACAAATTTCTAAAAAAAAAAACGCAAATAACATATTATTATTTGGAATACATAACATTGTAGATTATAATGAAATATTTTTTTACAGTATTACAAGATTCAGACATCATGCAAAACTTCTACACAACCTTGTCCATGTGCGACGGACTGAATACTACGGTACTGAATTCAGGTGAGCACACGAGAATGAACAACAAACAATGCAATGAGTTACAAAAAAGATGAAAAGAATTTATATTTATTTCATGCTTATTACAGATCCTCTGTATCAAACATTTATGACAACAAAACATTATCAAATTCAATAAAGCCTCTTAAAATGCAATATCTAACACAAGCTATTAGGATAATAGGTTGTCTTGCAGTAGGTACTTAAGATTAGGTTGACTGTTCAATTCATATATTACCGTATGTTTTTATAAAATAAATATTAAACTACACTAAATTTTTAATTACAGGCATGAACTCTGAACCATCCACAGAGTATTCCTCTTTGAAAGAGGAAGTATTTTGGCTGGTAGCACATTTGCCAGCCGTTGCCTCCAATCCAAAACTTATGGTGCCCAGCCTTATAGAATTCCTCAGTAAGTATATATTTAAAAAACATGACTTCTCTTAAAAATAGATATAAAAAAGATTTTAAAACCTGTCCAATTCATATGTTAATAAGAAGTATATTATTACTAGTAGTAGTGTTTAGTACATTAAAGATATTAAAATGAACAGGGAAAAAGGAGATGATACATCTTTCTCAAGCAATGCAGCAACTCATCGTAAGGCTGCTGGACAAGTCTGAGGCACTCTCTGCTTTCATTGAAGCTGGTGGTCTTGAGCTGGCTGTCGAGAAACTTACTGCTTGCCACGAAGTGAGTTTGCTTAAAAATTATAATATAATCATGCAATTTAAAACCCTTGTTTTATATGAACACAATGTAAAACTTAGTATGTTATTAACAAAATAATTAAATCCTGCGGTTACCAACCTAGGGGGCAACCAAGAGTGACAACTATGTCAAATATCCCCCTTCTATGACGCTTTGTTCAGTGGTGGACTTTTGATAACCCGTAATGATAATGATAATGAATGAGTTCAAGTAAATCCCCCCCTAAGAGGCCTATGATGTGTTTCATAATGGACTTCAATAGGTTGTAATAAATAATACGTGGCACGCATGCCTTTTGAATATCGCGTGAGGATGAGACTCTTAAGTTTGTTGTTGCAAGACAATAATGTTGACTAAAATTTGTACTATACTAAGTATATAATATAATCTGTTTGTATGTGTTATGTGGGCTAACTCTACATAATTATTATTTTGGCTGCAGCACGAATTGGGCAGCTCAACCGGGGAAAGTCCACGCTCTCACAGAATACCAGCTTAAAACAGCAGAATTATGTTGCTGTGTTTCGTATAGTGAGTGTAGAGAACCAGGCACTGGTTTTACTTGTAACGAAGCATTCCATCTTAGTCCTCAGTGGTGACAACGCATCTGCATTTTTATTCTTCATCGATGATAGATGTAGGTGTCTATGGGCCACGGCACCCACTTACCAGCAGGTAGAATGTGCTGTGTGTTTGTCACCCTTCATCATCGTACTTATACTTACTTACTTACTTACTTATACTTATCTTCACGCACAATCCCTGACGGGGTAGCCAGAGAGAACAGATCGCCAAGTGTCACGATCCTTACATATCTCTTTCGCTTCTTTCAGATTCATTATATTCTTCATACATGCACGTCTAGGTATCCGAGTACTCTTGACCCTACCCTCTTCGAGCAATTTGCTCACATGGTCTTCGAAAGTTAGTCTCGGTCTACCTCGACACCTTTTAATATTAACTTTCGCGCTATATATTTTCTTCACCATTCGGTCTTCACTCATTCGCTCAACGTGCCCAAACCACCGAAGCACGCCCTTATCAATTTTTGTGATAAGGTCATCTTTCAAACCTGCCATATTGCGAATCTCTTCGTTTCGCTTTCGGTCGGCCATAGTAACGCCGCACATTTTACGAAGAGATCGCATCTCCACTGCATTCAACTTACTTTTATGCTTCTTCTGGCATACCCAGGTTTCGCTGCCATATAACAAAGTCGGTACCAACACTGCGTTATGTATTGCAAGGCGTGCACTCTTCGCTACGCCTTGCCTTTTGACTAACGCAGTCAGGGCACCATTGACTTTGTTCCCGGCAGCGACACGCCTGTCCACATCTAAATCACATCTTCCATCCCGGCTAAAAGCACTCCCCAAGTATACAATTTCATTTACCTGTTCTAGACATTCCTGATTTACCCATATTTCACACTTCGTTCTCTCTTCGTCCCTTTCAAATACCAGAACCTTAGTTTTATTAGCATTCAAACGGAGACCTTTAATTTCACATTCCTCTTTCATACACGTGACTAATGCCTGCAGTTCTGCCTCTGATGGTGCAATAAGCACTGCATCATCAGCATACAGCAGACAATTTACTTTTATGTCACCCTATTTCACACCCAAACAGCTATCTTTCAGCTTTTGTAAACAGCTGTCGAGATACAGTATGAACAGCCAGGAAGACATGACACAACCCTGTTTTACGCCCGTTTGGACGCTAAACATGGGTGACAGGTCATGCCCTACCCGCACACAGGCTTTACAGTCACAGTAAAGAGACTGCACAGCCCTTAGCAATCGGCCATCCACACCATACCCCGGCAACAGTTCCCACATTTTCTTCCTTACAACCTTATCAAATGCTTTCTCAAGATCCACAAAAGCACAGAAAATCTTCTGGTTAACAGCCAAAAGCTTTTCCGTGATCATACGGAGAGAAAACATTTGATCCGTGCATCCTCTTCCAGGTCTAAATCCGCATTGTGCCTCCCATAGAAATCTTTCCGATTTCTCTTGCATCCTACGTGTCAAAACCTTCGAGTAAACTTTACTTGCTAAACTGGTCAAGCTGATCGCCCGATAGCACCCGCAGTCAAAATGTGAACCTTTACCTTTATATAAAGGCACAATGACTGCGGATCGCCAATCATCCGGGACATCCCCCGTCCGCCAGCACAAATTGCACAGCAGATGAAAGCTGTCCCAGACGCGAGGCCCACCATACTTGACCATTTCAGCAGTAACTCTGTCTAGTCCCGCAGCCTTACCACATTTCAAACTTCGAATCGCACGTTCAATCTCTTTCATACTGATGACCTCAGTGTCATCGAGGTCCGGGTCTGGCGTGCCAGTCACGGCGTCATCCCCGGATCCCTCACTAAGATCATCACACGCATACATTTCTCTATAAAATTCGCTCCATCGCTGCATGACGTCCGATTTTTCTGAGAGGACGTCATTAGTTCTCGAAAGCACTTTGTTCATTCTTAAGGCCGTCGCACCACTTCGGGTCCTTCCAACCTCTTTCCAGAAGAGTTTGGAGTTCTCCTTAAAGTTGTGCGACAACCTTTCATCCGCTTCCATTCTACACCTTTCACGCACTTCCTCAATCAATGCTTTCGTGTGAACTTTCTGCAGCTTATATCTTTCTTTCATCTTCTCTCTCATATCCTTATCATTACTAGAGGCCAAGTAGTCTAACCATGCTTTCTTCTTCTTCTTTACAGCTTCTTTCACTTCATCATTCCACCATGCATCTCTTCTTTTACTACTGCCTCTTTTTATTGTTCCACACACTTCTTCCGCTGCACTTACCATTCCGTCCCTAAGGTTCTGCCATGTTCTTTCTACACATTCGTTTCTGCCATCGATGGTGTCAAGCTTTTCGGCTACCCTCGCATGATATTTGTCCCTAGTATCCGCTTCCTGAAGCTTCCAGCTTCGGATGCGACAGACCGACTGTGGTTCTGTCACTGTCGTCCGGTAGCGCCAACCCGCGAACAGACCCCTAAATCTAGTAATCACTAGATAGTGATCCGTTCCCAGGTCAGCACCCCTGAACACTCGCGTATCCATAACCTGTTTTCGCAGTCGGTCATCCACCAGGAACAAATCGATCATACTTCTCTCATTCTTTCTTTCTCTAGTATACATATGGATTTTCTTGTGATTAAACATAGTGTTTGTCACAAGAAGACCCTTTTCCTTGCATACCGCCAGTATAAGCTTGCCAGCATCATTAACCCTTTTATCGCCAAACTTTCCAAGTACCGACTCGTACCCTGGTCGAGCGGTACCAACCCATCCATTCAAATCACCACATACAACAATCCTTTCGTTTCCCCTAGCCAAATCTAGAACTTCTCTTACATTCTCCCAAAACTCCTCTAGCTCAGCCCTGGACGACGAAGCCACCGGCGCATAAACAGCCAAAAGGAATAACTTCGTCAGTCCCAATTTAAAGCGAACCCAGAGAAGTCTTGAGTTCACAAACTTATATTCAGTCATAACATCGACCAACCGAGAAGACAGCAGCACCCCCACTCCCTGGCAGGCGTTCTCGCTCTCCGGGACTCCGGACCATAGAGCTAACGCCCCGCCAGGGAGCTCTTCAGTACCACTGCCCTTCCGTTTGGTCTCCGACATACACACGACATCTAATTCTCTTTCTTTCATTATTTCGATCAACTCATTCGTCTTATCTCTCATGCCTCCTCTAACATTCCACGTGCCAACTCTGCACTCCGTCCTCCACCTTCCACCGTGTCGGGCTGTGCGTGACGGGTGGCGGTCCCCATCGCCGCTTTGCGCGCTGCATTCCACACCAACGGGGACGAGCTGGTGTGCGTCGCCTTGGGGGGACGCCCTAACCCTCGTTGACATGGGTGCGCAGCTGAGTAGAATTGCAGCCCTGAAAAGGGCTGGCAGGGGTCGCGACGTGCACGCTTCTACAATGACCCCCATGATTCATCATCGTCATCATCATTATTATCATCACAGCCAAGACAATTTAATTTTCCATTTAACACGAATTAACACCATAAAGATGATGCAATTCACTTTTTACTATTGAGTGCCAAGAAGGTTTTACAACCCATTAGAGGTTAAAATAAGGTTGGCATTGTTCATAGATTTAAGCCCTGGATACACTAGGAGACATTTTGTCCCGCAACATGACGCATAATACTCAATCTACGTGACGATGCAACTTTGCACAGTGACCCGAAACATTGCCCGCAACATTTTACGTGACGCAGGACATGTTGCTTGTTCCCACTCCGAGAGCGAGCACACGTGTCCCGCCAGTATCGCGCCATTTGTTACCGGGTGTAATCGTGTGCGCCTTGCAACATGTCAGTAGTGTGGGGGAACGAAACCGTGCATTTACTTCTTGAGCTTTACCAGTGTCATGTTTTGTTGTGGGATACTTCAAACCTCAAACTTCTGGTACAACTGATCGGCAGAATTCCTATTCTGCCGATCAGTTGTTTCGACATTCGAAAAGTGTACGACAAGTAAGCATAAGAATTTCCAGTCGGTAAGTATCTTAATGCAATTGCAAGTCTGATATATGAGGGTCAACAGTATTCCGTAGTATTGTATCCTGTTTGGCTATGGAAAATGAGATGTTGACATTCGAGTAAAATTCACAAAAGATTCGTCAGACATTCGGAGATCACCTAAAATGTTCATTCTTCTTTCTTCTCGTTGTAATAAGAAATTCCGCATCCACCAACTTCTCTTTCGCTTACTTAATAAGTACTATATCTATATACGCAGCACTAATCGCTACAACCTTTTCGGGCGACTTTTCTGTAAGCACTATCTAGTGTGGCCTGCAAAATGTTCCGCGATATATGTCTCGGGACATTCCTTGTAGTTTTTGAGAGCGACATGCTGCGCAACATGCTGCTTCTTTTGTCCCCAAGTATATCCAGGGCTTTAATGTCAAATGTAGCTTGCAATATTTCAGAGTTTAAATAAAAGTTATTTCTATAGGTTTGAATACTGATCCTGATAACGTACTTAACGGAACCACAGGGTTTTTGTTACATGATGTATAGGTAATTATAGGTATTATTTTTTAATAAGTATGTTAACTTGTTTCAGTCTGGTCCCAGCAACAGTCAGGGTCTGGTGTCGTCACTGATGAACCACCTGAAGGTGCCACCGCAGCTCCTCAACATGTCGACGCCCGCCGGCTCCAGCAAGAAATCGCAGCCGCCTGTCACTGAAACTGCCAATGGGCTCGTTAATATTGCCCCGCTCTGTAAGTTGTAACAGCCGTGCTCACAATATCGTTCATAGATTTTAAATATTAATATATCCAGTCTTTGCCAATTTCACATCTATTTCTGTGATACTTTTTAACTATTCATTCGACAGGGGCAGACATTACTCTAATAAATAATTTAACTAGTCAATAGTATGCCGTGTATTGTCAGTGTAAGAATATCCACTACCCCCTATCTCCCCGTCATTAGAGGCGACAGAGCGAAACTGAGACAGGAGATGGGCAGCAGCATCTTTCTGATGACAACAAAACTACAATAAAAAAACTGCGGTTGCCAACCCGCTTGCCGCATGATTAGCAACGACATAAAGAAACGGCCCTCACTTCCCGGCGGCCCCGCTATTCCTGACTATAGTGGCAACCATGGTAACGGCAAGGCAGTGGTCCTAAGAATCTCCGGTGGAGGTTCGGTTGCCACCTAAGATGACTACTTGGCAACATATAACGCACGCACCCTGAGGGCTGACATGCAGATCCTGGAGCTGGAAAAAGAGATAAAAGTTGCGCTGGGATATTATAAGATTATCTAAGATTCTAAGAGAGGGGGAGGAAACGGTAATCCTCGAATCCGGCTACTTATTCTATCATCGGAAGGGTGACCAGATGGACCAGGATGACTTAGGGTGACCACCACTAAGGAGGTGTCGGATTTATCGGCTACAACTCTCGTTAACAACGTTGTGAAAACTGGGAGTGTGTCGACGAGAGTTGCGTACCTTATACTCAGAATCACTAAACGGTATTCGGTGAAGGTCATACAGATTTACGCACCAACCTCGGCTCATCCCGATGATGAGGTGGGGGAAATGTGTAAGGATATCTCTAGAACCATGCATTCCTCCAAAACCCACTATAAAGTGTTAACGGATGACTTCAACGCAAAACTAGGGATAAGAGGTAGGGGAATTCGAAATAGAGCTACGGAACTCAAGGAGCCAACAGCTGGCCGACTTCATAGAGAAAGAGGGACTCGTTACGGTAAACTTTCTTCCAGAAGCGGCCCAATAGATAGTGGATCTTGGTCAAGCCCTGACCGTTCGACAAAACATGAGATTGACTTCATTATGACGACGAGTCTGCAACTGTTTAGTGATGTCTCAGTGATCGCAAGGGTGAAACCAGTTTTCACCCTAGCGATCACCGAATGCTAAGAGGCATATTGAACCTTAATGTTAAGTTGGAGAGGTCACGTCTAATAATGTCAACACTCCGTTCCCCTCGTGCTCTAATCCAAAGGCCCGAAAATTTTCAGCTCCAGTTACAAAACCGTTTTCAGTGCCTAGAAGATTACAACATAGTGGACGATATGTATGAAGAGCTTGTGGAAACTGTCCACTGTCGGTTGAAGCTAAGTTCTGCAAGACCCTCGCAGAAGAACCAAAAACTCTCCGATCACACTCTTATGGCTGTTAGACGAATATGAAGCTGCAGTCTTTAGCAGATATAGCATACAGGCAATTGTACAGACAAATCTCCAAATGCATGCGGCGGGACTTATGTAATCAATACAGCTTATATTGAAGAAGCGAACGAACGGAACCAGGGCTACAAAGTGTTTGCCAGAGATCTGCCTGCCAGAACGAGCCGACTGTCGAAACTGAAGGCCGAATGTGGTAGCATCGTTTCCGGGACACCTTCGATTTAGAGTGATATTGAGAGGTTCTACAGGCAGCTGTACAGGTCATGGTGGAGCCACACGCAAGTGTGAGTAACGATCCAAGAGAAGTCTTATCCGGGACTATTCCGATGATATCCCGAATGTCAGTCTGAGCGAGATTAAAATTGCTCCCCAGCACTTTAAAACGGCAAGGTCCCGGTCGAGTACGGAATTACAGCAGAGTTTCTGAAAGCGGTTGGAAAAGTAGTACTTGAAGCCCTTCAGAAACTTTTTAATTCTGTCCTCTATTGTGGCACTGTTCCGCAGGCGTGGAGCAGAAGTGCGGTGATCTTGTTCTTCAAGAAAGGCGACGCTTTGTTGAAGAACTACAGACTGATTTCTGTTCTGTGCCGCGTCTACGTGCTGCTTTCGAGAGTCATTACGAATCTTCTCGCACGCACTCGCACTCGACGACTTCCAGCTACCCGAATAAGCTGGTTACTGAAAAAGCTTTAACACCATATACCACATATATACCCTTCAGAATATTGTACAGATGTCCGAAGAGTACAAACCACTTTGTCTTGAGTATGTGGACTACGAGGCCTTTGATTCCGTCGAAATTTAGGCCATGCGAAGTTGATGGTCGATATATCGAAGTGCTGAAGTGTTTGTACAGTAGGGCTACGATGGGTACAGAACCAGAGTACGAAACTTATCCAACTACAAAGAGGTGTAAAACAGGATTTCGTTATATCCCCGAAACTTCACCGCTGCATTGGAGGACCTTTTTAAGCTACTGGACTGGAAAGGATATGTTATTAACATCAATGGTGAGTACATTACTCACCATCGATTTCCGACGGTATAGTTATTATGTCAGAATCATTAGAGGACCTAAGCAATATGCTCAATGAGCCCAGTAGTGTCTCCCAATGGTCTTAAGATGAACATGGAAAAAATATAAGTCATGTGTAACGTCCATGTCCCACCCACACCTAAGCCGGTAGTTGTTGGGAGCACTACGCTCGATGTTGTCGACGAGTGTGTTTACTTAGGACAAATAGTCCGACTAGGTAGGTCCAACTTCGACCGAAACGTCAATCGACGGATTCAACTCTGCTGGGCAGCGTTCGGGATATTACGACGCATCTTCTCGTCAGGTATACTGACTGACATAAAACCTGAAAAGAAGATTGTATAACCATTGCGTGTTTCCAGTGATGACTTATGGATCTAAAACTGCTGGCCGTATAAGGAAGCTCAAGATCGCTTAGCGAGCTATGGAGAGAGCTAAGCTCAGGGTTTCTTTACGTGAGAGACTTGAAAATGAGGATATCCACAGTAGAAGTAGAATAATCAACATAGGCCAACGAATTAATAAGCTGAAGTGGCAATGGACTAGCCATATAGCTTAAAGAAGCAACAACCTATGGGAAGGAAGGTTCTCGAGTGGCAGCCTTGTACCGGTGGGCGAAGTGTTGGGCGTCCCCCTACTAGATGATGGAGTGACGACGTGGTAAGACATGCAGGAAGTTGATGGATGCAGTTGGCTCAGGACTATACTTTGTGGCATTCCTTGGCAGGCCTATGTTCAGCTGTGGACTTGTGAAGGGCTATAATGAATAAATTAAAAAATAATTACTTAATAACAATTTTAGTAATTTTAATTTTTTTTAATTTGTAGTAATTGAAAAAAATGTAAATGATCATTACAAATTTGCTTTCATAGTATTGCTGTTATGGTAAACAGCCAGTCATGCGATTACTAAATACAGAATAGGTAGCATAAAGTTTTTAGTTTACATATCACTTATTCATTGTTTTTTATTAATGATAGTTCTTTCTAATTAAGTTTTCGGTTACAGTCTTGGTTCTAGCACCAGTACCCTTTACTTACTTCGGGTATTTTTGGTATTTTACAGGGTCTATTTTTTATAAAATTGAAGTGCCAAACGCACTTGCATTCCACCTTATGTTAAGTGGCTACTGCAGCCCATGAACACCTGCAAGCAACTTCAAATTAATAACGCTACAGATACGATGTCATCTCTATACAGTTCAGGCACCGTTATTTAGCGGCAGGAAAGACGGTAGTAGTACCTACCCAGATAGACTTTTAGGCAGAAAAGGAATCCTACCATCTTTTTGGAATTTTGTTAAAACACTGGATTGATTCCATATTTTCTACTCGATAAAAAGTGTCGATGCCTGCAAGCTTCTTTTAAAATGTAATTTTAGCGATTGTGTAACTCTGTTGGGGAATAGTTGCTGGTGAGTATCACTGGCAACGATATTATTTTGTTATAATAAAACTTTGTAACTTAAAATGCGCTATGAATTTGTTTTCTTTTATTTTATAAAAAACGTTACCCCCACACTAGGATTCTCTCCTGTATCGTGGAGGCAGTTTACAAACACAAATTGCACAAGAACAAACATCCAGACCCGGAACAATTATTTTAGGCCATACAAATACTTGTTCCGTGCGGGATTCGAACCCGCGGCCCCCAACGCAGCAACTCATTGCTAAGCCACTGCGCCACGGAGCCGTAAATCAATTAACGTGTAAAAGACGTCAGCTAATGATATATTAGTTAAGTGTTAAATTTGGATCAGCTGGAACAGAAGAAGTGATGCTCTTAAATTTATTATTTCATATTTAAGTAACAGAATGCAATAAGTTTTCATTAATAATATGAGTTCCTTCGGGTCGATAGCACAAATGGGCGTGCCTCAGGGCTCAATTCATGGCCCCTTTTTGTTTCTTGTATATATTAATGACTTACATAGTAGGGGATAATTATTTGCTGATGATACGTCATTAGATTTCAAATTGAAATGACGATAATTAAAATGCTATGTCTAAATTAGGAAATTGGTTTAGCGTTAGTAAATTGCATTTGAATAGCATTAAAACTAAATGTATGAAAATTATAACTCAAAATGTGAAACATCAAAATACTAATGTAATTTTTACAGGGCAGGTGCTCTGAGTCTTGTAGATGCTTCTTGGAATCACAGTAGACGCGAAACTTCAATGGGCTCCCATATATCAAAACTAGCAAACAGACTTACTTCTGCAGCATATGCTGTAAAAAAAGCAGACAAACAGTTAGACTAGTTTACTATAGCTATTTCCATTGCATAATGTCGTATGTTATTTTGCTATGGGGATACGCAACTGTCACTTAAAAATTTATTTATTTTACAGAAGAGGGCCATAAGAGCAATCTATGATTTAAAACCTAAAGAGTCGCTCAGACAAACGTTTAAGGAAACTATATTAAATTCGGCCTCTCAATACATTAACGAAAATGTAATGTATGTATTTATGTACACAAAAGTATAAGTAGTTTAAAAAAAAAGTTATAGTCATTCTGTAAATACTGGGAACAAACACAAGCTATTAGTACCAGTTACTCGACTCCACCGAATCAGTAATTCATTCTTGGAGCGATGTATACGTTTTTACAACAAAATACCCAGAAAATATACAAAATTTGACCTCCTCTTCTTCAAAAACTTTATTAAACAAAGTTTGTGTAAAAAGGGTTATTATAATATTAAGGAGTTTATGGATGATAATACCCCTCAGAATGAAAATTAAGTGATTGCTATCAATTTATTTCTAATTGTTTTGTGTTGTTGCTTTTGTGACATATATATCGCTGGCTTTCTTGCTGGTTCATCCTAAAATAGAGGTTTTTTTCCTAACCAGAGGTATATTATATAAAATAGTGACTTTCAATAAGTATTATTTATAATCCATACTGAATAAAAAGTTTTTGTTTTTGTTGCACACAGCCTAGAGCTGCGGTGCTCTGTTTTTAAGGCTTTTGATAAGTTAAGTCGCGCGTTAACTGCGTTTTACCAAATTCGTTTTTTTTTTGTAAAACTCATTAAGTGGCGTACTCAAGCAGCACTAGCTTAAAATAGTGAAAAAAGTGAAGTCAACTATGAGTACTAGCAGCGTTACACAATCCGGCCGTGATCGTAAGCGAGTATTCCGTTGGTGAAAGGAAGGTGTGTCGGGTGTTTGTGTGCAGGCACGGTGTCGTGCGACAACCCGACGGCGCAGGCGGCCGACGTGCTGCTGGACGGCGCCGGCGGCGGCGGCGCGTGCGCGGCGCGGCGCGTGCGGGCGGCCGCCTGGTCCTACCACTTCTTCAGCGCGGACGACGCCTCGCTCGCGCTCACGCTCACGCTGCCCTACGCCGCGCTGCTGCACGAGGTGCACCTGCAGCCGCACCTCACCAGCCTCGCCAGTCAGTACCGCGCACACCTACACATCTACACACCTACACACCTACATATCTATACTCCTACACACCTACACAACTACATATCTATACTCCTACACACCTGCACAGCTATACGCCTATACACCTCACACCTACACACTTACACACCTACATACCTACATACCTACATACCTACACACTTATACACCTACACACCTACACCCTACACACCTACATATCTATACTCCTACACACCTACACAGCTATACGCCTATACACATACACACCTACCCACTTACACACCTACACAACTACACCCCTACGCACCTACAACCAGCTTGAAAACCAGCGTAAAATAGCAGCTTAACGCTGCTGTGTTTCGTATGGTGAGTGTAGAGAACCGGAGACCATTTTTACTGGCAAAGAGGCATTCCATCTTAGTCCTCACGGGTAACAACGCATCTGCATCTTGAGTCTTTATTGAGAATAGATGTAGATGTCTATGGGTCACAGTAACCACTTACCATCAGGTGGACTGTGTGCTCGTTTGTCACCCGATTCTATAAAAAAAAAACACACCTACACACCTACATATCTATACACCTACACCTATACACCTACACCTATACACCTACACCCTACACACTTACACACCTACACAACTACACACCTATACGCCTACACACCTATACACCTATACACCCACACCTACACACACCTACACAACTACACACACGCTTTCGCACACACATACGTTCTTATTTCATCAGTTAACAGAATTTGTCTTAATTGTCACGCTTGAGAAGTGGATTGGTGATTACAGTACAGGCTTCTCATATCTTTGACGTTGCTCGCCATCACCAGTCTAGAAACCTTATATCCACACCTTCACCTCTATTATTCTATGCAAGCTTTCAAACAAGCACACAGTTCATCTTATGGTAAGTGAATACGGTGGCCTATATACTTATCTACAATTGAGAATCTAAATTCAGATAACTAATAAAATAGGTCTCCAGTTATTGTCATGTTACAATATGTAGTTAGTTGGTATTCTGTGTAAACGTGTTTCTTCCCCAAATGAGCCAATTAATTTATGTTGGAGTAATGTAGTTGCAGTAGTATCACCAGATATAAAACTTAGTTTTTATAAAATTAGGGGGACAAACAAGCACAAAGTCCACCTGATGTAGTGGATATTATGGCCCATCTATTCTCGATTAAGAATCCAAATGTGAAACACCTGAGGACTAAGATAAAATGCTTCGTTACTAGTGAAAAGTGTCTCTGGTTCTTTACATTTACTATGCATGCCTGCCGAATTAAGTTGCTATTTTACGCTGGTATTCTATGAGAACATTGTCCTTCCTCGATCAAATTGATGATTTGTGCTGTAATCATAATAAATATATATACGCTGGCTTTGCACAATGTCGCGCCGTCTACTGCCCCACAAGGCCCTCGCCGTTGCTCTGCACAAGTACATTCATTTGCCAACTGTTTAGACTCTCTTTAAACTGTGCTAGTATTGTTGTTTGTCGACTTTTTCGGTATTCAAAAAACATGAAGTATAATATACCTTTGATGTTTGCAAATAATTAAGTTGTAATGTGACGTTGTGTGACGTGGTGGTATTGTGTGCAGCGTGCCCGGGCGCGGTGTGCGTGGAGGCGGGCAGCGCGGGCCCGCTGGCGCCGCTGGGCCCGCCGCAGGTCACGGCCGGCATGACGTTCATCCGGCTGGTGCTGGCGCGCCCGGTGGTGGCGAGCACCGTGCAGCTGCGGCTCTACAAGCCGCGCGACAGCTCCTACATGGGCCTGCTGCAGCTGCGCCTCATCGTCGCGCCCGCCTTCGCTGCGCCTGCGCACCTTGCGCCCAACGGCATCACGTGAGTTTTATCCATACACTCATTCACATTCGTTCATATTCATAGGTCTCCGTAGAATAACTCATAACACCATCTAGAAGTTTTTAAGCTATAGTTTGTCATACACATGAAAAAAATCATAACTCGAAAAGTATGAAAAATCGGTGCCAAACCAAAGCGGTGCTCTATCTCTGGACTTCCGCTTGACACAATTTTTGTGACAACCTGTATATATGTCCTTATTTTTTAATCACAGAAGATTTATTGTTATTGTTAAGCTTGTCGGGATTGGCTATTGATGTTTTATTTAATTAAAGATATAGTTTGTCCATGCTGATATAGTGATTTTTTTATACTTAAACTAATTCATCAGGAATCAGGGAAAATTTGTCATAGTTGACTCGCGGCAGGCAGGTTGGCAACCTTAGGAAAAAGATGTTGCCAGAAAAATATTGCTGTCATCTTCTGGTTCCCTCTGTTGCTACTTTCGACACTTACAGGACCATATGGGGTAGTGGATTTTTTAACGTCGCTACTATACTGACTTACATATAGTAATCTTTAACTGTTAAATCTATACTGAAAATGACTGGCTACCGTTAAGCTGACGTGGTTATTTGCATGCTATTAAGATAAATAGACAGACAATAAACCATTTTAAAAAAAATGGTTTATTGTCTGTCTGTCTCTTTGTCTGTTCGGGTTAATTTTCGGAATTGCTAGACCGATGAAACTTCACGGATACATAGAGAATAATGTCAGGAGTGACATAGCCTATATATTTCCAAAAAAAAAAAATTATTCAAAAACCGATTACATAAATTATCTTTTAGCATAATGACGCTACATTAATAAATTTCATCCAGGCGAAGCGGAGGCGGTTCGTTAGTTAAACATAAAAATAATAACTTTCAATAAGTATTATTTATAATGTATATTGAATAAAGTTTGTATTAGTATTTTGGTACATAATATAATATAGCGAACAATAGATGTGAGCAGGTGCGTATATGTGTGTATGCGTATGCGTTGCAGCAACAACTGGGCGTGCGTGGTGGCGGCGTGCACGCGCGCGCGGCCGGAGAGTGCGCGCTGGGCGCGAGCGGGGCGCGCGGCGGCCGTGCGCGCGCTGTGCGGCGCCGTGCTGGCGCCGGCGGGCGGCCGCACGCTGGCGCACGCGCACCAGGCGCTGCTGGCAGCCGCGCGCGCTTGCCCCGACCTGCGCGCGCCGCTGCTGCACGCGCTGCTCGCCGCAGACCACCACGCGTACGCATACGGTACCACACACACCTTTCTATTTATCATTTATTAACTCCCCTTCGTGCATGTCTGTCCGAGTCCAATTTAGTGATTCACTTTTAACTAACTTCTCGATTACTTGAAATTAGATGACAGTATAAAAATATGACAAAAAGGAGAAGAAGTGTTATACTTTTTTGCCCGTTTTAAAAGCGTGGTATATTAAAAAGTTTACCAATTGATTATTATTACTTTGCTGTCGGCAACAACCTGGAATCATAAAGTTTTAGCAGTATTTCACTCCAGTGCCTCGAAATCCACGTAAAATCGTTAGGTCTGCCCTGTTCTCTTCCTGATCATTTCAATAACACCATATAAAACTAGCACGCGTACAACTGAAAACTGAAACTGATGACTGCCGTCAAAATGTGCGAGAGAGACCACATTGATTTGTGTTGATTAAACGGACACTGATAGATATAAAACAATTGTTGTCAAACTTGACTGTTGACTTCTTGACTGTAGAATCTGTGCAAAAAGACTTTCTTACATTTCTATATTTATATATTATATGTAAGTGATCAATATAACGTTTTACTTGCGAATAAGCTGCGTCGGTTTACTTGATGGCTGAGTGTTACAAAAATAACAAAACTTGTCTTCATACATATCAAACTAGTTCAAAGAATCCTGTGCAATAAAAGATATTTCACATATCTAAAGGCATGATTTTGAATATGCAAAAGTAATTTTTCACAATAATAATGAACCATATTACGTTAATCCCTTTTTAAGTCGTGGGTGTTCCTTTGTATTTATTCGTGCTCTATTTACATGTATTTACATGTGTACTTGAAATCTTTGTACAAGTTGCAGTCCTATCTGTTTAGTTAATTATATACTTTTTAGTCTGTTGAAATAATATATTATTTAAGGACGTAAGATGCTGCTTATACTTTTATGTATACCAATAAAGTTACAAAATATTCTAGTATATTCTTTAAAAATGTAAATGTATTTTACAATAGAGAATTATGTTGATGTGTTCTAAAGTCATGCGTTTTTATTTTCTGCTGACTGTAATATTTTAGTAAAATATTTGAACTTTTTTCGATACCTTTTAATATGAGTTATGGAATTACCTTTCAATTGTAAATTGTCTTCATCGTGTCGTTGGTTAGTAACAGTTGGTGTACGTGCGCAGCGTTCCAGAGCGGGTCGGGCGGGGGCGGCGGGGGCGGTGGCAGCGGCGGGCGCAGCGTGCAGGCGGTGTGCGCGGCGGCGCGGCAGCTGTGCCGGCGCTGCCCGGTGGGGTCGGCCGCCGCCTACGTGCGCTGGCTGCACGCCGCCGCCAGCCGGCCCGCGCCGCGCCGCGCGCCCTCCGCCGCGCTGCTGCACACGCTCGCATCCGTAAGCCGATCCGCACCTCGACCACATCTCGCGCCTCGTGAACCTCTCGCACATCTCGCACATCTTGCACTTCTCACACATCCCTCACCTCACACATCACACATCTCATGCATCTTTAATACGTTTCGCACTACATGCACATTGCATACCGCGCACACTTCTTTTACCTTATTCGCCTCCCGCACCTCGTGCAACACTTGACACGTTACTTACCGTCGTCTAGATCTCATCATCATCATCATCTTTATACGAAAATCCATACAGATGACAGCTTAACCAGCTTTTATACCTATACCAGTTGTAAATTACTCCGACCAACGATGGGAAACAACGCAAAAGGTGCGCAACTTCTGGTACGGCAATCGTCAATACGCCTTACAAGCGTGGCAGTTATTGCAAATTCTCCTTATTATTGAAAATGCCTTTAATTTGCAAAGAAAACAAATGGTAGAAGAATATACAAAATATGTGCGATGCACATGTTATAAAACTATTGTCAGTCTTTTGAGCTACTACTGGACTTTTCAAAAAAGTGGAAGCAATCTTGTTTTTTCTTAAAGTTCCAGTAGAAATAGTGCAATTCTATTTTTATTCTATCTATTTCCTATTCTTATAATATAATAACCTTTATTAAGTCCCAAACTAAATGCAAGTTGCTCACAAATAATTATTTACAGGTGCTATGGACATTGAAAGAGGAGAGACTACTTGATGATATAGAAGAACTAATCACGGACGAGCTATTTGAGCTCGTATATGCATGGGTGCAAGATATAACTGAACCTAGCCTCTTGAAAAAAGCGCTTGATGCCAGTGAGTAAATTAATATTGGGTATATACACATTGGGTAGATACTTTCGAATATGTTATGGTATATAAAAAAAATAACTGTAAGTGTGTATTTGTACATACTTATAGGTGTTTTTATAATTAAATAACAACATAAACATATTCGAAAGTACTCAATGCGGAAAACAGAAATTTCAAAAATGTACTAATTTTTATACTTAATTAAATACAATGTCACAAATTATTAAAACACGCTAATGTAATAATATAATAACCATTTAATAAAAAGTTAATATTATGTAAAGTTGAGTTTTTGTTGTTATAATCTTTCTAACTTTGATGTCTATTTATTTTCAGTACTGTGCTCTATGTGCTATATAAGGCCAGAGCTGTTCACGAAGTTATTAGAACACATGGGCGTTCCTACGGATAGTGATGAAAGGTTTGTTTTATTCAGTATTTTTTTTTAATTCAATAGAATAATGATTTCAGATAATATTGAAATTAAAAAACGTATTTTGGATGAATAATGTTGTATAAAAATATAAGAACCATTAAGTTAATTTCATCTTCATCAAGTCTAGTCTATTGCTTCTTGCATAGCCAATCATTTTAAAGGTGTAATCTACGACAGTTCCATGTTACGAGGGCGGCACTGAAAATTTCGGGAATCAAGGAAGTGACACAACATTACTATTTAAAATTGTATTTATTGCTTTTCGAAGTATTCTCCGCGAAATTTGACACATTTTTCCATACGATGGAACCAATCATTGAAGCAACCATTCCATTCGGAAGTTGGAGTCTCCAAAATGGCCGTTTTGTAGGCGTCCACAGCTTCTTCAGGTGATGAAAATATCTGTCCACGCAATTTATTCTTTATTTTAGGGAAAGTATAGAAATCATTAGGGCTTAGGTCGGGGCTGTACGGCGGATGGTCTAATAATTCTATGTTTTATTGCTCTAAAAACTCTTTTGTTGTGTGTGCGGTGTGAGAACTCGCATTGTCGTGATGGAGGATGATGCGGCGGTTGCAGTTCTCTTTACGGAGTTCAGAAACGACCTGTAGCAAACAAATGCTAGCATACCATTCTGCATTAACCGTTCTTTGTCCCTCAAGAGGAATAGTCGTAACATGGCCGGTTTTGGAGACAAACGTGGACACCATTTTTTTTTTGCAACAATCCGTGAACGAACAATTTTTGTTGGCTTTAACTCATTTTCGAACAACCAAACTCGTGACTGGTTTTTTGTTTTGGGTTCGTACGCGTATATCCAGGATTCGTCACCTGATACGATGTTGTATACAGCATTGGAGGATCCTGCGTGGAATCTTTCGAGAGTTCTGACGCACCAAGTAACGCGGGCCGCTTTTTGCTCTTCACAGAGCGAATGCGGTATCTATCGGGAAAACAACTTTTTTACACCTAATTGTTCATGCAAGATTATTTGTATTTGACTCATGCCAATGTCTAAAGTTGCCTGAATTTCGCGGTATGTCACATGTCGATCTTCCTCAATCAGCTTACGCACAGCATCAACGTTTTCTTGGGTGACTGCAGTTTTTGGACGACCTTGACGGGGATCATCACTGAGCTTGACACGTCCACGTTGAAATTCAGCAAAGCAGCGATAAATTGTGGTTTTGGATGGGGCTTCATCACCAAATGCAGAAATCGTAATTCGTTCGGATTTTAGTATTTACATATCTTCATCGGATCCACTCTCTCGTGAACCAAGTCCAAATGTTCCCTTGGTACATTTGGTCTTGGTTCACGACCTTATTTCTACTTTATAGTTTTATTTACAATGTCGCAAGAGGTGACTATGGGAAAATGCAATAAAAACCTATAAGCATCAGATATATACGGGGGTATACCATCTTGTCTATGCCAGATGATAAATACTGAGACCGACAACGTGGAATAGCGTCGAGGGTCCGAAATGTTTGGTACTGTGGTCTCCGTAAAAGTTTTCAAGGCAATTATGCCGCGTGAACGTGGTTGGTAAACAGAGCGGTATTTTTGTTGATTTTTATATTCATACGAATAGAGTATACGAAATATTTCGCACCTTTGACCCTGCTCTCCGGCATCTGTGAAGGTATTTTTATGTTTGTCGTAAACAAGATGGTTATTCTGCCATATATCGGAAACCATTAGATCTTCGTGGGATTTTCCATAGCCGCTTCTTTAGAGCCGGTATGAAATGGGCCGTGGATCGCGATACAGTAATAGAGCGTTGCGTTGCTTGTGCAGCATGGAGGGGCTGACGGACGACGGCAAGGTGCGTGGCGCGGCGAGCGGTGCGGCGTGCAGGGCGGGCGGCGGGGCGTGCGGCGTGCGGCTGAGCGGGCGGCAGCTGCGCACGCTGGCCGCCGCCGCGCTGTCGCCCGGCGCCACGCTGGCGCTGCTGCACTCGCCGCTGCCGCGCGACCTCGTGCGCTGCCTCGCAGGTGCGTACGTGTGCGTGTGTGCGTCTCAACATACTTTAATGCGAATATTACCCAATCATTTAAAAGATAATATGTTTGATATTGGGATACCATGATTCTAAATTAGTAGTTTTTACTAACCAATTTCAAAAAAAAGTTTTCATTTCGATTGTAAGCTCCCCTTTGTATTAAATAAGCGCTTACCTTAAAATTATTATGTTATAATATGATCCACACCAACAAAACTAAAATTTTAAAAGCTGCCTTACCGTGTATTCCACGCGCATGAAAACTTCGTAAGGAAACCTACATATATAAGAAACTAAAAAAAAATTCTGTCCAATAACATAATTTGGGGCAGCGCGCCTTCCAGAAACCCAGTTAGAATGAGGGAGACCTGTACCTAATAATGAGCACACTGAAGCTATTAATCTAATTTACTATATTAATAAATAAATATACTATATTCATAAATATTGACGGATCTGTGGCGCAGTGGCTTAGCAATGAGTTGCTGCGCTGGAGGCCGCGGTTTGAATCCCACACGGAACAAGTATTTGTATGGCCTTTAAATAAATTTTCCGAATCTGGATGTTTGTTGACCTTTCGCTGATTTTTATGAAAAAGTTATATTTTCAAGATTTCATAAAAAAAATTACCAAAATATGAGCTTTAGATTAATTGAATATTTTTTTGCAGAATATAGTGAGGCTAAGCTACAATTAATTAAGGAACAAGAACGCACCCAAGAAGAAGATGTCCACATGATTGAAACGGATAAGGAAATGAATCAAAGTAAACCTGGTAAGCGACATCTTTTATTGTCGTTTTCTTCATATTATTAATTATATGGCGTTAATTTATACAAAACATGGTAATATTTTTTAGGAATTTTGGAACTATTTAATATTTATGTGTTATTTTGGAAAGGATGCGTAAAATAAATGTTTACATTCGACAAAAAAAGATTTAATCAGTCTTAAGATTTAGTGTTACGGCCAACAGCTGCCCTGCCTAAACAGGAGTTGGATCCTTCGCGGCCCATAGACGAAGGAGCCACGGGCAGATGCAGGTCGGGCGTTCCTACGCCGAGGGTCAAAGGTTTCTAATGAACACGCGAGGGGAAAGGTCACTAGAAGAAATGCACTTACCTGCCTCAGGAGCGCAGACGGTTCTCCTAGACCGGCCCGGCTGATGGAAGTTGTGCTTGGTGTATGCGGTGTTGTGAGTGTAGGTGTAATTGTGTGAGCTGGTATGTTGACGGGAACCGATCTGGATGACTCGACGACGTCCGGGAGAAGGCACGCGCTGGTATCCCCGGAACTTCACCCTTCTGGAGGCACTCGTAAGGGGTTGTCACCAAATGGGACGGCTACTCTGGTAGTCCTTCAGATGTAAATCACTTTGATAGTTGCGCGCGAATTTCACCGAGTTAGTACGTTCTAATAACGATACCGTTATTGCAACGATTTACGCGGATTGTTTCTTTAGCAAGTTTAGGCGCGAAAAAATACGTCCGTATAGTTCGCAAGAAAAATCCTACTACCTCGCGAGAAGAGCCACACCGACTCGTTGCGGCGGCCGGGGGGGCGGGGGAGAGGGAAGGTGCCCTTGATATCGAGGCCAAAAGCGCGCGTTAAATCCTGCGTTTTTATTGCAAATTTTCCTGCCTAGACAACCCCCCGCCCCGGACATAAGGCATTAAGTCCGCGAGTAGATTGGCAAACGGGACAAGGTCGCGACGGCCCGTTGCAAGACCGAATCTCCGACCAAAACCTCGGCCACTCTAGGCACCCCATCCGTTCCATACGACAATTTAACAATGCGCCCACGGCGCCAATACAAAGGTAGCGCGTTTGGTTCTTTAATCAACACGAGGTCTCCCACCCGAGGAGGCTCCGTCTTGTCAGACCACTTAATGCGCTGCTGCAAAAGATGTAGGTACTCCAGAGACCATCGGTGCCAAAAGCGTTGAGTCATCTGTTGCAGCAGGGCAAACCTGCTAAGCCGTGAAGCACTCGTTTCCCTGAAGGGATACTCGGGCAGAGCGTTAAGAGGCTGGCCAATCAGGAAGTGTCCCGGGGTTAGAACCTCCAAATCATTCGGGTCAGAGGAGAGGGGACAGAGGGGCCGAGAGTTGAGTACCGCCTCAATTTTACAGAATACAGTGGCGAGCTCCTCAAACGTCAAAATGGCTTCACCAATAACGCGACGGAGATGCGTTTTGGCAACCTTAACCACCGCCTCGAAAATACCGCCCCAGTGGGGACACGCCGGAGGGTCGAATTTCCACTGGATGCCCCTTTTCGACATAGCATTTCCTAAATAAGTCCGGTGGCTGGACAGAAATTCGACAACCTCCTTGAGATACCTATCCGTGCCCTTATAATTCGTCCCGCAGTCAGACCGGATCAAGTCCGGCAAGCCGCGCCGCGACACGAAACGGCCAAGCGTGGCCAAGAAGGCTTCCGTGCTGAGGGCGCTCACCAGTTCCAAGTGAACGGCTTTAGTGGAGAGGCACACGAAGACGCAAAGATAGGCCTTACATGAACGCGCGTTACGAAGGTTAGAGGACTTGACGAGGAAGGGGCCAGCGAAGTCTGTTCCGACCCCAGCGAATGGTCGGATGGCCCTGACGCGGTCGGGCGGCAAGTCACCCATAAGAGGCTGCGATATGGGGGCCTTCAGTTTATAACAGGGGATGCACTTAAAGATGACGCTCCGAATGGTGCGACGACCAGACAAAATCCAAAACTCCCGCTGCAAAATAGCCGACAGGGCGTTACACCCAGCGTGGGCATTCCTAACATGGTGGTGGGTTACCAGCAACCGGACAAGGGCGCCGTCCTTAGGGAGCAGCAACGGGTGTCGAGCCCCGCACGGCAGTTGAGAGTTTTTCAAACGTCCGCCCACGCGCAGCATCCCAGCGTCGTCCAGAAAGAGGTTCAGGCGGGCCAGAGCGCCCTTGATAACGGAGCCACGCTTCAAGTGTTCGATAACGGGCTCAAAATGCTCCGTCTGGACCATACGGATCCAATGCATCAGGGCTTCCCGACGCTCGCTAGGGGACAAAACGCAATCAGAGAGTCGGTTGGACGGATCTCTCGAATTGTGGACAAAGCGGCGCAGCCAAGCAGTCACTCCTAAGAGCTTATCGAGAGAGCTGTACCGTTCCAGAAGGGAGAGATCCCGAGTGGGCTTATCCTTGCCCACTCCTACTCGGGCCCGTAGGCCCGGCAACTCAGTAGGTTCGGAGTGATTACCCTGGGGCCAGAAGGATTGAGGATCAGATAACCAACTGGGACCCCACCACAATGAGTGGGCAACCAGCGCGGGGGCCTCACAGCCGCGGGAAGCGCAGTCGGCGGGATTCAACTCCCCGGGGACATGTCTCCAGTGGAGAGAAGTCTCAGAACTCTGGATTTGAGACACGCGGTTCGCCACAAAGACCTCAAGATTGTGAGGTGCGGCTCGGAGCCAACAAAGTACTATCTCACTGTCCGACCATGCGTAGACGTCCGTAATGTCGATTACAGGCTTCAAGGACGAGTGAACGTGGTTGAGGAGCCGCGTGAGAAGAGCGGCTCCGGACAGTTCCAATTTAGGGATAGTTAAACGGGATCTAATGGGAGCAACCTTGCTTTTGGCGAGTACGAGATGAACTGCAGTATGCCCAGAGGAACTCACAGTCCGCAAATATACGACAGCAGCATAGCCCTTCTCAGAGGCGTCGCAAAACCCATGTAGGGTAGCCCTGCATTTCCCTGGAGGTAGGAAGCACCTTGGCATGGAAACCCGGTTGATGTCCGGAAGGGAGGAGAGCATGGAGAGCCACTCTCGCAAGAGGACCCCGCTAATAGGCTCGTCCCAACCCAACCCCGACATCCAGAGCTTTTGAAGAAAGCACTTAGCCAAAAAGATGACCGGGGTGATCCATCCATTTGGGTCGAAGGTGCGAGCTACTGTAGACAGCACGGAGCGCTTGGTCCATGCTTTGGGAGGTGGGTCAAGTTTTACTCTATACGTGAAGGTGTCCTGAACAGGCTGATATTGAATGCCCAGCACAGTCAGCAAATTAGGATTCTCAGGGTGCTCGAACAGATGAGGATCTTGTTGATCCTCTCCTGGGAGGTCCCTCAAAATGTGTGGGGAGTTCGACAGCCACTTGCGCAACTCATAGCCTCCAGACTTCAGGATGGCAATTAATTCGTCTCGCAAGACCAGAGCCTCCTCGACGGTGGAAGCGCCCGTACAAATGTCGTCCATGTAGACCGAAGTCTCTAAGATAGAAGCTCCCCGAGCGTATCTCAGGCGCTCTCTCTCAGCGAGTTCAAGGAGGGTTCGCATGGCGATATACGGGCTGGACCGGAGTCCATAAGTGGTGGTGTTCAACTCAAATACCTGTATGGGATCGCTGGGCTTCTCGCGCCACAATATCAGCTGATATCGGCGGTCATCACGATGTACCACCGATTGGCGAAACATCATCCGAATGTCCGCGACAAAAACCACTTGGTGTCGACGGAATTGGGTCAGGATGTCGGATATGTCCTTGATCAGTTTAGGACCCGAGTGAAGACACTGATTCAGGGACACACCGTTTGATGTGGGGGCGGAACCGTCAAAGACTACCCGAATCTTACTCTCAGGGGTCCTCAAGACCGCATGGTGAGGGAGGAAGTAGTGCTCATGTGAACGCCATTCGAAGTTGGACGGTGACATGTGACCCAGCTCCTGATACTCGCGCATGAACTTGACATATTTGTCGCGAAAGGCTGGGTCACGCCGCATGCGGCGCTCCATGGAAAGCAACCTCTTCTCGGCCAGAGCACGGGATTGACCCAAAGAGGGGCGGGAGTCCAGAAAGGGTAAGCGAGTGACGAACCGACCGTCGACCCGCCGGCCGGTATTGTTCTGGTAGAACAACTCACACTCACGGTCCAGAGGGTCGACTCGAGCTGCATGGGGTGGTTCCTCAATGTCCCAGAATCGCTGGACAGCGTCCGATAGGGACACGCCCACGACGGAGAGAGGGTCGGCCGTCGGAGAGGGAGGAGACCACATAACCGGTCCAAAAAAGCTGTGCCCAAATATCGTGGAAATGGCTGCCAGGCCATTGGGCTGCAGAGCTCGTATCTCACCTAACAAGAGGGCACCCAGCGTGTCGGCCCCCAGTAACAAATCTATCGGCCCCGGTTGGGCCCACCGAGGGTCTGCCGGTCTCAAAGCCGACGCACAGCGCACAGCGCTGTCATTTATACGAACGTTAGGGAGGAACCCTACAATGTCGTCGAGGACATTTACCTTGACTAAAATACGAAGGTGTTCGCTGTCAGGGCTGAACACCAACTCCGATTGTCCCCTAGGAGCAGGAGGCTCGGCACCTCCGATACCTACCATCGGACGTGATTCAGAGCTCCAGGGGAGCCCCAGTCTTCCCACCAACCGAGTAGAGGCCACACTACGCTGGGAACCCGAGTCCAATAGAGCTCGAACCGTTAAGTGGTCGCCGCTCGGGTTGTAAACCTTCACTGAGGCTGTCGGCAATAGAACAGTTTGACAGGTGGACTGCTGACGACTTATAGGCTCAGTGGAGGCGGCCATGGCGGGAGCTAGGGCGGCAGCCTCCTATCTGGAGCTGCCTCTGTTAGGCCGGCACCCGAACCGGGGGGCCCGAGCGCGGCACTCCGACGGCGTCTCGATGACCCCCGACTGGAATTCCCCGAACGGGCCGACCGAGGGAAACTCGGGGATCCTCGGCTCCAAGGCTCGGGGCCGATACGCAGTCTCCGGAACCCGGTAGTACCGGCACCGGCCAAAGGGGGGCGGGCGGCGTTCCAGTCGCGGCCACTCAGCCAACGGGGGTGAGAAAGGTCTAGCTGACCGCTGAGTGGCCGCGAATCCACTATCAACGCGGGGAGGGGGGGTGAAGACCCCCCCGCCCCTGGGGGAACGACTCCCCGACCGATCGGGGGAGGGGCTCCCTTCAGAAGGAGGGGCGCTGCGGTCCGCCGGTGAGCGTCGAGCGTCGCCCGACAGTGGGCGTGGCTGGGCGCCCCCGCCCGTGGGAGTCGGGGGGCTGGCAGGGCCCTGCGAGGACGAGCCGCGCGCACCCAGGCACAAGAGGACGTTGTGGTTGCCCTGGCAGTGCGTGCAGGGCCGCTGGTGCGGGCAGTCTCGTTGTAAATGCCTCTCCAGGCACGAGAAGCACCAGCGGCGCTCCCTGGCGATGGTTCGCCTCGCCTTAGCCGGCTTGCGCAACAACTTCGGGCACGACGCCGTCCGGTGGTCGGATGCTCGACAATAGGAGCAGGGAGGCGCCTCCCGGGCCGCTAGGCCACTATAGGAGGGTACGGGGGGGCGCCCTCCCGCGGGGGCTACACTCGGCCTCAGGGGGGTGGGCGCCGCCTTGGCCGGCTGACTCCGCCTTTCCCTGGGCACCGCTCGGGAGGAGGCCGGGGGGCCCTCGACGGCGCCTGCTGCGTTCTCCAGCAGCCTGCACTGCTCTTCCAGGAACCGCAGCAGGTCCCTAAAGGGGGGCATATAAGAGGCGCCATCCCCTCCGAACCTCTCCTCAAAATGGAGCCGAAGGTCGAGGGGCAGGCGGGACAGCACTATATGAAGGAGCAGAAAAGACCACTCGTCCACAGGTAAATCCAGCCGCCGCAACGAGTTGCACGCTACGACGACTGGATTCACTATGTCTTCACGTAGTCTAGTCCGGTCCTTCAGCAGCGGGAGGTTCAGCAGCCTCCGAACATGATCGTCCGCAATCCGCCGGACGTTGGCGTACCTTCCAGCGAGGAGGTCCCTGGCGTTTTGGTAGGCGTCGTCCGACAACTTAAGGTGGCCGACGACGCTCAGGGCCTCCCCCTCTAGTGAAGCCAGGAGGTACCCCATTTTTTGGCAGGGGGTCAGGTCCCTCCGGGCGTCCACCAGGCTGTCAAACAGGCCGACGAAGGTCATCCACTCCGAGAGGACCCCGGAGAACCTTGGCAGGTCCAGCGTCGGAAGTCGTCCTAGCAGCTCTGGCTGAGCCGACGGCTTCCGCGGGGACTCGAGAAGGCTACTCAGCCGAGCTTCGCGCTCCCTCTCCGCATCCTTGGCCCCCGCCTCGATCAGGTCGTCCGTCAGCGCGAGGAACTGCTCGTAGTCCGCGCGGCAAGATTCCAGGACTCCCTTTTCCACCTCCAAGTCCTCGAGCTCAGAGTAAGCCTCCTCCACGGCCGCCCTTCGAGCATCGACCTGCTCAAGCCTCTTCCTCAGATTGTAGACCCTGTCCGGTCGGCCTATCAACGCGTGTGCGCTGGTAGCCCAGCGCAGCTCAGTCCGCAGGCAACGGATTAGCATCTTGGGCGAGGACATCACTACTAAATTCAAATTACGACGCGGCTCGAGCACAATTACAACAATAACAAATAAAAAAATACAAAAAAATTAACAGCTAACTAATGCAGTTCCTATCAAATCGAGTTGGATAGAATGTACACAAATAAGAACAGCTATTATTAAATCAAACACAAGTTAGTACAAAGGAAAAGGTAAATCAAATCAACAATAACAAATACTAGTACGATCAAATCAAGTTCATTTAAATTACGTAAATACAAATTACCACTCTTTAGTTCAAATACAATTTACAATACGAAAGATATGTAACGAAGATACACATCAACAAAAATGCCTTGCTCGGAAATCAACCCTTCGATAAGTAACACACTACCATCCGACAACGACAATTAACCGATTACGTAAAAATAACCATCTACCTACATGACGCAATCTCCCGCTTGCGCGCGAACCGGGTGTGACCTTTCAATTTTACCCGCTAACAGTAAAGCAAGCTAACAAAGGAAGGAATTTTATTATTACGTATAATAATAAAAAGGTATTTTACGTATTACGGACGGGCGTGATTGTAGCCACAAATCCACCCAACGCTCCTGCCACCAAATTATTTAATTTTTATCCAATACTATGGTCGGTGGATCGACCGGGAATCGATCCCAGCACCGCGTTCTGCTACCAAATGTTACGGCCAACAGCTGCCCTGCCTAAACAGGAGTTGGATCCTTCGCGGCCCATAGACGAAGGAGCCACGGGCAGATGCAGGTCGGGCGTTCCTACGCCGAGGGTCAAAGGTTTCTAATGAACACGCGAGGGGAAAGGTCACTAGAAGAAATGCACTTACCTGCCTCAGGAGCGCAGACGGTTCTCCTAGACCGGCCCGGCTGATGGAAGTTGTGCTTGGTGTATGCGGTGTTGTGAGTGTAGGTGTAATTGTGTGAGCTGGTATGTTGACGGGAACCGATCTGGATGACTCGACGACGTCCGGGAGAAGGCACGCGCTGGTATCCCCGGAACTTCACCCTTCTGGAGGCACTCGTAAGGGGTTGTCACCAAATGGGACGGCTACTCTGGTAGTCCTTCAGATGTAAATCACTTTGATAGTTGCGCGCGAATTTCACCGAGTTAGTACGTTCTAATAACGATACCGTTATTGCAACGATTTACGCGGATTGTTTCTTTAGCAAGTTTAGGCGCGAAAAAATACGTCCGTATAGTTCGCAAGAAAAATCCTACTACCTCGCGAGAAGAGCCACACCGACTCGTTGCGGCGGCCGGGGGGGCGGGGGAGAGGGAAGGTGCCCTTGATATCGAGGCCAAAAGCGCGCGTTAAATCCTGCGTTTTTATTGCAAATTTTCCTGCCTAGACATTTAGGTTAGATTATAAAAGTGAATCGGTAATATGTAGGGAAGAGGTTTCTCAATCTAGTAATAGAATATAATAAAAACATGTAATATATGTTCCACGCACGCCGAATATGAGGACACAGTGTCTCAACGTACAGTATAGATGATCATGGACATGTGTACCGTTCATGTTACACCTACGATGTTGGGAACAATATCCTCGAAGTTATTGATGAGTATCCTTATTTAAGAATTGTCCAAAGAAAAATTGTCCGATTAGGTGAGTCCAACTTTGACCAAGTGGTCAATTGTCGGATCCCACTTGTTCAAATTGGAAATTGACCGGCCTTATACCTCTTAAGAAGCGACAATCGATGAGGAAGAGAAGTTCTCCAATGGCAGTACCAGTAAGCGATATTTAGGGTTCCCCTCCCCCACTAAATAGAGTGATGACGTGGTAAGACATCCAGGAACTCGATGTATACAGGGGGCTCAGGCTAGCGTTGTGTTGTATTCCTTGGGAGAGGTGTATGTTTAGCAGTGTTCTTGTGAAGGGTTGCAGTGTTAATGTATGTGATTTGTTTGGCAGAGCTGCCGCCAATGGAATACATCAGCGACGTGGTGGAGTGGGCGCGGCTGATGTGCGTGGACCGGCGGCTGAAGGACTGGCTGGGCGCGCCCGGCGCCTGCTTCTGGCGGCCGCTGCTGCGTCTGCTCTGCTACCCGCGCCCGCCAGACACGTAACTACGCTCTTTTTTAATTTTATTAACATTAAAATAACAAATGAACATCCAGTCAACTCAAAAGTATATCAGTGGCTATTGTAACTGTAACTCATTAGAGTCAGTGCTTACATATATACCGGCTTTAGCTTAAACACAGTAGTAGGTGCACTGCCACTTCCTGGCAAAGAGATGGGAATACAATATCCATTCGTATGTGGAAACAGTCCTAACACATTCAGATATGAAAAATTAAAGGTTTCCTGGCCGAGGTAGGAAGTCAAAATCTATTATGCTGTAGTTGTTCTAATTGCTAAGACGCGTACTATGATAACATTTACCACCCTACTATATGTAATTTTTGGTGTCCAAAAATAGTATTATTTTGATATATTACAGTTCGTGGAAGGAGGGTGCGGATTATGCACAGTTGGAGGAGAACACGATACGACTGTTTGCTGAACTAACAGTTTGTCACACTGCCAATCAGAAACTCTTCGCTTCGACACTTCACAGTATTCTGGAGTCCATGGAAAATACAGGTAATTAATTTTAATAAGTGAGCTTGTATATGATCCATTACCTTGCAATAAATTGTATTAACTGAAATGTAATTTGCACGCCTCATAACTCATAACCTTCAATTCCATATACCAACAGTCAAATTGGTACCGCTGAAGGGACTGCAGCACCGCCCAAATTTCGACAAAATCAAAGGCTTTGTCATAGTCCACATACGCAAGGATTCAAATAAGGACCGATTTACACTTCGACAAGTACAGTAGCGAGTTTAATTACAGGGCAGTTGACAGTAAACGGTTAAGTGGGTAGTAGTGTTCAAGTGTCGTTCAGAGTTTAGTTGCGGGCGGTGGGAGACACGCGGGCGGGCAACACTTCGAACTTGAATCATCGAAAAATAGACTTACAGGCTATCCTGTTCAACTTAATTGTTAATTTGCTACTTAACTCACCGATTACCGTTCAAACGAGATTTTTTACTTAACTCGCCAGGTTCTCATGTTATCTCGCTACCGTACTTGTCGAAGTGTAAATCGGCCTTAATATATCTTAACTAGCAAGCGGACTTCTATAAAAAAGTTAAAAAGTTTAGAAGTCTCCCTGGTGTCAGTCTTTTGAGCTTTTCAGAAGTGCAGCTGATTTAGAAATTAATTTTGTTTTGTAGACGAGAGTTTTAAGAGCCATATATAATAACCTAAAACCGAAAGAGTCTAAAGTATACACTTTTTTACTATTAGGAATAAACACAACTATTAACAGATGTTTAAATTGTTTTGTTATACAAAGTCTATCAAAAGTTTTATTATAATATAAACTACAGCTAGTTTATATTATAATAAAACTCAACTCCCCGCGTGTAATTTAGGTTTTTTTTTGTTAAAAGTAGCCTAAGTTACTCGTTATAACATCAGTTATCTGTCCCATCAAAATCGGTTCAGCCATTTCGGAGATTAGCCGGAACAAACAGACAGACACAAAAAATTTAAAAATTGCGTTTTTGTTTTAAGTACCTATATAATATTATATGCGTTTAGTAAAAAGCTGTAATTTTGATATTACAAACAGATACTTCAATTTTATTTATTTGTATAGATAAATGAATGCATCATACATTCATTCAATTCATCAAAAAAGTCCCGTTGGGTTTTTTTTTTGGTTTTTCACAGGACAGAGATGTTTATTGAACCAGTTGTAAAAGTAAAAAGTGATTTTCGAAAAGAATTATTTAAAATTAGCATTGAATAAAAATTATTCTATTCAATTTGCTGTTGTGTAATCTACTTGTAATAATGTTTTTGATTGATGTTTGAAGATTAGAATGAAATACGTCTTTTTCTAAATATGTTTTATTTGCAACTTTTTATAAGGTGTACAAATTATTATATGGGTTGTGATGTAGTGTTGTAGTCCACGCAACTTAATTATTTATTGAAGTTAATTTTAGAATGTGAGCGTAGTCTTTATGAAGGACAGAAGAAATACGTCCCTCATTAAACTTCTTTCCTATATTACATGGCATTTTATATTTTTTTTGCTGGTGAGAGGTGCTGCTATCGTGCATCCTTCTCTACCGCACATAATAATATATATAGTGTTCTTTTTCACGCTCTACTTTAAAATAAAATTATTAAAAGGCGAAATCATGTCAATCACTATTCTTGCCACGATTTGAAAAGTCAACCATATACCATTGGATTCGGAATAAAAATATCTGTATTTACACATAAAATTTTTTAGGAAAAAGAATGAGGCTAAATTACTATATTACTTTACCTGTTTACACCTGGTAGACAATAACTTTGTTGCGGTAGTCAACCATGCTGTGGCATTTTCTATATTTTTTTTTTCGATTCAGACCAATTTTATCAAGGAAAATAATGACACGTAACCGGTAAAAAAATTAATTAAATAATTTTAATTAAAATAGCCTTGCCAAAACATTGGCTGTCAAACACCCCGATTTGTATATATTTATATATTTTATTTAAAAAAATATTTCATCAGGGAAAAGAATGAGGGGGGTATTTTTTAAAGCCGGATTCTCTGCTATTATAATTTTAGAACAATCAATACTTCTTATTGACACCCCTCCTTGCATAACATACTTAACTCTAATATATGTTGTCGTGGGGGTTATACTATAGGGTATAAGAAGTTGAGAGATTTATTTGCAAGTATAGTATGGTAGCGATAGTGATGTGATAGTGAGACAAGGTATGATGTATGGTGTATGATGTAATTGAATGCGCAGGAGGCGGCGGGCTGTCGGGGTTCACGCGCGCGCTGGTGCTGCGGCTGGTGCTGTCGGCGGAGCGCGGCACGGTGGCGCTGCGCTGGGCGGGCGCGGGCGCGGGCGGCGGCGCGGGCGCGTGCGCCGGCGCGGGCGCGGCGCCGCACCCCGCCGCGCACTGCCACGCGCTGCTGCGCCTGCCCCTGCACACCTCCGTGCGCGCGCTGCTCGCCGACCACCGCCCGCCCGGTGAGCACCGCCACACCGCCACACCGCCACACCGCCACACCGCCACACAATATACAATACGGCTCCGTCGGCGACTCGTGGGCCGGCCCCATAGTCTTCTTTTACGACTAAAACACGACTATGGGAAATCCCAGAAAAATTGTATGGATTTCAATAGATGGCGATTCAGTCAGACCGGCGTCAAAGATGTCAGACGTCGTTCAGTCAGATCGGCGTTAAAGGTGTGAAACGTCTGGATTTTCAATCGCCATTCCGCCTGCCAAGCGTGATGATTAAGGAAAATTACTCTTACAACGGAGACGCCCATGTCAAACCGTGAATATTGTTTAAGAATTACGCATACAAAACCTTCTTACCCCAATCTCACTAGTGCGAACCATTATTTGCTCATAGCGATATTATAAGCTTTTATGATTTACTTACACACATACAACGAACCCATTTATTCACACAAACCTATGCCATAGGTAGTACCTATGTAGTAACAGTAGGTACACCTAGTATACGATTACAACACATTTATTTTATACGATTGAATATTTATCTGTCATTCCATATATTTCTATTACAAATTAAATTAACAACTACTGTGATATTTTTACTTAAATATCAAATAATTAAGATATTTCACCCGCTCTTAGGGCCTTAAGTAAAATGTGATTAGAAGGAAGACTTCTATATATACTGACCGAGATTTCTACGTATAGGAGACTAGTAGACGGGTACTTCGGAACTAAATCATTACGCACTAAATTACAATCAATTCTCATTCCACTGCGAGCGAGCGAGAAATCTTCTTTGTTTTGTAAGCCGCGAACGTTGTTTTCGACACTCTGACACTTATTTTATTTAATGTGATTAAGAAAACGCTGCCATTATGTGTGCACTTTATTAACGTGATTTGTAGTTTATTTGAGATAAATATGTAACTTTATTTTGTATTTGCTTAAAACCAGTAACTGTCGTAAATTATATTACAATAAGGTTTTTGTTTTGAATTGCCAGTCTATTTGTATGTACATAGAATTTATTGAATTGGAAACATATTATAGTATAACTAGTGATTCGCAACGTCTACGCACGGGTGATTTCTAGATTTCGACAATAGCGCCATCTACCGGTTCTAATTGTGAATCTAAACTATTCTCGAATCTCAATTTAATCACACACAAAATTTCAATAAAATCGGTTTATACGTTTAGGAAGAGTTCATTCACATATACACGGAATAATTCAATATATAAAAAAGGTTATTTGTGTGTGCGTGTAGTGCCTTTGATCGAGGAGGTGGCTGCGGCGAGCGCAGTGGGCGCGGGGGTGGCGGGGGTCGCGGGGCGGGCGCCTCGCCGTGCCTCCGACTCTGCGCTGGCCGACGCCTGGCAGCTGAGCCTGGCCGCCGGCAGCGCCTCCAAAGACAAGCGCGTCAAGGACGTCAAGAACTCCACGCTCAAGCACCACGCTGCCAAGAAGCGCCAGCCCAAGCCCGCCACCGACGCCTCGCTCTTGTCGCTCACTGACGGTTAGTGTTCTATGTTATATCCTTCTGCTTTCCACTCCCTTATTTACTGGTTTTTTGTTTAATGAGTACACAGTGTCTTTTAAGTAGATGCTGTGGCTCTGAGGATTAACATGAAACGCCTCGTTACCGTCGGTTAGTATCAGAGAACGAAGCATTTCTTAAATATAGAAATCGGACATAATTGGTAAAGAGATAATCGATAATTCTGTTTGCAGAGGTGATGGAGACGGCAATTCGCGTACAGGTTTCGGGGCTGGAGGGCTTCGTGCCGGGCAGCGCCACGTTGGCGCAGCTGGCCGCCGCCTGTCCGCACAACTTTGGACCGCACCTCACGCTAACGCTGCACCTCAACACAAACTCCGGTTACTATTTTATTATTTGTGCCCTTAATTATTTCTCCCGATTGTCCTGAGCTAATTACATAATTAAAAAATCTATTTCTCCATCAGCTCGTTTAAGTCTAAGGCGGAACATGGATCTATCGAGTTGTGGGGTAAATCCTTAGCATAAATGGTCTCGTTTGAATCGACGATTGCAGCACCAGGTGTTGACGGAAGTCATAAAATTCTTGTAATATTCAGTCGACTCTGACGACACCCGTGGGACGAAATATGGTGGATCATTTTACACCACGTTCCTTTAACGGGAGAGGCCAATGTCAAGCAGTGGATTATAAGGTGATTAAGAAGGAAACACAGCAAATACCCTATATGGAAGTATATATTTTTTCGAGACAGCATTTGAATGTTGCAATCAAATTAATCTATTTAAAAATTTCTCATATCTTTTTTAGTTTTAAATCGGGTTGTATGTTTTATTAAAAGTTTAATTATTCTAAAGTCTATTCAATTGCGTGAAGTTTGTAAAAAACCGATCCCATTTTCATGGAATTATATGAAGCAGCATTTATAAACAGAAGCGTGGACGGGTCCAATGTGGGAGGGCGGCAGTAGTGGCAGCACGGACGGCGGCAGTGGCAGTGGCAGTGGCAGTGGCAGCGCGGACGAGAGCGGCGCGGAGTGCGGCGTGCTGCGGTGGTTCGGCGCGTGCGGCGGGCTGGCGCTGGTGGCGGCGCGCCTGCCGCGGCCGCACGCGTCCGCCGCCCCGCCCCCCGCGCCCGTCTCACACGCACACGACCTTGACTGGGTCAAGCTCGACGACCCCTACGAGGTGAGCGACCTTGCGAACCAATCAACTAATATGTACTTCATACTAAAACAGATACCCCCAACAAATTTGTGCGGCTGTGAGGGGCGCGTGGAAAAAGGCACAGAGCACCTTTTTATGGCAAAAAGTAAGATTGAGTCCGTGGACTCTATCGTGTGTTACAAACCACTAAGTCTCTGCGTGTCTTTTAGTACTTAGTACATATTCATCGTCATCATTTGATGATGTTGAATAAGTACTAAGTATGACGATAAATGATTTACAGCCCTTCACATGTCCACTGTTGAACATAGGCCTCCCCCAAGGAATGCCACAAGGCACGGTCCCAAGCCACCTGCATTCATTGACTTCCTGCGTGTCTTACAAGGTCGTCACTCCATCTAGTAGGGAGGCGCCCTAGACTTCGCCGCCACTGCCACTCAAGAACCTTTCTTCCCAATCGGTTATCAGTTCTTCGAGCTATATGGCCGACCCATTGTCACTTCAGCATACTAATTCTTTGGGCTATGTCAGTTACTCTGGTTCTACTGCGGATATCCTCATTTTTAAGTCTTTCACGTAAAGAAACGCCGAACATAGCCCTCTCCATAGTTCGCTGAGCGACTTTGAACTTCCTCATACGGCCAGTAGTGAAGGGCTACGTCTCAGACCCATAGGTCACCACTAGCAACATGCACTGGTTGTATAATCTAGTTTTGAGGTATGCCTGACGAGAAGATGTATCATAATTTTCCCGAACGCTGCCCATCCGAGCTAAATCCGTGTCGATTGATCACTCGGCCAATAATATGTACCACATACTAGAAGTAGATACTGCGAACAAAATTTGTACGGCAGTGCGGAGGGCGCGGCACGTGTAATGAAGCACAGAGTACATTTTATGGTACAGATTAAATAACTTTGAGTTTGCGGTCTGTAATGTGTGTTGCAAACAACCAAGTCTCTGCGACTCTTCTGGTATGAAGTACGTATGACTTCAATGTTGCGACTGCGCCTCGGCACTATCAAACTTTATAAAAATATTACAATTTTTTTATTTGACAAGCATTTCGTTCCAATCTTACAAAAACATTTTTGACTAATTATATATATATATATATATATATATATAATAACCGGCTAAGTGCGAGCCGGACTCGCGAAGTAAGGGTTCCGTCAATCGTAATAAACGTTTTCAGTAGGGGAGGCCCTTTAAATTTTTAATTTATTTTAATTTTTATTATTCGTTGTTATACTGGTGTAATGTTACTTATTACGTATCATAAGGTACAGTTTGCTGACAGACGGACGGACAGCGGAGGCTTAGTAATAGGGTCTCGTTGGTTACCCTTTGGGTACGGAACCCTAAAAATGAAGTAGATTTCTATTACTTAGTAATTATGTTGTGAATGTTTGTCGCGAATGGAATTCAAGAACCTGGCTTAAAGTATGAGAATGTGTGCATAAAATGCAGGAATAGTGTGCGTTGATATTCCGGTTGACTTGTGACGCTGAAGCTGGTGTTAACCGCAGGAGGTGATGGAGGCGAGCGCGGCGAGCGGCGCGGGCGCGTGCGCGGGCGCGGAGGCGTGCGGCGGCGGCGTGCCGGCGCACGCGCTGCTGGCGCTGGGCCCGCTGCTGCGCCTGCCCGGCTACGCGGCCGCGCTGCTGCGCCAGGGCACGCGCGCCGTGCACCTGCTGCGCCTGCTGCTCGGCGTCGCGCACGACGAGGACGGACGTCAGTACCCGCCGCCCGCTGCCCAATGCCCACTAACCTCCCTCCACACCACTAATGGCCAATAAATGATCTCATTATACTGATCATAAAAATGTTTTAGTATTCAAAAACATTGTTTAAAATTGTTTCTTTAAAAGTTATCATCATCATCATTGTAACTTATCAGAAGTTGACTGCTGAAAATATACCTCCCGTACGCTTGACAGCAAGCGGGTTGACAACCGCTGTGGAGTGGGTGGAGAATGGTTAACGAAACTATCAATTGTAATGTATATGTACTCTTTTTTATTCACCGTACAGCAATCAGTTATTATACATACGTTCGCAGGCAGCATACCGGTGTGCGGCGGTGGAGCTGGTAGCGAGGGCGGCGAGGGCATGTGGTCGCTAGGCACGCTGCCGTTCCGCGTGCTGGCGCGGCTGCTGGACGCGGCGCCGGTGAGCGGCGAAGAAGGCCGCGCGCTGCGGACCGCGCTGCTGCGCCTCGGCCTCGTGCGCTTGCTGCTCGCCTGCCTCGCCGTCTTCACGCACCACCGCCCCGCAGTGGCGCCGTCTGATGTGAGTGCCTCACCACTACACTCTCCGCATACCACACCACACCCACCACATGATACTGCCCGCCTGCCTCGCCGTCTTCACGCACCACCGCCCCGCAGTGGCGCCGTCTGATGTGAGTGCCTCACCACTACACTCTCCGCATACCACACCACACCCACCACATGATACTGCCCGCCTGCCTCGCCGTCTTCACGCACCACCGCCCCGCAGTGGCGCCGTCTGATGTGAGTGCCTCACCACTACACTCTCCGCATACCACACCACACCCACCACATGATACTGCCCGCCTGCCTCGCCGTCTTCACGCACCACCGCCCCGCAGTGGCGCCGTCTGATGTGAGTGCCTCACCACTACACTCTCCGCATACCACACCACACCCACCACATGATACTGCCCGCCTGCCTCGCCGTCTTCACGCACCACCGCCCCGCAGTGGCGCCGTCTGATGTGAGTGCCTCACCACTACACTCTCCGCATACCACACCACACCCACCACATGATACTGCCCGCCTGCCTCGCCGTCTTCACGCACCACCGCCCCGCAGTGGCGCCGTCTGATGTGAGTGCCTCACCACTACACTCTCCGCATACCACACCACACCCACCACATGATACTGCCCGCCTGCCTCGCCGTCTTCACGCACCACCGCCCCGCAGTGGCGCCGTCTGATGTGAGTGCCTCACCACTACACTCTCCGCATACCACACCACACCCACCACATGATACTGCCCGCCTGCCTCGCCGTCTTCACGCACCACCGCCCCGCAGTGGCGCCGTCTGATGTGAGTGCCTCACCACTACACTCTCCGCATACCACACCACACCCACCACATGATACTGCCCGCCTGCCTCGCCGTCTTCACGCACCACCGCCCCGCAGTGGCGCCGTCTGATGTGAGTGCCTCACCACTACACTCTCCGCATACCACACCACACCCACCACATGATACTGCCCGCCTGCCTCGCCGTCTTCACGCACCACCGCCCCGCAGTGGCGGCGTCTGATGTGAGTGCCTCACCACTACACTCTCCGCATACCACACCACACCCACCACATGATACTGCCCGCCTGCCTCGCCGTCTTCACGCACCACCGCCCCGCAGTGGCGCCGTCTGATGTGAGTGCCTCACCACTACACTCTCCGCATACCACACCACACCCACCACATGATACTGCCCGCCTGCCTCGCCGTCTTCACGCACCACCGCCCCGCAGTGGCGCCGTCTGATGTGAGTGCCTCACCACTACACTCTCCGCATACCACACCACACCCACCACATGATACTGCCCGCCTGCCTCGCCGTCTTCACGCACCACCGCCCCGCAGTGGCGCCGTCTGATGTGAGTGCCTCACCACTACACTCTCCGCATACCATACCACACCACACCCACCACATGATACTGCCCGCCTGCCTCGCCGTCTTCACGCACCACCGCCCCGCAGTGGCGCCGTCTGATGTGAGTGCCTCACCACTACACTCTCCGCATACCATACCACACCACACCCACCACATGATACTGCCCGCCTGCCTCGCCGTCTTCACGCACCACCGCCCCGCAGTGGCGCCGTCTGATGTGAGTGCCTCACCACTACACTCTCCGCATACCACACCACACCCACCACATGATACTGCCCGCCTGCCTCGCCGTCTTCACGCACCACCGCCCCGCAGTGGCGCCGTCTGATGTGAGTGCCTCACCACTACACTCTCCGCATACCACACCACACCCACCACATGATACTGCCCGCCTGCCTCGCCGTCTTCACGCACCACCGCCCCGCAGTGGCGCCGTCTGATGTGAGTGCCTCACCACTACACTCTCCGCATACCACACCACACCCACCACATGATACTGCCCGCCTGCCTCGCCGTCTTCACGCACCACCGCCCCGCAGTGGCGCCGTCTGATGTGAGTGCCTCACCACTACACTCTCCGCATACCACACCACACCCACCACATGATACTGCCCGCCTGCCTCGCCGTCTTCACGCACCACCGCCCCGCAGTGGTGCCGTCTGATGTGAGTGCCTCACCACTACACTCTCCGCATACCACACCACACCCACCACATGATACTGCCGGCCTGCCTCGCCGTCTTCACGCACCACCGCCCCGCAGTGGCGCCGTCTGATGTGAGTGCCTCACCACTACACTCTCCGCATACCACACCACACCCACCACATGATACTGCCCGCCTGCCTCGCCGTCTTCACGCACCACCGCCCCGCAGTGGTGCCGTCTGATGTGAGTGCCTCACCACTACACTCTCCGCATACCACACCACACCCACCACATGATACTGCCCGCCTGCCTCGCCGTCTTCACGCACCACCGCCCCGCAGTGGCGCCGTCTGATGTGAGTGCCTCACCACTACACTCTCCGCATACCACACCACACCCACCACATGATACTGCCCGCCTGCCTCGCCGTCTTCACGCACCACCGCCCCGCAGTGGCGCCGTCTGATGTGAGTGCCTCACCACTACACTCTCCGCATACCACACCACACCCACCACATGATACTGCCCGCCTGCCTCGCCGTCTTCACGCACCACCGCCCCGCAGTGGCGCCGTCTGATGTGAGTGCCTCACCACTACACTCTCCGCATACCATACCACACCACACCCACCACATGATACTGCCCGCCTGCCTCGCCGTCTTCACGCACCACCGCCCCGCAGTGGCGCCGTCTGATGTGAGTGCCTCACCACTACACTCTCCGCATACCACACCACACCCACCACATGATACTGCCCGCCTGCCTCGCCGTCTTCACGCACCACCGCCCCGCAGTGGCGCCGTCTGATGTGAGTGCCTCACCACTACACTCTCCGCATACCACACCACACCCACCACATGATACTGCCCGCCTGCCTCGCCGTCTTCACGCACCACCGCCCCGCAGTGGCGCCGTCTGATGTGAGTGCCTCACCACTACACTCTCCGCATACCACACCACACCCACCACATGATACTGCCCGCCTGCCTCGCCGTCTTCACGCACCACCGCCCCGCAGTGGCGCCGTCTGATGTGAGTGCCTCACCACTACACTCTCCGCATACCACACCACACCCACCACATGATACTGCCCGCCTGCCTCGCCGTCTTCACGCACCACCGCCCCGCAGTGGCGCCGTCTGATGTGAGTGCCTCACCACTACACTCTCCGCATACCACACCACACCCACCACATGATACTGCCCGCCTGCCTCGCCGTCTTCACGCACCACCGCCCCGCAGTGGCGCCGTCTGATGTGAGTGCCTCACCACTACACTCTCCGCATACCACACCACACCCACCACATGATACTGCCCGCCTGCCTCGCCGTCTTCACGCACCACCGCCCCGCAGTGGCGCCGTCTGATGTGAGTGCCTCACCACTACACTCTCCGCATACCACACCACACCCACCACATGATACTGCCCGCCTGCCTCGCCGTCTTCACGCACCACCGCCCCGCAGTGGCGCCGTCTGATGTGAGTGCCTCACCACTACACTCTCCGCATACCATACCACACCACACCCACCACATGATACTGCCCGCCTGCCTCGCCGTCTTCACGCACCACCGCCCCGCAGTGGCGCCGTCTGATGTGAGTGCCTCACCACTACACTCTCCGCATACCACACCACACCCACCACATGATACTGCCCGCCTGCCTCGCCGTCTTCACGCACCACCGCCCCGCAGTGGCGCCGTCTGATGTGAGTGCCTCACCACTACACTCTCCGCATACCACACCACACCCACCACATGATACTGCCCGCCTGCCTCGCCGTCTTCACGCACCACCGCCCCGCAGTGGCGCCGTCTGATGTGAGTGCCTCACCACTACACTCTCCGCATACCACACCACACCCACCACATGATACTGCCCGCCTGCCTCGCCGTCTTCACGCACCACCGCCCCGCAGTGGCGCCGTCTGATGTGAGTGCCTCACCACTACACTCTCCGCATACCATACCACACCACACCCACCACATGATACTGCCCGCCTGCCTCGCCGTCTTCACGCACCACCGCCCCGCAGTGGCGCCGTCTGATGTGAGTGCCTCACCACTACACTCTCCGCATACCACACCACACCCACCACATGATACTGCCCGCCTGCCTCGCCGTCTTCACGCACCACCGCCCCGCAGTGGCGCCGTCTGATGTGAGTGCCTCACCACTACACTCTCCGCATACCACACCACACCCACCACATGATACTGCCCGCCTGCCTCGCCGTCTTCACGCACCACCGCCCCGCAGTGGCGCCGTCTGATGTGAGTGCCTCACCACTACACTCTCCGCATACCACACCACACCCACCACATGATACTGCCCGCCTGCCTCGCCGTCTTCACGCACCACCGCCCCGCAGTGGCGCCGTCTGATGTGAGTGCCTCACCACTACACTCTCCGCATACCACACCACACCCACCACATGATACTGCCCGCCTGCCTCGCCGTCTTCACGCACCACCGCCCCGCAGTGGCGCCGTCTGATGTGAGTGCCTCACCACTACACTCTCCGCATACCACACCACACCCACCACATGATACTGCCCGCCTGCCTCGCCGTCTTCACGCACCACCGCCCCGCAGTGGCGCCGTCTGATGTGAGTGCCTCACCACTACACTCTCCGCATACCATACCACACCACACCCACCACATGATACTGCCCGCCTGCCTCGCCGTCTTCACGCACCACCGCCCCGCAGTGGCGCCGTCTGATGTGAGTGCCTCACCACTACACTCTCCGCATACCACACCACACCCACCACATGATACTGCCCGCCTGCCTCGCCGTCTTCACGCACCACCGCCCCGCAGTGGCGCCGTCTGATGTGAGTGCCTCACCACTACACTCTCCGCATACCACACCACACCCACCACATGATACTGCCCGCCTGCCTCGCCGTCTTCACGCACCACCGCCCCGCAGTGGCGCCGTCTGATGTGAGTGCCTCACCACTACACTCTCCGCATACCACACCACACCCACCACATGATACTGCCCGCCTGCCTCGCCGTCTTCACGCACCACCGCCCCGCAGTGGCGCCGTCTGATGTGAGTGCCTCACCACTACACTCTCCGCATACCACACCACACCCACCACATGATACTGCCCGCCTGCCTCGCCGTCTTCACGCACCACCGCCCCGCAGTGGCGCCGTCTGATGTGAGTGCCTCACCACTACACTCTCCGCATACCACACCACACCCACCACATGATACTGCCCGCCTGCCTCGCCGTCTTCACGCACCACCGCCCCGCAGTGGCGCCGTCTGATGTGAGTGCCTCACCACTACACTCTCCGCATACCATACCACACCACACCCACCACATGATACTGCCCGCCTGCCTCGCCGTCTTCACGCACCACCGCCCCGCAGTGGCGCCGTCTGATGTGAGTGCCTCACCACTACACTCTCCGCATACCACACCACACCCACCACATGATACTGCCCGCCTGCCTCGCCGTCTTCACGCACCACCGCCCCGCAGTGGCGCCGTCTGATGTGAGTGCCTCACCACTACACTCTCCGCATACCACACCACACCCACCACATGATACTGCCCGCCTGCCTCGCCGTCTTCACGCACCACCGCCCCGCAGTGGCGCCGTCTGATGTGAGTGCCTCACCACTACACTCTCCGCATACCACACCACACCCACCACATGATACTGCCCGCTTGCCTCGCCGTCTTCACGCACCACCGCCCCGCAGTGGCGCCGTCTGATGTGAGTGCCTCACCACTACACTCTCCGCATACCATACCACACCACACCCACCCACATGATACTGCCCGCCTGCCTCGCCGTCTTCACGCACCACCGCCCCGCAGTGGCGCCGTCTGATGTGAGTGCCTCACCACTACACTCTCCGCATACCACACCACACCCACCACATGATACTGCCCGCCTGCCTCGCCGTCTTCACGCACCACCGCCCCGCAGTGGCGCCGTCTGATGTGAGTGCCTCACCACTACACTCTCCGCATACCACACCACACCCACCACATGATACTGCCCGCCTGCCTCGCCGTCTTCACGCACCACCGCCCCGCAGTGGCGCCGTCTGATGTGAGTGCCTCACCACTACACTCTCCGCATACCACACCACACCCACCACATGATACTGCCCGCCTGCCTCGCCGTCTTCACGCACCACCGCCCCGCAGTGGCGCCGTCTGATGTGAGTGCCTCACCACTACACTCTCCGCATACCATACCACACCACACCCACCACATGATACTGCCCGCCTGCCTCGCCGTCTTCACGCACCACCGCCCCGCAGTGGCGCCGTCTGATGTGAGTGCCTCACCACTACACTCTCCGCATACCATACCACACCACACCCACCACATGATACTGCCCGCCTGCCTCGCCGTCTTCACGCACCACCGCCCCGCAGTGGCGCCGTCTGATGTGAGTGCCTCACCACTACACTCTCCGCATACCACACCACACCCACCACATGATACTGCCGTCTGCCTCGCCGTCTTCACGCACCACCGCCCCGCAGTGGCGCCGTCTGATGTGAGTGCCTCACCACTACACTCTCCGCATACCACACCACACCCACCACATGATACTGCCCGCCTGCCTCGCCGTCTTCACGCACCACCGCCCCGCAGTGGCGCCGTCTGATGTGAGTGCCTCACCACTACACTCTCCGCATACCACACCACATCCACCACATGATACTGCCCGCCTGCCTCGCCGTCTTCACGCACCACCGCCCCGCAGTGGCGCCGTCTGATGTGAGTGCCTCACCACTACACTCTCCGCATACCACACCACACCCACCACATGATACTGCCCGCCTGCCTCGCCGTCTTCACGCACCACCGCCCCGCAGTGGCGCCGTCTGATGTGAGTGCCTCACCACTACACTCTCCGCATACCACACCACACCCACCACATGATACTGCCCGCCTGCCTCGCCGTCTTCACGCACCACCGCCCCGCAGTGGCGCCGTCTGATGTGAGTGCCTCACCACTACACTCTCCGCATACCACACCACACCCACCACATGATACTGCCCGCCTGCCTCGCCGTCTTCACGCACCACCGCCCCGCAGTGGTGCCGTCTGATGTGAGTGCCTCACCACTACACTCTCCGCATACCACACCACACCCACCACATGATACTGCCGGCCTGCCTCGCCGTCTTCACGCACCACCGCCCCGCAGTGGCGCCGTCTGATGTGAGTGCCTCACCACTACACTCTCCGCATACCACACCACACCCACCACATGATACTGCCCGCCTGCCTCGCCGTCTTCACGCACCACCGCCCCGCAGTGGTGCCGTCTGATGTGAGTGCCTCACCACTACACTCTCCGCATACCACACCACACCCACCACATTATACTGCCCGCCTGCCTCGCCGTCTTCACGCACCACCGCCCCGCAGTGGCGCTGTCTGATGTGAGTGCCTCACCACTACACTCTCCGCATACCACGCCACACCCATCACATGATACTGCCCGCCTGCCTCGCCATCTTCACGCACCACCGCCCCACAGTGGCGCCGTCTGATGTGAGTGCCTCACCACTACACTCTCCGCATACCACACCACACCCACCACATGATACTGCCCGCCTGCCTCGCCGTCTTCACGCACCACCGCCCCGCAGTGGCGCCGTCTGATGTGAGTGCCTCACCACGACACGCTCCGCATACCACACCACACTCACCACATGATACTGCCTGCCTGCCTTGCCGACTTCTCGCATCACCGCCCCGTAGTGACGCTAGGCCTGGTGAGTATGGCGGATGATGGAGAGCTTTCAATCCCAGCTCTTCTAATTTGGAGACCGTCTGTTGTGCAATATAAGGTCGCACGTTGTCGTGAAGGAGTAGCGTGGACGATTTGCCAAAACTGTTTGGAGACGTGCAAGCTTTCCATTGTTGTGTTCAGTTCTTCACAGTACACGGCTCCGTGGCGCAGTGGCTTAGCAATTGAGTTGCAGCGCTAAGGGCCCCGGTTTCGAACCCCGCACGTAGAAAGTATTTGTATGGCCTACAAATAATTGATCCGGATCTGGATGTTTGTCCTTGTGCAATTTATGTTTGTAAACTGTCCCCCCCCCCCCCCCACACGATACAGAAGAAAATCCTAGTGTGAAGGTTACGTTTTTTAAACAAAAAACAAAAAAAAAAAGAAATTATTTGGCAATAACATGACGGGGAAGTGAAATGTTAAATTATACTGATTTTTACTTGAAAAAAGTCAAAAACATTAAAGAACGAACCACGGAGGCATTGTTTTGTCTATTTGCCTAATACTCTAGACACCGATAAATTTTTAATTTGTATCAGAATGATGCTACTACCCGTCTCTTTTATTGATCTGTACTCACTGGACGGAATTGGAGAACATATCTATATATGTTTTCTGTACATATTTCCTATATGTTGAATTTATTTTCGCGAACAGAGTCAAGGGGCGAACGGAGCGTCGGGCAAGCCGGAGGAGAAGAACCAACTGTACTGGGCAAAGGGTACGGGCTTCGGTACCGGCTCCACGCAGCAGTCGTGGAATGTGGAGCAGGCGCTCGTGCGACAGCGCGTCGAGGAGGAGCACGTCACCGTGCTGCTGCAGGTTCGACTTGGTCATATTGTTAACGATAGCTTGCTTGATATGTACGTATCGGATCGCGATCCGGCGGGCAATCTCAACGGAGACTAGTCATCTTCGTAGTATAGTGTACGAGTGTGTGCTCAACACTCACAGGTGTACTTGTGTGTACTTTCGAATACCTTACTCTCATAGTCCGATGAAACGGCAACCCGACATAATGTAGGACTGATAACGGGCGCAGTAATAATGGATTTATGTGCTTTCCGAGGAGTGAAAGAAAGAATAAGAAATGAGAATTACTTGACAGAAAAACCCAAAACTGATTATGGCTCGATCCGGGATCTAAACTCGAGACCACACGATCATGAATAGAATTGAAACGCATTGCTGTACACAACCAGACACATAACCAGACTTTTCTTTTTAGTAAAAGTTCAAATACGGCTAATTCTACTACATTTTGAAAGGACGCACGTCTGCACTTTGTTATTTGTCTGATGAATTCTGTGAGTGGCTGTTAGCTGTCTGTCGAGAGACATGATATCTTGCGTGTGTACGTGCTGGTAGTTGTGAGTCGAACTTAAAGATGCGGTGTTGGTGCGCAGGTGCTGGCCGCGTACATGCAGCCGGGCGAGCGCTGGCCGCCCGAGGAGGGCGCGCAGCCGGCGCCCGAGGCGGACGAGCGCGAGCACCAGCTGCCGCCCGGCTTCGTGGACCTCGTGGCCGCCTCCTCGCTCGTGCCCGCCATCTGCTCATACCTGCGCAACGACTCCGGTACGCTGTTGCCGCACGCACACGCACACGCTCATACACGCACACGTACGCATACGCATGCACACGCACGCACACGCACATACGAGCTTAAATTTTTAAAATATACTATAATATATGTATATATATATATATATAAAAATATATAAAATAACAATATATTTAATATATAAAAAAAATGAAATGACGCTATAGAATAAAAACCTACGGTTGTCAGCTTATCGGCCAAGTGTTGCAATCATGGAAAATTTCCCCTCTATGAGGCAATCCATGAAGGAAGCCTATATTCTGTGACGTGAATTTAGAATTCCGTTCTGAATAGAATATAAAGTTTATTAAAACGTGAGATTTATCAAAAATCCATACTAAAATGACTATATCAAATATAATAAAAAAATTATACATAGCTCACGTAATTCCAATTTTGAGTATTTCACTTTTATAAGTTGCTGTATATAGTTTACATATTCTCCCCTATGAGGCAATCTATAGAGAATGTAGATCGGAGCATCAAGGTCGTTGTAGACGGTGCATGCTCTGACTACAAGCCTATTAACGCTGGTGTTCCACAAGGCTGTGTGCTATCACCAACGCTGTTTCTTCTGCATATCAATGATATGTTGCTAACTGGTAACATTCATTGCTATGCGGATGACAGCACTGGTGATGCTCTATACACCGGCCGTGCCAATATTTCTCGGGAAAACGTCGCTGAGTACCGGAACAAACTTGTGTCTGAAGTCGAGTCTTTGCTGAACAAAGTCTCGGATTGGGGGCGACTAAATCTAGTCCAATTTAATCCACAGAAGACACAAGTTTGCGCGTTTACCGCTAAAAAGAACCCCTTTGTCGTATCTCCTCAGTTTCAAGGCACTCCCCTTCTTGCCTCAGCCAGTATCGGTATCCTCGGAGTCGACATATCGAGTGACGTGCAGTTTCGTGGTCACTTGGAAGGGAAGGCCAAATTGGCCTCTAAAAAGCTTGGCGTGCTCAGCAGAGCGGGACAGTATTTCATGCCGGCACACCGCCTGCTACTTTACAAGGCGCAAGTTCGGCCTCACATGGAATACTGTTCCCATCTCTGGGAGATGCGCGCGGTACTTGCACGTGGCTCTTTCCCGCGCACACTTTCTTGACTCCCTACAAATATTTAATCTATTCCTTGTCCCAGTTTAACGTCATTCTCCCCCTTCTGGGGCTGACGACACATTGACGCCTACGTCGTCGGGCGCTCCTACCAGCCTTCCATCCTGCCTTGTCCTGCGATCGTGCCACCTATCGCGCGCATCTCCCGAGATTCGGCCCGTATGACCTGAGGGTCGGTGGGGCCATGGGAGGTGGAGGGTTGTTCCCATCTCTGGGCAGGGGCTCCCCAGTGCCAGCTCCTTCCACTTGACCGCATCCAACGCAGAGCGGCTCGAATTGTCGACGACCGAGCCCTTTCCGATCGGCTCGATTCATTGGCACTGCGAAGAGATGTTGCATCCCTTTGCATTTTCTTTCGCATCTACCATGGGGAGTGCTCTGAGGAATTGTTCGGATTAATCCCAGCCGCCAAATTTCACGAACGCACATCGCGGCAGAACTCCCGATACCATCCACACCATCTGGATGATTGGCGGTCCACCACTGTGCGATTTAGAAGATGTTTTCTTCCTCGCACGACCTCCTTGTGGAATCGATTACCATCAGCGATTTTTCCGGACCGATACGACTTGCGACCTTCAAGAAAAGAGCGTACTCCTTTTTAAAAGGCCGGCAACGCATCTGCGATTCCCCTGGTGTTGCAGTTGTTCATGAGCGGCGGTAGTCACTTACCATCAGGTGAGCCACACGCTCGTTTGCCCCCTCTCCTATAAAAAAAAAAGCCTATGTTCAGCAGTGGACTTATATCGGATGTAATGGTAACAGTATAACTTTATAATAAAGTTAAAGGGACAGGTCTCATATACATACCACTGCTGAGGACAGGTCTCCCTCTCATTTCTGAGAGGGTTTTAGAATAAGGAAGTGTCCACTGCGCTGCCCCAATACGTGTTGGCGGACTTCACAAGCATGCAGGTTTCCTCACGATGTTTTCCCTTACCGCCCAGCACGTGGTAAATCAGCAATTAAAATTGCGATCAACAATAATATCTGCTTTACTGATTGCTAGCGTAACTGCACAGTACTACGAGCGTTTAGCCCCTGGGCTACCATGGCTCTTCATACTCTACTTTTATAATGTGTTTATAAAATTACGGAATTTTTGGCGGGAACTTGACCGGCCGCGGCTTGCTGCTCCTGTATTATTGTTTAAATAATGGTTTGAAGTGGACTTTGATATGTAAAAGTGGTGCGATTTTATGTATTAAGTGTCTATGCATGTGAACTATTAATGGAAATGGTGAAACAAGTGCTCTGATGGTGATGTGATTCTCAAGATAAGGTGTCTGCTTAGGCGACTTGAGATACCATTGCCAACTGTCAGCTGTCTGCTGGTTCAAGTTGCCGTCAAAATCTCCCAAGGGCTGCACAATGTTACGCATCAACATATTGTGAAGCAGTGTACTATGAAGGATAATTATACATTATAACCTCAGGCTCACAAAGGCTAGAACCCAGAGCCGTAAAACCAGTTATAAAAAAAATTGCGTATATTTAACAATACTCTGTGTGTTTCAATGTGCCGTTGTGTATGTTGTGCACAGTGCTGGATATGTCGCGGCACATCCCGCTGTACGTGTGCGTGCTGCGGTGCGCGCGAGCCCTGCACGCGCTGCGCTGCGGCCGCCTGGCGCCCACGCTGCGCCCGCTGCCACGCCTGCTCGCCATGATGAGCCGCACCACCAACTCCTACGCCACCAAGCTCAGGTGCGCACCACACCCACACACCACTCACCACTCGCGCTGCGCTGCGGCCGCCTGGCGCCTACGCTGCGCCCGCTGCAACGCCTGCTCGCCATGATGAGCCGCACCACCAACTCCTACGCCACCAAGCTCAGGTGCGCACCACACCCACACACCACTCACCACTCGCGCTGCGCTGCGGCCGCCTGGCGCCCACGCTGCGCCCGCTGCCACGCCTGCTCGCCATGATGAGCCGCACCACCAACTCCTACGCCACCAAGCTCAGGTGCGCACCACACCCACACACCACTCACCACTCGCGCTGCGCTGCGGCCGCCTGGCGCCTACGCTGCGCCCGCTGCCACGCCTGCTCGCCATGATGAGCCGCACCACCAACTCCTACGCCACCAAGCTCAGGTGCGCACCACACCCACACACCACTCACCACTCGCGCTGCGCTGCGGCCGCCTGGCGCCCACGCTGCGCCCGCTGCCACGCCTGCTCGCCATGATGAGCCGCACCACCAACTTCTACGCCACCAAGCTCAGGTGCGCACCACACCCACACACCACTCACCACTCGCGCTGCGCTGCGGCCGCCTGGCGCCCACGCTGCGCCCGCTGCCACGCCTGCTCGCCATGATGAGCCGCACCACCAACTCCTACGCCACCAAGCTCAGGTGCGCACCACACCCACACACCACTCACCACTCGCGCTGCGCTGCGGCCGCCTGGCGCCTACGCTGCGCCCGCTACCACGCCTGCTCGCCATGATGAGCCGCACCACCAACTCCTACGCCACCAAGCTCAGGTGCGCACCACACCCACACACCACTCACCACTCGCGCTGCGCTGCGGCCGCCTGGCGCCTACGCTGCGCCCGCTGCCACGCCTGCTCGCCATGATGAGCCGCACCACCAACTCCTACGCCACCAAGCTCAGGTGCGCACCACACCCACACACCACTCACCACTCGCGCTGCGCTGCGGCCGCCTGGCGCCTACGCTGCGCCCGCTGCCACGCCTGCTCGCCATGATGAGCCGCACCACCAACTCCTACGCCACCAAGCTCAGGTGCGCACCACACCCACACACCACTCACCACTCGCGCTGCGCTGCGGCCGCCTGGCGCCTACGCTGCGCCCGCTGCCACGCCTGCTCGCCATGATGAGCCGCACCACCAACTCCTACGCCACCAAGCTCAGGTGCGCACCACACCCACACACCACTCACCACTCGCGCTGCGCTGCGGCCGCCTGGCGCCTACCCTGCGCCCGCTGCCACGCCTGCTCGCCATGATAAGCCGCACCACCAACTCCTACGCCACCAAGCTCAGGCGCGCACCACACCCACACACCACTCACCACTCGCGCTGCGCTGTGGCCATGATGAGCAACTCAAATTATAAAAAACTGCGATTGTCAAGCCGCCTGCCAAGCGGAGCAATTATGACTTAATCCCTATGGGGCGGCAGTCTATGAGGAGGCCGTTATTCTTTAGTGAAGTTTTCAGGCTAAAATGGATAGGATGGATAAATATCATGTAATGAATAATGAGAATAAAAGATAATTTTTAGTACGAACGAGGTACACCATCTAACAACGCTCCAAAGTTTGGCAACACATCTGCATTATTAGTCCTGACAGAAGATATAAATAGCTGTCTCGGGTCACACCATCCACTTAACATCACAGAATCCACCTGATTATACCTAAGGTCACAACTTACGGTACAATTAAAAATAATATTATGTAAACAAAACTACTGGTATCTTTTTTTATGCAATAATGAGAGTAAGTAATTTATAGAAAATAAAACCTCAGCGTTAAACCAGAACAAATGGCAAAATTGACTTTCAGTGCTGATACACAGGCCTAGCACGGCCAAGAATTTGCTTTGACATTGTGTCGTATTATATTTTATGTTTAAGTTCTTTTTGTTTTAACACTGTAATAAGTTACAATCAAATGAATTTCTTATAAAACTATATTATAAAATGTCTTTGTTTCAGAATGAGTAAGAAGAACATTTTCGGAAAAATGACATATAGCCAAAGATTTAACACAACGAGTAATTGTGAGCTGTCAGAGGAAGACGAAGGTCTTGCGGCTCTTATTGCTGACATACAGGCATGTAATTTTTTTTTATTATATAATTAGGAATAATTGTAAATTTAGAGGCTAATTTTTACTAACTAATCCTACGGCGATAACTTTTAGACACATTTGGAAGCTATCACGAATAACATTATAATTTATTTTATTAATTAATATTAGTGCCAAAAAGGAAACATGATAATACAAATTCGCTAGTACTCTGCTAGTAATCGATGTCGTTTTAATTGTAATTACGTTACTTTTGCACCGTGCCTTTGTTTAAACATCTCCAGTGCCATATTCTAAAATAGTGAGTAATGTTTATAGGTTTCAAAAAGTGTTCACATTACATTATATTAATTTAAAAGATATGCTGCAACTGATATACATCCTACTGTTGGACATAGGCCTACTTTCATCTTGAGAGTATTATAAAGCAGTAAGTCCGCTCATTTGCAGCATGTTTCTATTTAAAAAATATGCAATATTTTAGTGTAGTGACAGATTTCTCACGTGATCTCTTATGTTTTCCTTCATTTGAATGATGTCGCATATATTCCTTAAGCGTGAAGCACGTGGTAAATCAAAATTTTAAAATGGTATTTAGTACTTTCATTAGTATCGGCGAGCGTCGAGGTCGGGTTGCTTCCGTACTATCTAATATAGAATATTAATTTAATCATAGAATATTATAAAAAATATTAAAAATATGTGACAGTAGCCTAATGGTTGGGGTATAGAGTGCAAACATAAAAAGTCGTAGGTTCGACTCTTCTATTCAAGTGCTGTAGCGAACGGCTCCTGACGCAAGAATTAGAGTGGTTAACGGGAATATTAGTATTGTTAACGTGCGAGTGGTGTGTGCGCAGGCGACGTCCGCGCTGATGTGCCGCGCCGAGGGCGAGGCGGAGGCGGGCGGCGCGCCGCGGCCGCCGGGCGGCGCCACGCGCGAGGCGCGCTACATACACCTCATGCGCACCATGCAGTTCGGTCAGTCGCTCTCACTCGCTCACCTCCCTCTCTCTCCCTTACCCCGCGCCGAGGGCGAGGCGGAGGCGGGCGGCGCGCCGCGGCCGCCGGGCGGCGCCACGCGCGAGGCGCGCTACATACACCTCATGCGCACCATGCAGTTCGGTCAGTCGCTCTCACTCGCTCACCTCCCTCTCTCTCCCTTACCCCGCGCCGAGGGCGAGGCGGAGGCGGGCGGCGCGCCGCGGCCGCCGGGCGGCGCCACGCGCGAGGCGCGCTACATACACCTCATGCGCACCATGCAGTTCGGTCAGTCGCTCTCACTCGCTCACCTCCCTCTCTCTCCCTTACCCCGCGCCGAGGGCGAGGCGGAGGCGGGCGGCGCGCCGCGGCCGCCGGGCGGCGCCACGCGCGAGGCGCGCTACATACACCTCATGCGCACCATGCAGTTCGGTCAGTCGCTCTCACTCGCTCACCTCCCTCTCTCTCCCTTACCCCGCGCCGAGGGCGAGGCGGAGGCGGGCGGCGCGCCGCGGCCGCCGGGCGGCGCCACGCGCGAGGCGCGCTACATACACCTCATGCGCACCATGCAGTTCGGTCAGTCGCTCTCACTCGCTCACCTCCCTCTCTCTCCCTTACCCCGCGCCGAGGGCGAGGCGGAGGCGGGCGGCGCGCCGCGGCCGCCGGGCGGCGCCACGCGCGAGGCGCGCTACATACACCTCATGCGCACCATGCAGTTCGGTCAGTCGCTCTCACTCGCTCACCTCCCTCTCTCTCCCTTACCCCGCGCCGAGGGCGAGGCGGAGGCGGGCGGCGCGCCGCGGCCGCCGGGCGGCGCCACGCGCGAGGCGCGCTACATACACCTCATGCGCACCATGCAGTTCGGTCAGTCGCTCTCACTCGCTCACCTCCCTCTCTCTCCCTTACCCCGCGCCGAGGGCGAGGCGGAGGCGGGCGGCGCGCCGCGGCCGCCGGGCGGCGCCACGCGCGAGGCGCGCTACATACACCTCATGCGCACCATGCAGTTCGGTCAGTCGCTCTCACTCGCTCACCTCCCTCTCTCTCCCTTACCCCGCGCCCAGGGCGAGGCGGAGGCGGGCGGCGCGCCGCGGCCGCCGGGCGGCGCCACGCGCGAGGCGCGCTACATACACCTCATGCGCACCATGCAGTTCGGTCAGTCGCTCTCACTCGCTCACCTCCCTCTCTCTCCCTTACCCCGCGCCGAGGGCGAGGCGGAGGCGGGCGGCGCGCCGCGGCCGCCGGGCGGCGCCACGCGCGAGGCGCGCTACATACACCTCATGCGCACCATGCAGTTCGGTCAGTCGCTCTCACTCGCTCACCTCCCTCTCTCTCCCTTACCCCGCGCCCAGGGCGAGGCGGAGGCGGGCGGCGCGCCGCGGCCGCCGGGCGGCGCCACGCGCGAGGCGCGCTACATACACCTCATGCGCACCATGCAGTTCGGTCAGTCGCTCTCACTCGCTCACCTCCCTCTCTCTCCCTTACCCCGCGCCGAGGGCGAGGCGGAGGCGGGCGGCGCGCCGCGGCCGCCGGGCGGCGCCACGCGCGAGGCGCGCTACATACACCTCATGCGCACCATGCAGTTCGGTCAGTCGCTCTCACTCGCTCACCTCCCTCTCTCTCCCTTACCCCGCGCCGAGGGCGAGGCGGAGGCGGGCGGCGCGCCGCGGCCGCCGGGCGGCGCCACGCGCGAGGCGCGCTACATACACCTCATGCGCACCATGCAGTTCGGTCAGTCGCTCTCACTCGCTCACCTCCCTCTCTCTCCCTTACCCCGCGCCGAGGGCGAGGCGGAGGCGGGCGGCGCGCCGCGGCCGCCGGGCGGCGCCACGCGCGAGGCGCGCTACATACACCTCATGCGCACCATGCAGTTCGGTCAGTCGCTCTCACTCGCTCACCTCCCTCTCTCTCCCTTACCCCGCGCCGAGGGCGAGGCGGAGGCGGGCGGCGCGCCGCGGCCGCCGGGCGGCGCCACGCGCGAGGCGCGCTACATACACCTCATGCGCACCATGCAGTTCGGTCAGTCGCTCTCACTCGCTCACCTCCCTCTCTCTCCCTTACCCCGCGCCGAGGGCGAGGCGGAGGCGGGCGGCGCGCCGCGGCCGCCGGGCGGCGCCACGCGCGAGGCGCGCTACATACACCTCATGCGCACCATGCAGTTCGGTCAGTCGCTCTCACTCGCTCACCTCCCTCTCTCTCCCTTACCCCGCGCCGAGGGCGAGGCGGAGGCGGGCGGCGCGCCGCGGCCGCCGGGCGGCGCCACGCGCGAGGCGCGCTACATACACCTCATGCGCACCATGCAGTTCGGTCAGTCGCTCTCACTCGCTCACCTCCCTCTCTCTCCCTTACCCCGCGCCGAGGGCGAGGCGGAGGCGGGCGGCGCGCCGCGGCCGCCGGGCGGCGCCACGCGCGAGGCGCGCTACATACACCTCATGCGCACCATGCAGTTCGGTCAGTCGCTCTCACTCGCTCACCTCCCTCTCTCTCCCTTACACCGCGCCGAGGGCGAGGCGGAGGCGGGCGGCGCGCCGCGGCCGCCGGGCGGCGCCACGCGCGAGGCGCGCTACATACACCTCATGCGCACCATGCAGTTCGGTCAGTCGCTCTCACTCGCTCACCTCCCTCTCTCTCCCTTACCCCGCGCCGAGGGCGAGGCGGAGGCGGGCGGCGCGCCGCGGCCGCCGGGCGGCGCCACGCGCGAGGCGCGCTACATACACCTCATGCGCACCATGCAGTTCGGTCAGTCGCTCTCACTCGCTCACCTCCCTCTCTCTCCCTTACCCCGCGCCGAGGGCGAGGCGGAGGCGGGCGGCGCGCCGCGGCCGCCGGGCGGCGCCACGCGCGAGGCGCGCTACATACACCTCATGCGCACCATGCAGTTCGGTCAGTCGCTCTCACTCGCTCACCTCCCTCTCTCTCCCTTACCCCGCGCCGAGGGCGAGGCGGAGGCGGGCGGCGCGCCGCGGCCGCCGGGCGGCGCCACGCGCGAGGCGCGCTACATACACCTCATGCGCACCATGCAGTTCGGTCAGTCGCTCTCACTCGCTCACCTCCCTCTCTCTCCCTTACCCCGCGCCGAGGGCGAGGCGGAGGCGGGCGGCGCGCCGCGGCCGCCGGGCGGCGCCACGCGCGAGGCGCGCTACATACACCTCATGCGCACCATGCAGTTCGGTCAGTCGCTCTCACTCGCTCACCTCCCTCTCTCTCCCTTACCCCGCGCCGAGGGCGAGGCGGAGGCGGGCGGCGCGCCGCGGCCGCCGGGCGGCGCCACGCGCGAGGCGCGCTACATACACCTCATGCGCACCATGCAGTTCGGTCAGTCGCTCTCACTCGCTCACCTCCCTCTCTCTCCCTTACCCCGCGCCGAGGGCGAGGCGGAGGCGGGCGGCGCGCCGCGGCCGCCGGGCGGCGCCACGCGCGAGGCGCGCTACATACACCTCATGCGCACCATGCAGTTCGGTCAGTCGCTCTCACTCGCTCACCTCCCTCTCTCTCCCTTACCCCGCGCCGAGGGCGAGGCGGAGGCGGGCGGCGCGCCGCGGCCGCCGGGCGGCGCCACGCGCGAGGCGCGCTACATACACCTCATGCGCACCATGCAGTTCGGTCAGTCGCTCTCACTCGCTCACACTACTCTCCACCTCCCTTTCTCTCTCTTACCCCTCGCCGGTTCTCTCTACCTCTCTCTTTCCACCTCCAAGAGAGTGCTCTTTGTCATTATACCGCTCCTTTTTTTTCTCCTTCTACGTTCCCCTCTTTACTTTCTGTTTTCCCCGTCTTCTTTCTTTCTCCCGCATATGCGCTGGCTTTCTCCCTCTTTCTCTCGTGTCTCTTTTTTTACTCTTACTATTTTTCTACCTCACTGCTTCTTCTTTTCTTACTTTTTCAACAAACAACATACGTTGATTTTTTAAGTTAGCTAGTAGGAATGCATTACATTGAAGATTTGCGCATACTTACCTAATTGATCAAGCGATTTGGCGAGCTCAAAACTAATTCCTAGTAATGCTTGCTTCTCACTGAAAAATATATGTTGCTCCAAAGTTTTTGGACTACAAATATTGTATACTGTTTACTATCTCATTTTCTCGCAGGCTAAATGAAATGACGTTTATGAAGAAGTTTTCGCTTCATAACGGAGCCACGTGCTTATGGTTATTTGTTATTTGTACAGAAACGTTTGAAATGATAGCGGAATGCCCGGAGAAAGGGTTCCGTTTCACGGTGCCGTACCATTTCGAAGGCATGGTCCGTGCGGCAGGCGAGCGTGCACACCCGGCGCGAATGAAGCGGCTGGCGCAGGAGGCCGCCACGCTGGCCACCAGCCTGCCGCTGTCCTACTCCTCGTCCGTGTTCGTGCGCACCGACACCGACCGGCTCGACGTCATGAAGGTGAGTGTGCAGATTGTACAGACAGAAGACTGTATTTGCCGCGCTTGGCAGGCAGATAGATGTAGGTCTGTGATTGATGGTGTGGAGTAGGATGCGAAGTTGAAGTCGAAGCTTCGATATCGATTAGATTGTGTAAAAATTTGTGTCGTTTATGTTTAAAAATAACTCACATACACCACGTTGGACCAGAAAAAATAGTTTCGCAAATATTTAAATATAGAGAAATGTTCACAAGCACCACCTGTGAAAAAGCTGTGTTTACTTATACAAGCGAAAAGAATGCGAAAACTAATTATGTCGCTAAAAGAGCATAAACAATTTGTTTTCAGGTCCTAATAACGGGTCCATCGGACACGCCGTACGCGAACGGGTGCTTCATCCTAGACGTGTACTTCCCAGCGGAGTACCCGGCGGTGCCGATGCTTATCAACCTGGAGACCACAGGCCGCCACTCGGTGCGCTTCAATCCCAACCTGTACAACGACGGGAAAGTGTGCCTCTCAGTGCTCAACACGTGGCACGGTCGCCCAGAGGAGAAGTGGAACGCGCACACATCTAGTTTCTTGCAGGTGAGAATTTTATTATGCTTGGTAAACAATTAAATATTAATATTATATAATAGGCTATTTGAAGAAACATTATTTTAGTATATCAGTTAAAATTGAGAAATATTCCTAGCCACTCAACCGTCCGCCCCGCGCGAGTGATTCTCGCCTGACCTGTCCGCGCATTAAATGTCACTATTGTTACGACCGCGCGAGACTGTCTTAACAAAAACGATTACTACTGAAAAACTACTATAGCTACATTCAAATAAAAAATATTCTCAAAAGACTCAAAGAATTCAAAATTTAATTTTGTTAAAAGAAAATTAGTCAAATTAAAAATAAAGCTTAAAAATGGGAATATCAAAAAAATCGTATTTATTTTTTATTTCGAGATTTAAAAGTAAAGTGTAAGCAACATATAATCAATAAACGATGATCGCGTATAGTGATTAAAATTTAGAGCTAAATTATTATATGTAAACGTTTTGGAATTGTCGAAATGATACATATTTACTTAAGAAAATATCTTCACAATTAGTTTGATGTACAATAACATTAGAAATAACATATAAAAACAGAAAAGTTATCACACTTTTGATCGAATTTCTTACACGTTAACATTCCACAAACAAAAATGGCGAAATTTAATTTTAACTTTTTTTCTCTAAATATTTTGTTACTATTTGTTACGGCCCTCAGCTGCCCCGACAACGGTCGACTGGGCCAATGCCCATAGTAACCCACTCGACGAGCAGCCGAGGATTCGGGCCCAATGGCCTATGGATTATTATTATAAAACGGCTGACAAGCAAACAAAACTTACAGAGTTCCGGAGGTAGGGTTGACCACAGGGTACCAGTCAGGTGGTAAGTGAGGTGTATGTAAGTAGTGTGTGAAAGTGTGTATAAAAGTCACCTGACTTAACCGATGTAATCGGACAGCAGATCCACAGGCGCTGCTTTTCTCCAAATGTGCGATCCCTCCAGTGGGCGTTCACCAATTGAAACTTTCAACTTTTATTTCGCTATATTAGTTTATCAATTTTATTATACATTTAATTAACTTCAAATTTAACTAAATCCACGTTAATCGAAATTAAAACAAGTGACACACGGCACAACTTAAGAACGGTCGGTCAAAGTTCAATGTTCCATGTTCACTTAGCAACAAATTATCATCGAGCACAAACGCGATCTCTTCTCGAGATACAAAGTTCAGCGTTCCACACGACAAAGCAAAATTCCTTCGCACGATATTAAAATGCCACAAAGCATTTCGTCGACGCAAATTAATGTCAATCTAAGTTAAATTAATTAATAAACTCAAGGATAAGCCTCGTTATCACTTAAAACGCTCAAAGCAGACAACTCAATTCTAGGCGGTCTTAACGAGACCTAAATCTTCGATAGTAAATTAGACGCGCACAATTTATTCAACATTTAGATCGTCAACTCAACACCGGTCGCGCGCAACCAAATCAGCGGTCGCAAACAATACTATCCTTCGCCCACGCGTCGAGCGACTGAGCGCTCGGCCGAGAGAACCGCCCGAGAGAGGGGGTCAGACACGCGTCTTGAATCCAAGTTTTTACAATATTAATTATTTGGCCTAAACACTATTATTAGAGATAAAATTGACTTTCATAGACGACAAATTTCATATAGCACCATCTATAATTTTTTACTGTATTAATATCAGCTATCTTTTGCGCTGTACGCGTTTAAACCGAAAGATATCGTTTGGTGCCTAGACAAGACAGGTGAGGCAGTAATGGTTTTTGGGGACTAGTCACCGTGGACGGTTGAGTGGCTAGGTTATCTAAATTAAATATTGTCTTTCTATGCTAAAAGTGATTATATTTTCTATTTTATCATCAAAACAGTTTGCAGTTCTTAAAATTTTATTAATGATTTACTATTCTTTCTAAAGATTTAATTTATTGCTTTATACATCCCCATCACAACCTATAGTACATTTATGTTACGCAGTCTCTCCTAATGATGTTCCGTTTTGTACGTGTCGTATTAACGAATGAAGCAAGTTTGTTTTTGACACAAGTATAGAACAAAAGTGTTATGCGTGCAGGTGCTGGTGTCGATCCAGTCCCTGATCCTGGTGCCGGAGCCGTACTTCAACGAGCCGGGCTACGAGCGCAGCCGCGGCACGCGCGTAGGCAGCAGCGCCTCGCTGGAGTACAACTCCAACATCTACCAGGCCTGCGTGCGCTGGGCAATGCTGGACCACCTGCGCAACCCCGAGCCCTGCTTCAAGGAGGTACGGTGCTGTCCTGTGCTTACTCTCGGTTGACAGAGTAAAAACACGTGTAGTACCCCTGCTTATAATGAAGGAAAAAGTTTTTATAGTCTCGACTAATGTAGAGATACCTATCTGAATATGCTAAAACCATATTCGGCACCTAAGGTTAGCTTGCAATATTTATATGTATCACATATGCGTTCAAAATAATTTGCAACTGACAACATTATTTCAAAGTAGTGAGCTTTGACGACCTGATAAAGAAAGTAAGAAAAACAAAAGTTTGCGTGAGTGAAGGATTTGAACATGGTTTTGAGTCACTTGAAATGTAAGCAGCGCTTCGTCTAGCTTTATTTTTGGTCTATTTATAAGATATCTGCATGGCTGTAATGGATGGATAGTCTTATCCATCACATCCTATCAAAACTGCTGACAGTAGGCCTCCTCCATAGATTACCTCATAGGAGGGATATTGGCATAGTTGTCAAACTTGGCAGGCCGGTTGGCACCCGAGTTTTATTATGAGTTATTATAAGGAAGATGCCGCTGCCCATCATTTGTACATGAAGTACCTCTGTCACCTCTTACGACACCCAGGGTATGATACGGAATGATGTAGACCATGGACCAACGTTTATCTAACGCTTTTGCTGGGTTGTCCTATTTATAATGACAACTGTCTTGCCCCATGTTTTTATACATTATCTTATGTAGTAAATTTTATAATTTTAATTTAAATAACATGAATTGAAACTGGGAATATTTAACTTACAGGTAATTCAAACCCACTTCTGGATAAAACGAAATGAAATCATGCAAACAGTTGCGAATTGGATAACCGAACTGGAGGGTCAAAATGGCGACGAAAGGACACAGCGCAGCATACAGCTTAACCTAATGGCGCTCAAGGTAATTATTTCACTTTTACTGAAAAATAAAACCTATGCAAAGAAAATAATACAGCAATATAATGTATTTTCTTCGTTGCAGCGACACTACGTGAAACTACAGGAAGAACTCGCGAAATTGCCGGTTCCACCGGGCTTGGAGGATTTGGACGAGCCCTTCCAGCTGCCGGCCGCCCCCTCCCCGCCGCCCGCACCCCCGGCCAACCCGCACAACCCGCTCAACCACCCGCTCAACTCGCTCGACACACTCAGCCCGCCCACTAACGAAGAGATCGACCACGACATGGAGAAGATAGTCTCGCAAGTGGTAGATTGACTAATGGGGGGCCTACTGAACACTTCGCTGCCGACCACGTAGTCTCCACGCGTACAGTCACGCGCGCTTGTACGGGCGTGTGCACGAGTACAGTCGGGCGCACGTGCGTTACAGCACACACATACACGTGCGTGCACTGAACGTCTCACACAATGCGTGAGCATGCTTGCATATGTATCAGGAATGCTACATGCAGACACCCGTTAGTCGGGCTTGACTAATTTTTCTACGTCTATATTATATACCTTGTACAAAGAATAAGTGTGTATCCTAGCGTACTATACGTACCGCGCGTGTCGCGTCCAATGAAAGTACAAGCAGGAAACGTTGCGTGCGGATGACAACGCATTTACAGTAGTATAGTGTAGGATGAGATTATACGCGTTTTATTCATATTTATTTTTTAAAATGCGGCCATCTCGTCGTTTCATTACCGCGCGTATTGATTTTTATTTGCGACAGAATTTCGTTTTCTATAGATATTTTATTTTAATAGGTATATACATAGTGTTTAGTGGAACTTTGTTTAGCTTAACACATATTGTGATATTATAGGGCTCGCGCCCGGTAAGCTATTTATGTATAGACGTACGGGCCGATGTCGTTAAACTCAAAGAATTGTAAAGTAACCGACTGTTATTAGGAGCAAGCAGCGCAACGCGTTCGCTAGCATTCAAATTGGAAATCACCGTTAATTACTTTCGTGTAACCATTTTGATTGTCGCGAAAGCCTAGCCACTTGCTTAACCTTAATGTTTGTGCCATTTGGGGAACGCTCCAGAGCATTTATTTAAACAATCTTCGATGTTAATGCGTGGCGTTTTCCTAATTGGACTTATTTGTATTGCGTCTACCTGTGTAAAATAAATTATAATTTAATGTATATAAAACTCTATTTTGTTTTATTTTCTATGTTTAAGTGTCATACTCTTAAAGAGTAGACGAGGGATCCAGTCGACCTCGACACGTAATGAAAATATGCTAGTAAATTATATATAAAAATTGATACACAATAGTTAAATTATGTATGCAGGCCTAGCCGATGTTCTTTGATTCCGTTCTAATCTGGAAGTGACAATAAGATAGTGAGGGGTCCCGTGTTTGGTGCTTTTCGTGCACATGACGGATCGACAAAATTGAGATAGTGAATGTATATAGGGAAAGGGTAATAAAATCATTGGTAGATCTCCCAGAATGTTTCTCATTGTACTTTCATTGTCGGGTGAGTTGGACCTGAAAGTTTCTTGTTATATTTGACTGTGAATTTCAGATTGTAAATAAAAATTTATGTTAACACTAACAATTTTTTGTTTTTATTTTTTTTTTTGTTCTATATTCTATCACTGCCTATACAGACGTATTTATGTATCCAATATTGTATACATATTAATTTAAATAAATCTTTAATAAGTTATGATATTTGTAAATACAAACACGACTTATTGTTTTAATTGACTATTAACTTAACTAGGTTATAGATAAATACAGTCATAAAATATAAATTGTATAAAAATATTCATTTTTATTTAAATTAACCCTTAAATTGTGTACGTCGAAGTGAAATCTCTATTATTTTCAAAGCTTGATTGCTACAAGTGGTTTATGAAATTATATCTAATACATACTTATGACTATATTCATTTATATGAAACTAAAATCCAAGAATATACAATATTCTAAGTCAAAACTAGGCGAAGCCTGTAATATAGAGGAAATAAACCATTAAAACTGTAATGAAGATAAAATAACAAAGGATAAAAATATAATAACAAAGCGCAAGGTTAGGTATCATCATTACAGACTTTCACAAGTCCACTGCTGAACATAGGCCTCTCACAAAGCATGCCTCAAAGCACGGTCCTGAGCCACCTGCATCCATCGACTTCTGCATGTCTTACAAGGTCGTCACTCCATCTAGTGGGCGGCCGCCTCAGACTTCGCCTACCGGTACGAGGCTGCCATTCGAGAACCGCTGCGCAAGCGCCTCACTGAAATGTCCGGAGAGCGCGGATTGGCCGATACGGACCTCGGTGGCCAGTGCTAGCACCGTCTTAGCACCGTTAGACTTCTTTTTATGAGGTATATTATTAACATAGCGTATTATATTATAATTTAAAACGATAATGACGATGACCATGACCATGGTGATGACGGTGAAGATGACCACGACCATGATGATGATGATGACGATGAAGATGTCGACTACGATTATAATAACGATGATCATGGTGATGACATGGTGTTTATCGAAGGCAACCTATTAACCAAAAATCAAAAACTTGTACTGCTTGATGGCCCAGTGGCGGATTACGTTAATGAATGGATGCCAGGCAGCAGCGCCTAACTGAAATGTTCGGATCACCGGAATCATCGGATCTAACACCGTTTATGGGGCTATTTAAAAATGAGGTGTACTCTTCTACTGAAGTAACGACTGTGCAGGACATAAAAGTAAGAAATATTCGGGCTTTTGACAAAATAAAAAAAAATATTTGTTTTATTATTAAACTTGAGAACAAGATTTAGAGTGATTATTTGGCAGTACCTATATTAAAACCAAATTCCACATTCGAATTTATGGCACCGTTACCGTTACAGTCTATTAAAGTCCACTGCTGAACATAGGCCTCCCCATAGATAGTCTCATAGGGGGGATATTTGTCATAGTTGCCACGCTTGGCGAGCGGGTTGGCAACCACAGTTTTTTTTAATTTATTATGAAGACGCTGCTGCCCATCTCCCGATTTGTTTCCCTCTATCACTTCTTACGACACCCACGGGATGATATGAATAGAATAGAATAGAATATTTTTTTATTCAATATAGATCACATGCGTAATTCTTATTGAAAGTCATTTTTTACTTTACCACTGGTTCGAAAAAGAACCTCTGTCCTGTTTGGGGTATGAGATATTCTTACACCGCCACTACTGGGTACTAGTCGCTTACGCCAGATGTTAAATATTCAGATCAGGTAGGTAGCCTGCCAAGGTCCTGAAAGTCCCAAGGGAACTTTGTCGATCTGATGAATATGAAGATATTAAGAATAAAAGCTAGTGAAGTTAACAAAGTGCAGTCGAAATAGGTAATTTAAAACAACCGTATATCAAATAATACGCACTTTATTGTTCATCTATTTACACTGTCACATTATAAAATTTCCACTTAAACATATTACTATGACTCACAATAACTTGTAAATTAGCTTTAGCTACACTTAGAGATACGAAGCATTCCATTTTGACACCTTATGTAATAAATAACTTACGGAATAGACCCCAAGACTCCTGATCGACGTTCGATTATCGGTTTCTGCACTTTTATTTCCGAGCAATGATGTTTCAAAGTATGATCAATATGTCATATAATAATACATTAAATTACAAAGTTATATAGTTAACGTGTCTGTAGTTTATTTGTAATGTAATATATTTGGAAATTAAAACTAAAGTGTGATCTGAGAAGTGATCTGATACATTAATGACATTGAATGTTGTGATTATTGGAGATCGCTCTTTTAGCGCATTGTTAAATATTTATGTAGAGATAGAGACACTAGTCTCTCTAGTCACACTAGTGAAAATGCATTTTATTCATAATCAAAATTATATTTTATAACGCATATGAAGCTCCATTATATTTTTCTTCACTTTTCAATCATCATATTTATTTTAATTACGAAGAAGATAGAAGATCATAAGTCATATACGACTTGTCGCAAGGATAGACTGAACGTGTTAATTATCTCATTTTTATATTGATTAATGTACTTTAAAACTATCATTTTTTCGAGTCGATAAGAAAAATCCATTAACTAACGCTCTGACTAACAAAGTATAATAGAAATTAGTAGGTATTCCTTGCCATCACAGATGGAGAAATTATTTACATAAACATTAAATTATCCCTATCTAAATCTATTGGTATTATCGTGTTTTAGTTATATGAGTGCATATATCTGTCTTCTCTGTTATATTGTGCGTAGTCAAGCTACGTTGAAATTGTTTCATTGTAGATCAAAACAGTTGATTCTAAAGCGTGGGGTTATGGCACATTGTATTGTGATTACTTATCTAAAGCCAAAGGAGCACTTGACCGATATATTTATAAACTATAATTTTTGTACTAAATCTTTAACGTTGATATTTCAGACAGTTTTAAGTGTATAAAAATTAATACTAATAATTCACATTTACTCAAACTTTCACGTTACTAAAGTACAACATCGAAAACATTAAAAAATATAGATTTCTGACACATGACCACACAATGCATATCGCATTGCCAATCTATCTAAATATTCTTGTTTACAGCATCAGTTCGTAATGATTTCTTAGTAGATCGGTCATGACCTTTGGCCGTCGTTACATAAGTTACTTAAAGGTAACTATTTCTTCTTTTTCTTCCAAGACTCATCGGCTTGCATTTCCAGGAACTGCGGGTTCAGGAGACCAGCTTCCGCGCATGATTTGCAACAGAACCTGGAAAATGGAAATTTTAATAAAAAATATAAACTGCCGGATGGAACGGAACTATAATTGGAAGTGATGGACAGGTAATAACAGCCAGAATAATTAAGTGGCTAGTTTTACCAATGTTTGTGTCAATACTTCAATATTATTGTTTTACGAGTAAATCATGGCGTATTGTATTCCCATGTTTTTTAAACAGACTTCAAAAAGAGGAGGTTCTCATTTCATCTGAATCTTATTTTTCTATGTATACTCGAAGATGCTTGAACCGATTTGAAAAATTATTTTTTTAATTTGAAAGCTGGTGCTTCTCATGTTTCATATAAAATTGATCAAATTCTGGACCAGTAGTTTTTAGTTATCCTTAATAATTTATATTGAAGTCGGTTGTACAAAATTTTAAATTTTACCACTTGTAGTGATTATATTTAAACAATCTTTTTTTCAAAATGCGTGGTAACGCGTTATTTTAACTGATTTTACTGCATACGTACACATTCGCAAGGGTCGATCGGTAAGCAATCGGTAAGCAATCATTTAAAATTAAAAATGTTGTACAGCTGACTTTTGTATACGTTATTAAATATAACTCAAAAACTATTGGTCTGACCTTGATCATATGGGATTCATATGGGACCACACGAGAAGTACCAGCTTTCAAATAAAAAAGAATCATTGAAATCGGTTCACCCAGTGAAAAGTTATGAGGTAACACACATAAAAAAACATAGAGTCGAATTGAGTACCGTCTACTTTTTGGAAGTCGGCAGAAAACGTTGTTGCACATAACATTCAGTTTGGAATAACTTCAAGAAGCCTTATTTACTGATATTTTGAAAAACTGTCATATCGGTATATAATTATTTATAATAAAATAAAATAACCCTGTATATTATTAATTATTAGGTATTAATATAGTATTTTCATCTGGTTCTCAAATTTAATGTTATTATTATTTAACATCTGACATTTTCTCATGGACATTACGAGTACGTCTGAGATGGTCAGACGATTATACACTTAAACTTGCACTATGCAAATGTATACTGTGTCGTTAATAACAAAATACGAGGTATTAAAAATCGTTAAGAAAATATAAACTTATAGAAGGTTGGTGAGTGAATTCCTCAGGGATCGCGTAAGCTTACTTAACTGCCACCCACGTGGCGTAGTGGACATGAAACGTGGCTACTTGTCGCCAGCGCCTGATTTAGTGTTCTGATAGCCCTAGGCTAACTATGAATATGCCCCCCCCCCCTCTTCGCCTGTTCTGTCTGATCCTGCCTCGTTCACGAATATAATTACTAGATTTTTATATTTTACTAGCTTCTACCCCACGGTTTTGCCCATATTAAATCAAATTTTCCTATGAGAATTACGTATTTTCCCGGGACATCTGTTCAGCAGATGTAAAAAGGTTAGACAAAGTTCTCTCACAATTAAAAGTATTAGGATGTGTATAGATTTAGTTATTTTTAAAATTCAATTATATGGTAATTCATTATCATAAAGCACTAGCTGGTAGCCGGCGCGCTGCTGCCGCAGAAGAAATAATTGTGGGAATATAATTTTAAATTTGGAAGAGTTATATTGTTTAACAAGGAATGACAATACATTCATTGAAATTAAATGATACATAACTTTCAAATAAATTTGTCGGTACGATACACGCGCCATCTAGCGTAAGTTAATTGTATTATCCCTATTACTTTCGCGCAAGTGCAAGCAATAAGTTGATAAAGATTTAGCGCAACCTTATGAACGTTATGGCAGCGCATAAAGTACGAACAAACAAATATTAATTTTTATATATTTTTTATAGATAAGGGGGAAACCGAGCATGGGGCCCATCTGATGGTAAGTGTTGACCGTTGCCCACGAACAACTAAAACACCAACTATAACAACTAAAACTATTATTATTTATTAAGAATATTATACCATATTTTATTCTGTAAGCGGTGCTTGCAAAGGCAAGCTCACCGCCCCCTTGGACCTTGCGCCCTAGGCTCTAGCCTAATTAGTCTGTGGGTAAACCAGGCCCTGCTTGTTGCATATATAACGACAAATTATTAATTCGAGTTTGATTTGATGACAGTTGTTAATCATCCTGTGGTTTTGACACAGGTAAGATGAACGAGTGTTTCTGTTGAGTGCTTCCGCTGAGGTCAAAATCAACTAAGATAACATCCTTACTTACTTGGAATAGTATCTGTGTGTGCAGAATTTGCCTCGCACTATCAAGTGGCAGTTCGCGAAGAATGGGTTATCCGTGCACCTCGGCGGGATGTACAGACCTGGAGAGACAAAGCCGTGTTAAAATATATTATCGTGCCGACTTAAGGAGTTCCTAGAGAGCTAGAAGATCTAAAACAAAAAGAAATTGAAAGAAAGAAAGAAATATACAAAAATGGACGGACGTAACCTCAGCAGAATTTAACAACTAAAAAAGCAGTTGCCAACCCGAATGCCAAGCGTGGCAACGGTAGCAAATATGCCTCTATACCAACAGTGGAAGGCTGATGAAGAGGTGAAGTCATCGTATCATATCTTCAGGTCGTAGAGGTCAGAGTTACCTTCGACGTTGATCTGCACAGTGGAGGAGTGCGAACTGAAGCGGTTCCTGGCGTGGCAGCCGTACACCCCGCTATCGTTGATGTTCACTGACGGGATCGTGAGACGCGCTTCTGCGGAACAGAACAATTGTGTAAAGTTGTGTGAATAAAACGTAAACTGATTTGATATTGACGATCACGACATTTGATCTCTAGAAACGATAAGAGATAAAGTACAATCAGTGATGGACTTATAGTAAGGCACATTAGGCGCTGGCCTAGGGCATCACCGCAGAGAGGGCACCGATTATTAAACTTCTGATAAAAGGTTAAACGGACTTTTTAACTTTATAATAGTCAATCAAAATAGAAATGAATCTTTCGCTATTACTAATGCACTAAATGCATTAAGATTTTATTTATTATAAAATATAATTCAAAATTGAAAACAAATAAACATGATAATTTTTGAAAATTTAGCGATTCTTAAATTTGTATATGAGTTCAATAATCAAAAGGTTTTTTCTCATATTTCATATTGCACGTATTTTTATTTATAACTGTGCAATTTGATAGTCAAAAGGAAATAGTATAGGATGCCTAAAAATATAATATAGGTTTCGCTTAATGATTTCTTATATTTACGCGGAGACTACACATTAAATGCAACTAATTTTTAAGGATTTTATCGCGTTTAATTTAACTTTTTAATTCCCGCCGTTTCGGGTGCTTTACAGCACCCATGGTCGCGGAGGAGACTCAGGTGTTTGACGTTCCGATGTCATAGTTAGCCCGGCTACCAATAATAATAATAATATTCAAAAACTGAAGGTGCGAAATGTCGGGAATTAAAAAGTTAAATTAAGCGCGATAAAATCCATAAAAATTTGTTTCAAATAATGGTTTTCGCTATTAAAAAGTCAAGGAAACATTAAATCATCCACGAAAGTATACCTTAAATGGTTTAACTACTTTACTTAAATATAAAATCAACATAAAATGAAAAACTAAGACACCATTTGCTAGTAGACTTACCAGTAATCTGCATTCGATCGCTGGAGGACAGGGGCACTCCATCCTTGGTCCAGTAGACGTCAGGCTCGGGGAAGCCGTCCACCTCACAGGGCAACGATAACTCCGCGCCCGCAGCTATCGTCGTTTGTACCGAGAGGATGCGCGTCGTCACCGGCACTATATACATTGCAAGTACTATTTAGTACGCTTAGTTTCAATTGCAGAATGATAGTAAACGATTAAACATAATATACAACGTGAAATTAATAAACTTAAAAGTATTTGCTATAATATCGTTTACTAAATTGATTTTTTCAGTTTCAATTTTTAAAAACGGCTAAATATACAAATACGAGTTTTGTGTTAACATGATTATACAACAAAAAAGTTTATTATTTGGTAACCACTTAGTTTTAGATTTTAACTGCTAAACTCTATCGAGTAGGAAAAACGAACTAATATCAATTCTATTGATTAGTGAGTACTTTTAATTGGATCAGGATGAAGAGATACTCATTTATCGCCAAAATATCAACCTCTGTTCGTACATTTTGGTTTGATAGTCATAGAACAAGGTTTGGCCGTGTAAGGAAAAGAGGAGACTTCCCCCTGGGCAAGGTGGTTAGCCCTGTAAAAATACTGTATTCAAAGCCCACAGACTTTTGACAGGAATATAATAGGGAGCTGTATCGTCAGCGCGAGGCGCTATAATATCTCCAGCGCAGTTGTTAGATTTCCGCGATATAAAGATGTTGTCGTCGCCGTGGACGAATCAGGATAAAAGGTTCAGTTCATTAACTGTAATACATCATTACAGTTAATGAACTGAGACAGCGTACGGCTAAGTCTATTTAAAACTTGGAGGATTGTCCGTGATTAGTTTGAGATGGTGGGGATATATTATAATATATCGACTTTTCTTCCAAATATCAATCACGTCTGCACGCTGTACATATGGGTACCAACCCTACTCTTTATAATAGGCTATCGAACAATTCTAGTATCATAAGCTAACCTATGTAGTATAGTTTGAGGCTGTCAATAAAAGCTGAAAACAGAAAAAAACATCTTTAAAATAAAATATTAATTTCAAACATACTATATGTTTTTTTCGCCTTTTTATTTTCAAAAGTAATAAATAAGAAAATACTGTATTAGACATTAAAAATTTGGTAACCCTAGTTGTTCACGCGCATACTAAATGAGCCTCTTGGGACCGAGTAATAGCGGAAAATTTGTCCAAAAACGCTAAACTCAAATTAGGTATTCAGATTGGATGGGAATCAGCATTACCAGTGCTAGTGTTGGCTTTGCGATAGCCAGCCCAGCCCAGCGTGGTTGAGAACCTTATACGAAATCTTTCAAGTACTGCATGCCACGTTACGCATGTTTCAGGTCAATGCCAAACATTGGAATCAGCTACCGTTGATTATAAAATAGCAAACAAGCCTCGAATCAATGCAAGATACACACTTTTACAATAAATGTTGGACTTTTCCACATATAAGTGCATACCACATATATGTATACCAACTGGACAAGCACATATTATTCCTTCGACCCACTTGTAACATGACAATAGAGGAATGCGTTTTTCTCTCACATAATTAATGCATAACATATTACATCCAGCGCTTACGTAGCTATTTATTTACACGGGTAATACATTTAAACAAAAAACTATGCATAAAAATATCTTATCTATAATAAATTAATAAATAACAAATAAACTTAAAGTGACAGATGATATTAAGATGTGACAATCCTTAGTCCACTTAAAGGGTATAATTTATAAAATATTAATAAAAAGTTTTTTTTTTATAGGATAAGGGTGACAAAAGAGTACACATTCCACGTGATGGTAAGTGGTCATCATAGTCCATAGACATCTACATCTATCCTCGGATGCGATGTCACCCGTGAGGACTAAGATGGAATGCCTCGTTTCCACTAAAATGGGTCCGGTTCTCTACACTCACACGAAACACAATAGAATTGAGAAGCTATTTTACATCGGTATGCTGTGAGAGCGTGGTCATTCCCAGTCGAGCCGACCCATTCGTGCTGCAACTATACTACTAATATAGCTGTAGCATAGCTCTACCACGTATAAAAGCCGATTTCAAATATATATACATCTAAAACGTAGTGATTATATACTCTTTGTACACACAACGTCTTAACATCGACTTCAGAATGTGAAATTATTTTATTGTTTTTATTTCTTTGAAGTAGGCCTTTACTTTATATTAAAAGTATTTTTTTTTCTAATGTTTTATTATTTTTGTAATGTATTGCTCAATATTAACTGTAGTTAATTTTTCTTGAGATGTTTTACGTGATGCAAATATTGTGTCATTGTTAAGGTTCAATTGCCAAAATATCGGCCAATGAGCAATGTTAATAAATACACAAAATTATCAAATACGGAAAACAAACATGCAAATTCATGCAACATGCACCACCACCCAATAAAAATTAAAATTCGGATAAATAAATAAGGAACAAGTCCTTAGCTTTCTATCCTTAGTAGTAGACATCCCCGTTCTTACCGGTATACACTGGTACTTCTATTTCCGGAGCTATCGTGGTCGTCGATTCAGTAGCCGTTTCCTTTGGCGTTATCAACACCGTCTCTTGTCGGTCTATCAGATACGGGTTTTCGGACTTGTCGCCTTCAGGTCTGTACGCCTTCACTACGACGGACCATGATGCAGGCTTTCCTATGCCATTGTACGCTTGACACGCGTAGTCTCCCAAAGTGTCAAGATCAAGACTTCGTATCTGGAGTACATTTCCTCGGGCCTCGTAAAGGGAACTGCTGTAGGGTACCATGGGGCCGTAAAGTCCACGGTGCCAGAAGATTGATGGTTGCGGGAAACCATAGGCCATGCAGCGGAGGTTCAGTACGTGGTTCAGCTCGCCCATGACCACGGCGTCCGGTTCACCGGCGATGCCCGCAGGGCCATCAACGGGATCTGCCCACCCCAATTGTTAGCGTCTACTCTACGTGGGTTTATGGGTGCTCTCATGTGATGATATTGTGAAAATGAATATTAGGAGTATTTTATCATTTTGGCAGTGGAAATATTCAATTCTGATATTGTTTATTAACACCTCCATGTCAAAAACTAATTTCTAAAACAGTTAAAAGTAAGAAATATGCCAGAAGTTGTGGATTTTTAATTTATTCAACAACTAGAAAAAGATTTCGTTTACAAAATCCAAGCTTGCTTAAATATTTAAAAAAATATCTAGGACATTAAACTTAAGTTCCAGAAGATTATAACAAATGTTGTCTATAAAAAAAAAAAAAACTAAAACAACTATATCTACAAAATTATTGCATTTAAATTTCCGCTGCCAAAAATCTTGAATTAATCATGACCACTTGTACTGTGGCGAGCGAACCACAAACCCCAATGTTATTATTAATTAGACCACAAATGTTTACTCAATAAACCGAAATCTGTTTTGGAAAAACTTTATCTATTTTATCTTTATAATTTTTTAAATATCATATTAAATATGGTGAATGTCCATATGGTTGGACCCATTCGGAAACGTTATCAACGCAATGCGTTACTCAGTTCCCAGTTCCCATACTTCTCAGAACACTATCGGCCGGGCTTACACACAAACTTCCCGTGCTATACTTATCGGAAGACCATTCATGCATACAAAGTATAGCATGTCGCCAAACACAACACAGTTAAACTCCAAAAAAATTTCGAAAATACCGAGTTATTGTCGACATAAATTATTGCTAAAATTGTTTCTTTTTAAATATTTTTGTTTTTATTATTTAGGTTTTGTCCTTCTGCCTGTTTTATAACCAATGAAATAATTAAATAAAACTTTAGGAGTATATTAAATGTAAAAATAATTAAAGTAATGGGTTCATTATAATCTTTATGTACTTGTCTAACATATAATTTTTTTTTAGATTTTGAAACCGTTCACTGGAATATTATAAAAATGACTTAAATTTAAATTTACAGAATAGCAGTTTCAATTGCACTACGAATTCCTAAAAAATGAAAATTAAAACTTAAAAATCTAAAAAGTTTTTTATAACCGAATTACTTTCCATAGAAAGTACAACGAATATTGTAGAATATAGATTTTAAAATATATTACATATAATCTGCTCTGCGGAACCCTATTTGCACTAGGCTAGTTTGTTCTGTTTCATTTTGAAATCTGTGAAACTGCATTGGCACTAAATCTTGCTTTTAAAAAGTTATCCCATGTAAAGAATTTCCCATGTATCGTATATTAGGGGTTAGATACATAAATTGCACCTGGATAAACAGTCAGACCCGGAACAATTACTTGTAGGTCATAAAATAGTTTTTACGTGCGAGAGTTAAACCCGCGACCTTACCTACCGAGTAATTTACGATCACTATACGAAGTAAAAATTAGGATTTTATTATGCGTACACCATCGATCACTAATAAAAGCGTACACTAACGGAAAGTTTGTGCTTCTCCCTTTTTAACGAATCTAATCTTATAAAATAATAGTACAACGAACTATTAAGTGTAACAAAGAAAATATATATATTTATAAAATATATATTATAATTTTATAGACGTGGCAAGTCCAAAACAGATTAGAGTTCTGAAAAAAAGAAAAAGAAAAAAATGCAACCTTCATACGCGTAAACAACAGCAAGAAGACACAGCGCTACTGAGATACACCGATTCATGGTTTTTGGTCTAGATTTACTGACACACTTGTTGACCGTATGAGAAATAGGTCCCGACTGAACTGAATATTGAATAATCATTATGCTTCGATAGCTAATGGGGTATCCATGCATGCTAATGTGTAGGGACTGTCAGAAGGAAGTACACTGTTATTTTATTTTTAATTGTATTTCCCAAATAGTTTTTTTTTAAAGTCACAATATTTCGTTTGATTAATTCCATGTTCCCTTCACCAGTCCGTAAAAGCATTAATCGTCGCGGTTGGCCATTATTGTTTTTATTTGTATAATCACCTCCAGACCGAATTTTGGTTACGGCGGTCAGTCTCAATTGAGACAAACCATATATGCGTAGAACAAGATTATAGTACCTGAGTGTATGCGCAAGTAAAGGTTTACTCTCTATTCCTTCACTCAGCCTTATGAGAAGGCAAGCCAACACGACCGTGTAGAGATCACACTTCACTTAGAGCTGACGGGGATTGAATTCATGTTAATAAAATATGTCTTTAAAACACAAGATTAATGGACTCCCTAAGCAAAAGGGGTGTTTGCCTTCAAATGAAGCTTAGATAAACGATTGTTGACTGCAAAAGATTGCGCCGTGTCGTAACGTATTATAGCAGTGTTTATTTTTACCCATTATTATTCTCGTCCTATGCTATATTATGTGCACAAATTTGTTATACAATTTGGGACCGAAAAATCTGTTGGTATAAGATAACGCACTTAATTCCATTGGGCCGAGGTATAAGTTGATATGGAGAAGGGCAAGGAAATTTGTATAAGATATGGTCCACCAAAATGTAATGTGTACGTTTAAAATCGAAAATTACACGTCCTAATTCAGACTAGCGATGTTAGCCAAGATGACTCTACTACCGTCAACGCAATAGACAACTATAAAATAAATAAAAATAACATATCTGAACGTTAATTCACCGTGATTCATTTTATAGTTTTCTATTTAACGATCGTTAGAATATCATCTCATCTAACCCCGCAGTGCTAGTAAACCACTGGAACTAGCTGATGTGAGCTATTGTCACCAAACCGCCATCAAAGTTCAGATGAATTACGGGTATCATAGTCGCCATACTTGGTACATACAGATAAGCGAGACAGTACCGGACGCCTTACAACTCATATTCTGCGTTCGTCACAGGTACGAGTATTTGCAAATCAAATATGATACGAAAATTTTCGAGACTCTGCTATACCCCTACGTCTTCTTACGCAAAAAAAAAAACTCGCACAAAAACGAGATGTTCTAATATTTCTCTTTCTTCACACCGAAGTGATGAAATGGGTCATTTGGTTTCCTTATATCGCGCTACCGAGAAAAACGTAGTTACAGTAGTTTTATAAAAGTTTTCTTTAGCAGTAATTAGTATATGGTATGATGGGATTGGCATGTCGTTTCGACACAAATCCCAAAAAAGTTTTCTTTAGTTGCCTGCGGGGGAAAATGTAATTTAATGGTGCGGTTAGTAATTAACTATCATCGCAGAGGTCGAGAGTGCAATGCCGTATAAACTGTTTACAAATAGAACGTTAGATGAATGTGCACAAACAATTAAGACGCGGACACGATGTTTGCTATACGAGTTAATTAACTAATAATTATGTTGATTATGCAATCTTCGTCCATTACAAAAATAGCGACATCTACCGGTTATTGCAAAAAAATTCAGTTGAATAGAAAATATTGTAAAGCCGTAAGACGCGAAAAAGGTATATATATATACTCCCTTGTTGTGTCCAAAATACCGCTTACGTGATAATAAATGCATATGCCACACTAAAAGTTATAAAACACTTATTTATTTTGATTATAATATTTTTGGCGGGAAATCGCGTGTTAATTGTTTTTATCACAAGCTAGCGTCAAAGATATAGTCTGGTAGTACTGCGAGTGCCAATCCGCCAGCCAAGCTTAACTGGCTAATACTCCCTATAATTTACAAATACTGCTGGGGAAGAAGGAAACGGAAATAATGGCAATGATCTTTGACCGATCGCATACTATATTTTAGATGTTCGCGTGTTCAAGTGGTATGGAGACCAGGTCTTGGGATCGACTCCTATGCAAAACCATAATCCGTTACATGAAAAAGAAGATTAATACTTAGTATCTTGTTTTATATTTCCGCGTACTAGCAATGAAATAATTTAAATAAAGATAACGTTGATGTTTCATTACATTCTCATTGACTGTAATTTATTTAAAAATGTATCAATATATACATACATATATAAAAATATGTCAACAGACAACAAAACAATTATTCCGCAGTCCATCAATCGACAGTTCGTTATCTCTTCAAAAGTGTGTCAACAAATGTCCGTATAATTTGGCCAAATCCAGATATGGGCATAGTGTTCAATTACAAACAAATAAATCGCAAGTGACGCTGTGTATTCTTGCCAAGGTTAACAGACAAAGAGAAGTTTTAAGAAGGATGCAGAAGAGAATGCTGTCAGTTACAGAAAGATAGGTGTTAATCTACTTCTAGACAATCTAAACTACGTGTTATTAAATTAAACCAAAATACCTTAATTTCAATGTCAATAGCACGTCATCGATAAATGTACTTACTTTTTGTGTACATTAATTACAGTAATTTCATCAAAAAAAAAATGATTTGAAAGTAACTTAATCATGGCTGCTACCACTAACCACGAGACTTAACGAGACCTTAAAATTGTGTAGCGTTTGAGTACTTGGCCGTAATTCTGTTTCTTTTGGTGTTAAAATGTAAAGAAGATAAAGTAACATCTTTTTTCTTCCTATGACATGCTGCAAGAGTCCATTGCCGTATATGGACTCCTCTCGATACAAGAAGGGAAAATATTACAAATTAATTTTATTTAGCCCTGTGCGTGGTTGAGCTATTTTCACAATTTGTTTTTACTGAAACAAGCAAGCTTAAACTTACTATAAACATTTAATATTCATTGAATTTAAAAAAGAATGTTATCGATTCGATTGTATATTTTTATGTACATATTATTATGTAATATGATAACTCGGAGGTTAGTAAATCTATTTATTCACCTATACCGAATGTAATCTACATTTTTCACATTAGCCCCGTATAAATTAGATCCGATAATAATTACAGCCGGTTTAAAATTTATTAATTGTTTAATCATTAACTAAATACATTAATCGACGACGTGTTAAAAACCCCAATTCACCAAATGTTACAAGAACTAGGAGCATGCAGGCAGACGTACCATTGACGAGCAGCCGTATCTCCTGGCGCGCGGTGCCGAGCCCGTTGTCCGCGATGCAGATGTAGACGCCGGAGTCGTTCCGGTACAGCGACACGATCTCCAGCGCGCCGTCCGACAGCAGCCGGTAGCGGTCCACCGCACCGTCGATCTGTTTGGGATGGATCACGAAATTGATATTGATTTTCCTTTTCAATGGTCAGTGTCATCAGTTTTTTTACCGAGTGTGCGGATAACGAATTTGAATTTTTTTTAAATATTCGAATCCGAAATTGGGCTACTATCATGTTTAGGGCATCTGTGTCAATCCTAATATGTAATTTTTTAATTCTTTTCAAAGGATAGAAGTAACAAACGAGCACACAGTCCACCTGATGGTAAGTGGTTGCTGTGGCCCATAGACATCTACATCTATCCTCGATTACGTATCAAAATTCAGATGCGTTGTCACCCGTGAGGACTAGGATGGTATGTCTCATTTCCAGTAAAATGTGTCTCCGGTTCTCTACACTCACCATACGAAACACAACAGCATTAAGCTGCTATTTTACGCTGGTATTCTGTGAGAGCGTGGTCCTTCCCGGTTGAGCCGATCCATTCGTGCTACAACTTTACTACTAATAGTTGCAACATGGCTATACCACATATAAATATATAATACCTATCCTAGTTAGTGGCCTGAATAATTTCTAAAAAATATATGTACT